AGTATATATTAGATAGACTTTTAAGCGGGTTTGTATTTGAATTTTACTATAATTTATATTTAGGTTCTTACGGCTATTCGAATTATTTAGGTATTATAATGTTTAATTTTAATAATCCTAAAGAAAGATGTTAACGATTATTAAAAGGGGTAGAAATAAGGGTAATAGGATAATAGTTTTAGGGGTTCGGAGGATATTATTTAAATTTAAAGCTTTAAGAATAATTAATTTCTAATTTAGTACAATAAAATTTTAAAAGTAATTAGATAGGTTGTAAAAAAATAATATAAGGAGGTAGAGGTTGGGTTCGAATGTTAGGTAGAGGGGTAAATAAAGTATATAAATATAGGGTACAAATAGAACCGGGTAGGTTTGGCGGTAGGTTCTAAATAGTAGGTTAATTATATTTATTATTATCCTTATAGTAAGGGATTTAATAGCGGTCTTTTTTATTTAGGCTGGGTAAAGGATTCCCTAAGGGGATTAGTAATAGGTTTTTTAATAGGATAAATAAAGGCGTTAGAAATTAATTAGGTTTTAAAAAAGGAAAAAAGGTAGTTTTTAATATAGGAGTAGAGGAAGGAAGAGTAGGATTTGGGAGAAATAATAAGAATAGTTTTAATATTAATATAGGAAATTAATTTAATACTCCCTAATTAGTATCCGAAGTTAAAATTATAAAGATATTCCGATTATTCTAAATCCTATTAGTATCGTTTATACTATTTATATATTTATTTTCGTTTTGTCTTTCGTCTTACCCCCTTTTTCTTTTTTTTTTTTTTTTTCTCGGCTAAGGATTTTTATTCTTCTTTTAATTATTTTTCTTCTAATAAAATACTTATATACCTTTTCTAATTAGAAATCTCTTATTAGCGTTTTTCTTTTTATTCTTCTAATATTCCTTTTCTTTTTCTTTTTTTAAGTAAAAGGAATTTTTTTGGTTTTTATTTTCTATTCTTTTCCTTTTTATTATTTTTATTATCGGTATTAATAAGAGGTAATTCCTATTTATATTAGTAATATTATTATTAAAGCCCTTCTAATAAGAATTTATAATAATTAATTACTTCCTTTTAGTTTTCTAAAATATAATAATAATAATAATTACAATCCCGAAAATTTATTAATAATAATAGTTAATATATTTTACGAAGGAGGAATTCGGAGATAATAGTTAGTACCCTTCCCTTTAGGGAATTAATTATAAACTTTCGAGGAAAAGGGTCTAAGGGCCGTTTAATCTTTTTGTATTTAGGTAGGGATTATATACTATTAATTTAAGAATAGCGGTCCTTAAAAGTTTAATATTAATACCTACCCTAATTATCAATAGATTTTTTCGTTACTTATTATTTTTAAATAGTCTTTCAATTAAACTACTATTTAAATAGCCTATTAATTGTTTATTCTTATTATTATTTAAATATTATTAATTAAATATTTATTTATCTATTAAATTATATAGTTGAACTACTATTATTTAGTAGTTTATTTATTATTTATATTTATTTATATTTAATTATTATTATTTAGATATTTATTTATATATTTTTTTTATTAATTAATTATATTATTATTTGTATTCCAACGTTATATCCGAATAATAGTCGGGTAATTATTAATTAATTATATTATCGCCGATCGTAGTACGGCTATTAATGTAGTTGTATGTTGGCTATTATCGAGGGCCCCGGACTATAGTAAGTATCCGGTGCTAAAGATCTTTATTTTTTTCTGAAATGAGGTTATTTAAGCCTTTTCGTAATAATTAATTAGATATTATTAATAAATATTAGACAAACTTTAACGAGGATAGGAAGTTGTAAATTCCCTATATTTGTTTTAGCTAGTTTAGTATAGAATTTTAATACCTATTTCGTCCTTATTACTAATTTAAAATAGCGAGAAAACTATAATAATAATACTAATACTACTACGACCAATACAATATATAAGGACTATAATTCTTAACTATTTAATTAAGTAGAATAGTAAATAATTTTTAAATCTTTTTAAATAGTCGAGATAGGAAGTATTAAATTAAATACGATTTATTGGAGTTATATATTTATTAAATAGTTTAATATTTAATTTTCGCCGGAAAACGAAGGTAATTATCGGATTTTTCTATATTTCTCTTTTCGGATATAAATAGGGATACGAATGAATATTTCCCTAAGAAGGATAAAGGATTATTTAATATACTAAGTAAATAAAGATAAATGATTAGCGATTATTAAAAATTAATTTTATATATTTAAGAATTATTAAAGAGTTAGAAATTGATTATTTAGCTTTTCGAAAGGTTAATGTTCTATTAATCTCCCATTCTATTTCCTTATATTCAATTTCCTTCTTTTTCCATTCTTTTTCCACACTAACTGTCCAGGTTTGCTCAATTTAGAAAGTACTTCCCTAATCCTATATACTTTGAAAATTTTTGAAAAAAATCACTACTGAAAACTAATATATATATTCCCATGTACCACCCCAAATCAGTATCTAGAGAGAGGAATTATAGGGCATAATTATATTAGTATTTTAAAGTATTTATTAATACTTTTAAATTCGGAGTAATACTCTTCGTTAAGTAAAACGAAGCTTATTACCTCGTACGTTTACAGGATAATAGTCTTAGTAATAATTAGGAACCCCGCTAATACTTTAAATTTAATACCAGTTTTATATCTATATTAGAATTTATAAGAATAGATATTATAATACTAATATTCTAGCGGGTAATATATTAGTACTTTAAATTTAATATTAGTTTCGTATTTATATTAGAATTTATAAGAATAGATATTACAATACTAATATTCTAGCAGACGGGTCCGTATTAGAATTTATAAAAATAGATATTACAATACCGATATTCTAATAGGCGACACACTAGCGCTTTAAATCTAATACCGGTTTCGTATTTATATTAGAGTTTATAAGAATAAATATTATAATACCGATATTTTAATAAGTAGTATACTAACTTTTCAAATTTAATAACGGTTTCGTATCCGTATTTAGAGCTTACGAAAATAGATATTACAATACTAATATTCTAGCGGGCGGAGTGCCAACGCTTTAAACCTAATACCGGTTTTATACCCGCGTTTAAAGTTTATAAGAATAAATATTACTACGCCGATATATTAATAGGCGGAACGCTAATTCTTTAAATCTAATACTAATTTTATAATCGTATTTAGAGTTTACGAGAATAGATAATACAATACCGATATTCTAGCGGGCGGTTCGCTAGTAATAGAACGGCTATAATCCGGAATATAGCATCGGCGGCTATAGCGAATAATACCTAATAATGCTACGGTACCTAGCGTTTATTATAGAAATTCCAAGGACGGAACTTATAAGGGGGGGGGTTATATTAAGAGGCTAAAAGTTCGTATATAGAAGTACCTTAGCGGCTGCTACTCCCCTTCGTTAATTAAAGTGTAGGATTATTTATAATAATGTTTATATTAGGTCGGGCTTATAAGAAGGATAATCCGGTATTATACTAAAGCGTTAAATTAATATAAGGTTCTATAATACTCGTTAGCGGATAAACAGAGTTTGTATAGGTATAAAAGAGGTTTAATAGAGCGTATTTTATTATAGTCGGTAATTATTAATATATTATTAGATTAACCCCTAACTTACCATCCCCTACGCGTAGCCACGACCATAGTCACCTCAGCCTACCTTTCGCCTACGTTCCTAACACTAAGTAATTTTTCGCTTAAATCCTTTTATAATAGTTATTCTAATAGCGTAAAGAACCTTTTCCTCAATTTAATTCCTATATTCGGTTTTAGATATTTATATTTTAATTAATATTTCAAATAGGGTTAAATTTATATTAAAAATCTTTCTATTAATTTAAATAAGTAAAAGCCGATTATTCTAAAAAAGGTTATCCTTAAACTAATAATACTAATTGTTTAATCTATATAAAAAATATAAAATTAGGAGTAATTTAAGGATCTTCAATAATTTATCGAAGCAAATCATATTATTATAAATTTCAGTATAGGCCGTATAATAATCACTAATACTATTATATTAGGAAAGTAAAATAGTCTTCTATTTTTAAACCAATTTTTAGTAAGATAGTCCTATTTGTCTACTAATATAAATACTCTCAACTAAGCGCTAAAATACCTAATAAACTATATAAACTAATTCCAATAGTAGTTCTAATTCTTTAAGGAATAAACGAATTACCCTATTAGTAAGTATATAAATAATTCTAATAAAGTACAATTAATAAGTACCCTAATTAATATAAAATTCGTAATAATCGCTATCCTTCTAGAAAGGACCTTATAGCGGAGGTTAATTTCCGGTAAGGGCCGCCCTAAAATTAATAATATAAATATAATTACGAACGGCCCGGTCCTATTTTACCTATTCTTTAATATCCTTTAGGATTAGGATCTTTTCTTAGCCGGCGGTATTTAAAGTAAGGCCTATAATTGCTAATAGAATTTTATAAATTAAAAATTCAAAATAATTCCTAAGCGTTAAAATATAAGGATTAAAGCGTAATAAATAATATAGTTGGCTAAATAATTAAGAAGCCTTAAATATTTAAGGGGTTAAATGGTAATAGTAGTAGTAATAATAAAAGTAATTAAGAAGAGTAATATAAAGGTAATTTTAATAGTAGTAAGAAAGACGGATTTTTAATATTTATAGAAAATGTATCTAGTAATACGGATATAATTTCTTTTATTAAGTATAAGAAATTAAATTAATTTAAATATTTTTTAATTATTGGCGGTCTAATTTGGGGCTGTAAATTATATTGGTAATATCTGCGGATTCGGTAGTAGCGGTGGCTACGGGTTTTAGGACGGTTATCGAAATTCTCGAATTTCGGTATTATATTTTAAGTATAGTTTTAAATTCTAAATCAATTTAAAGTAGATAGGGTTATAGTAAAGAATTTAATTGTAATAAATTAATTTTAGTATTTTTACTAAATAATAGTAATTTTAGTACGCTTCTAATATTCTAAATTTTAAGTAGCTAAAATTATAGTAATAGTTTAAAATAAGTAGGGTAAATATATAGTTTGGGTAGTCCGTACGTCGGTCTTAGTACTACGAACGTAGTGGTTTCTAGTAATTGTGAGGTTTTAGTTTAGTGCAAATATAAGAAATTATTGCGGGGTAAGAAAAAATAATAAAAATAAAATATAAATTAAATTTGAATTGAAGGTAAGCGAGGATTTCGGTATGCGTGTAGCACCCGGGCTTATAACCTGTTGAAGTAAAGTAAGACATCACGAGGGTAAGCGAGTATGGTAGTAAATTTGTTAATTGAGTATTAAAGAAGAGAGAGAGAGAAAAGGAGGGAGCGAGAGTAAAGATATATATACAAGATATGAAACGAGAGCGAGTAAGTTATCCATATGTGGATCGAAAATGTAATACGTTCAACACTTCCGGCGATCTTGGTCAACTTCTCTCCGACAATTCCCCACCAGTTGGCAGCCATTCCAATCTGCAACGCCGGATGCGCCAGAATCGCCGGTGTCCACTCGACCGTATGGATCTTGGCCATCAATGCACAGTTCACCAGCCTCGCCTTGTCAAATATCTGGTCTCCGCTCCAATCGGGATACTCCTTGCGCAGCGCATCACAAATGGCATTGTGCTCCAGCGCAAAAAGAGTGTGCAGGATCTCCATTCCCACCCACCAGTTGTCGTTGAAGCCCGTCAAGACATTTCCATCCTGGTCCCGAGGGAGAAATTGCTCACGCCCGCGACTGTCCAGGGACAACTTTCCGTCTGGATGACGGTTGCGGAGCGTGTGTGTTACGGACTCGGAGGAGCCGTAGATTTGTGATCCGTCCCACCAGTGGGTGTTGAGGTTCTTGTACCCGGGACACTTGACGTCGGATGGGTCGAGAGTCTCGTCTGGCTTGGTGGCGTATAACTGCATGTGCTGGTCAAGCCACTTGTCGTCCTCAGAGAGCGGGACGTTGAACTTCTCGTGGGGGTCCTGAGACACAACCGGAGAAAGTCAGCCAATGATCGGAACTCAGAAGGAGGAAGAAGCCCAAGCCACACGAAGACTGGCAACATCTGATGTTGCACAGGATCACGACCAGTGCATGATCGGTAAAGTCCCCCATTCCCAAAGGAAAAATCTCACAAGTCACATACCTGCTCATGGAAAAACCAATCATGCGTCTGGAACTGGATCCACGCCGCCGCCAACAGATTTAGTGTCGTCGCCGGGATGAACTTTCCTTCCTTCCTCGCCATAAACCTCTCACTGATCATCCTCGGATTCGGCGTCATCAGCTCCTCCTCGCTCGGTTTTCCACAAACCTCCCGCGGGAAATTCCTCCCGAACCTCATGCCCGTGCATCCCATCTTTGGCTGTTTCAAGTCATTGAACTTGCCATCGGAGTGACGAGCGCCCAGGTAGCGTTCGTTGGGAAGAGGGTCGGTGATGGAACTGCCTTGGGCTTGGGAAGACGCATAGGCGTCGTGCAGATTGTATTGTCGAAGCTCGATGCGTAGAAAGGCCAGGTTGAAGGCGCCGATAAAACCGGGGAGTTTGTACCATGGGATCAACTTGTTGAGGAGGTGGAAGGAGGTGATGCCGAGGCGTTCGAGGAGGGTGGGTGTGAAGGAGGGTTGGAGTTCAACCTGCTTCTTGCCCTTGTCGTCTCCATTGGACGAGGCGGCAGAGGTGGTACCGTTTGGTTTGGACGGGGTGTTGGGCATTTTGATGAGGTGTGGTGGTTTACACCTTTCAGATATTGGGTGGCTATTGTTGCTATGGTGGTGGTGATGGTGAGGTTGTCAACTGTCAAGGCGTTGTTGGCGATAGTCGTCGTGCTCACTTCTTCAAGCGAGGAACTTGCTGACGAGAACGGAAATCTGTTTTGCACTCGGATCCAAATCCAAGAGCCCCCGCAGTCTTATACCCCTTACTTCATCGCTTCATGCATTCACATGCTGTCCCATCCGAGATACAACACGCAGCCGCTCATTCTTACTGCATCTTCAGCTCGATTCTTGTTACCCCCTTCGGATGCTCCGTGGTTGTTCTCCTGGGGGTTACCATGGGTTGCCACAGCGGGAGTGATCCGTGATGCCAGTCCCGCGTACTTGATCGGTTGCCGCCGCCGCCGCCATGTTATACTCGCCTGGTACACATACCTCCACGTCCTGGAAGGCTGAGGCGCTGAGCCCTTTCCTCGAGTCGGAAAGTCCCTGGATTTTGATTGATCTGGAGAGTAAAGTAAAGTCAGATGCTGATTGGACAGGCAACCATCCGGTGTGAGATTCAGGACCATGTCGTCGTGGAGTGATACCGTGGTAGGTGACTTTCCGACGGGCTTACATGTAAGCTTATACAATGCCTGTTCCCGTTTGGGAAGACAGATTTCATTTGTGCTCCTTTCTGTGCGAAGGCGATCTCGAGAGGATGATGGTTCATTCAACCAATTCAGGGGCGTTTCGTTGCAAATGCACTTTTAGCACTACCTGGTCGTCCTATGGAACAAACGTGGGATTTCTACGCTAGAGGTAGGTAGATGTAGGTGTACAACGAGGAGTACTCGATGTCCTAGTAAGCTCAAAATTCACTGGATATTGACAGGTACCTATTAGACTGAAATAAGTAATCACAGCAACCCTTAATCAACGGTTACGAGTAGGTCAAGGTAGTATTCCGACCAATCATCACCTAACCCCGGATTTGACCTGTCAGCCCATCAGCCCGTGCCGTCCGCTATCGGTTGTAGTTGCTACCCTCAGAAACTACAAAAGGGGGCGGTGGCTCTCACATCTTCCATATCTAGCTTTTAAAGCTCAGCCCTATCCTATTGAGACCCTGCTTTTATTTGCTGTTAAATAACTTGCTGGAGGTACTCACACTTGTTCGTAGAGTGATTGGTAGGTCGACATTCAGGTGCATACATACCAAAGTGAGCTGACTATTATTGCACTACCGCAGAAGGACCATAATGACTCATCAATCTATTAATAACGTATCTTTGGCAATCAAACATTAAACCGTTACATGGGGACTCGACCATCAACGTCATGAGAGCGAGACATCACCGAACCCGCGTGAAAACAATTTGTAAGTTTTCTCAGCTGATTATCTATCATGGGATATCCGTTCAGCCGGTGGTTCCATATGGATTCGTACCTCCGCCTCGTGTTAACTGACGGGATCTATGGCTTCATCGTTCGCAATGTGCATTACCATCCACATCACCCATCTACACCCCACCCAGAAGCAATCAGCAACGTCCTCTTCCATCACCACAGTCTACCATCATCGAAAGGGATGACATCTATCCTCTCTTTCCGTGATCTGTCTTCTTAACTCATAATCACCGCTTCCAACAGTTCCTTTATGTGCTGAAGCCAAACCAGATGCTCTCTATCTCGCCCATGGCAAGGGATCTGTAGCATGATTTCGACGGGAACCTAGGTACTCACAAGATGGGCCGCCAGTCCACGAAAAGTACAGGCACCACAGCAAGGAACTTCTCTACCTACCTAGGCAATCTTGCAAGCCCAATTCATTGCCCTGCTAGGTAGTAGATGGGTACCTCCAGGTGACGAGGTTGGAGCGCGTGGGCCGTCGACCTCAACTTGGGAACTACGACTTACCTATCAGCCAGGCATTGATTGACCATACCTACATTGTTAATCATTTGGTCATTATCGTCTGCCCCTACCGTGGACTGCTTGTCCATTCATTCAAACGGCACGAAAGTTCTGCTACATGTACCTTTCAATATCACCGGCGGTCATGGACAAGATGGTAACAGTCAACGTCTTGTCTGCATTGAAACTATGTAGGGTACCTCTACGGAATGTTGATTGCGATTATTGTCCAACAACCACAACGCATGTGCATGTCTGGAAACAGATTTCCCCACTACCTCTACCATAGTTCGAAACGTTGTATTGAAACCATGTAGGTAATCTTTGCAGACGGTCCGTTCCTGATCCCATGTGCCACTGAGCAGACGCTGAACGATATAAATCGGTCTACCGCTGAAATTACCCCATGGGATGAGGCAGAGCTGTAAACTCCTTGAGTTAAATTCGTCAGTATCAGATATGATCATCATCGGATCGGAGGAGCTCATAAGAATCGAGGACTTCACTCACCGGCCTCAGGGGCAGTCTGCGCGATGGCAATGACATCGTGCCCTGGTCTTGGAATCTTGTCTTGTTGAACGTCGTGATGCGAACTATGTGGTTTGTAACGATGGTTGTCGAACTCGAAGCTCCGCAAGCAAAGTACCTAGAAAAGGCCGAGTCGCTTGATGCTGGACTCGACCTTTTCTACCTCTAGGTAATTTGCTTGCGGAGCTTCTCCGCCTTTTTGTTCTTGCCTCATGAGTAGAGAAATCTGTTGGTTCATGAGTTGAGTTAGTAGCCATCCTTAGGTATTACCAGTATCAGACATGCCTGTCATTGACCATGCGCTTCAGGGTGAGTGAGTGAGTGAGTGTGACTTACCGGACGCAGTCCGTAGCTACGCTGACCGTAGGAGGGCTGCTGGTAGCCGCCCTGGCCGCCGGCTTGGGAGCTGGATTGGATCTGGAGCTGGAGTCGGAGTTGGAGAACGCGACACTGGTTCTGGTTGCTCAGGGTAGTAACGGCCTAGGCTCCCCCAAGACCAGAAGTGGTTATGACGGGTTCTGCTCACAACACGAAATATCAGCATCAACTCAGATATCGGGCACAATAGACGAAGCGAGGAATACCTTACCTGGGCCTTGGAGGAACCTAGTTATTGAAATAGGTGGAGTGGAGCTATGTTGATGTTGAACTGTTGAGCAGTGTGTCGTGACCAACTTGCTTGCAGTTGTTGGGAATGGAACTGATGCGCCCGAAGGCGATCGATGAGGGAGAGAGAAAGAGAAGAGGAGAAGAAATTATTTTTGGGGAAGAAGGAGGGGAGGACCGTCTTTTATAGACCGCCAGAGGAAGGAGGGGGAACGAGACGGGAAGAGGAAGGGGTCCACTCGAACTTTTCAGCAACAGCTGTCAAGTTTCAGAACAACAGCTTGCTTGCGCCTGGCAGACCGCCGAAGTCCAGATGACACAACTTGTCGGTACCTGTCAGTGTCTGTAGGCTGAGGCTTTGGCCCTGTATGTCGTCCATTTGCCAGCCATATGGGAGGGAAGTGGAAGGAACGAGGTCGAAGTAGACAGTACGTACATGTACTCGTCTGAGCTACTGAAGTGCGGTGACTGCCCCGTCGTCCAGTCTTCGAGGGACACGTGAGGGATCGAGGTCGACTGATCGGGATGACTGGGACAAACGAGCAAGTATCCCAGGCAGCAGGACGTAATAACACGGGTCTGTATTTTGATGGTGGCGGGACTCGACGGCCACGATGGTGATGATCGAGTGATATGGAACGTAGCCTGTAAACTGTAAAGCAACAAAGTTATCATTATCCAACAACGTCGTCTTGGTATAGCGTAGATATAATCAGAATATCGATGATCTCCAGTACCATTCACTCTGAATAGTTGTGTTGTTCGATGAACTGATGCGTAACCGTGGTGACGGCAGGCCGATCAAGGTTAGGTGAGTGTCAGGACGGATCTGCCTGGCAGCGTCACTCAGCGTTCACAATAAATGTGCGAAATGTGAGCCTGTCAGGTACCAATAAGTGATTGACCACAATGTCACATACCTCTAGTGCCCAAAACAACAAAACAACAAGTGACGACGACACTCTTCTACCTCTACCACACATCACACTACCACACATACTTGGCCCAAAAGCCCGCCTCTTCTTCTCAACATTCAAGAGCGATCTCACAGAACACCCAAAAGCTCCCCTCGCCGGCTTCATCAGTGTCGTTTTCACCAATAGCTTCACTCAAATCTTCGCTCCCAACGTCGCCAAATACCACAGCGACGCCTCAACAAGGTCATCTCCAGAACCACAAGAACGAGAGCAGCCCGTTTTAAAGTTTAACCAGCCCAGCATCCAGCTGTGAAGTATGTTTCTTGATTCTTCTCATCCCCAAGAACCAAACCCGACTTTACCACCCTCCGCTTCACTGCTTCAGTCCACCCCCTCAACTCCCTCTCAACCCCTTAACCCTTCCCCTTCCCCTTCCCCTTCGCCTTCGTCTTCCCCTTCACCTTCACCCTCACCACAGACCCCAAACTTACACTCCCTCTACAGATCCCCGTGATATTTTTGTTCATCTCAGCATCATCAAAACCAGAACCATGGCCCAGGGACACCCATCCTCTCAGCCCCCTCCCTCTCCCCCTCAACAACCCCCTCAACCCCCCCTCCCAACAATCGCCATCACCTCCCCCCCACACCAAACAACCACAACAACATCCACAACCTCGACCGCAACCACCCGCACCACGCCCACTTCCGAAACCACCACCGGGACTACCACCACAACCACCACTATAACCACCACCACCATTACCCGCACCAGCGTCACGACCGCTACTATCGATACCGTCACGGGGACTATTGAACGTGATACGGAAATAACGGAGGAGGGGACGACGTTGAGGATCACGAATGTTACGATGGAGGTGTGGGAGTATGTGGACTAGCTAGGTAGCTACCATACTACCAGCTACCTAGACACCTAGAGGTAGTAAGCGGACTGCTGAGACGGAAGGAAGGGACAGAATGCCTGGGAAGTAAACTGGAGGGGGTCATGGATGGATGAAAAGGGGTTGCGTCGGTGTGGTGGGACGTGGGGTGCTGCATGGTGTCGTTAATTCAGTTCCACCTCTAGGGAATAAAGACCAACGCCCGGCTTGCGCAGTATTCGTGTTGAATTATCGTGGATACCTACGGTGTCGGTGTGAGTGTGATAGGAATGAGTAGTACCTTAAGTGAATAAGGGTAAACGAGGTAAGCTGGGGGCGTAGAATCATTTTCTGAAACTTGGTATTGTTGAGGGAAAAGCAAAGCAAAGCATTGTTGGGTATATCGTATCGTCATTAGTCGTCGCGGTTAGTATCCTCCTTCTCTATGCCTTCCTTCCCCTTCCTCCCCTTGAAAGATCCTCCATCTCCCCTCCCCGGACCCCCCCCTCTCTCTCTCTTCCTTGTAAGCCCTCCACCCACACTTAAAGACCCCTCACCAACTCCCCTAGTGCCATCACTCAGCAGGCTTAACACTCTGCGGATTCCAAAACACCTCCTTGGGATCCCACACCTTCTTCACCCTCCTCAACTCCTCATAATTACTCCCCCAATACTGCTCCGGCGCATCCTTCAGCTCCGAATCAACATACCCCGCATATGTCCCGAACGCGCCCGTCCACTTGGTGATCTGGTTATGGAAATTCTCCAGGAACCCCTTCGACTTCTTACTAAGCGGCAACCCGACGACATAGCTCTGGTAGAACATGACCTTGTCTCTATGCGAATAAGCCGTGGCGTTCATAGGCACATCAGCAATGGCACCGCCGGTAGCATCAAAGATGATGAACCATAGCGGGGTGCCCTTGTCTTGGGAGTCGGTCCATCTGAAAACGTCGGCGATGCCGGTGGTGTTGATCAGCTCTTCACGGCGAAAAGCGAGGGACTTGGAGTAGAACGGCGTGGCGAGGCCGGATAGATACAGGGCTTCGTTTTCGGCGTCGCGAGCGAAAGCCGTGAGCCAGTCGTTGTTACCTACCAGGTCCTGCTTGCCGGGGAGGCGGTCGGGAATACCGCTGGCGCGGTACTCGGCTTCGGTGCCGTAGAAGGTACCGGTGATGATGGCGCCCGTGGGGTTGAGGATGAATTCGGTGCCGAAGCGACGGTCGAGTTTGGGATCGGAGATTAGGTCCTGCCAGGCTGAGTAGGTCGAGGCGACATCGGCGGATTTGCCGAAGATGAAGGTGTAGCTGTACTGAACGACGTTGGCGGGCTCGGGGTGCGTGCGGACGACGAACTCGGTGATGACGCCGAGATTGGAGGCGGCGCCTCGAAGGCCCTGTTTTTTGTTAGTGGTTAGTCGCGAAACAACGAAGAGGTAGGCATACCCAGAACAGGTCAGAGTTTTGGGTCTCGCTCGCGCGCTGAATCTTGCCATCAGCAGTGACCACTTCCACCTCGACGATGTGATCCAAGGCACTTCCCCACATGCGCGACATTGGGCCAAGACCACCCTAGGGAAGATGTCAGTAACCTGATCTATCATGAATCTTGAGTGCTGAGGACCTACAATGGTAGCATGTCCACCAATACCCACGTCCGGGCATACGCCATAAGCCATGGCCCGGCCGCCCGCATCATGTAACCTATCCGTGACATCTCCCAGATGGCTGCCGGCACCTATCGTGGCTTGCCATGTTTTGTTGTCCATGGAGAACTGCTTGAAGTTCACAAGGTCGATGGTAATCACTCCATCTTGACCTCCCCCTAGGCCTACGTCCATCCCAGTCAGCATCTAAGCGATTATTAGCCCCAGTCTGTGTCCCAAAGTAACATACCGTAATTCCTGCATTCCTCATTAGCAATGGTTAACCGCATACAAAAGTTGGAGCAAACTCACCCGAATGAATGTCCTCCTGACTTGGCCTGCACCTTATATCCGTTCTGTGTCGCACACTTGATCACCTCGGCAACGTCGTTAGAGTCCTTAGGCCGCACAACGGCCTCGGGATGTACCTTGATATCGAGATTGTACGGCTTGACCCATGCTAGTTGGTAAAGAGGTTGGCTGGGATATGCTGCGAAGCCAGAGCGGCCGTTGGCAATGCCATTGATGCACGTTTGGAGTGCACTGTGACCTTGTCCCATTATGGCCTTTGTTCCTGATGATGGATTGTGTCCGGGCTAGGTTGACCAAACGAGGGCCGAGTATAGAGAACAAAAGAAGAAAGGAAAGCAAGAACACGCGGTGAGAGTTATAACGGACTTGAGGCTCAAGTGTTTGGAGAATGGGATAGACACGGGACCCGAGTGCCGAGCTGGTCGAAAGGAATGCGTGATGAACGGTGGGTAGGTGGAGTGTACATGGACATGGGAGGTATCATCCCAAGCTAAGAGCAGAGCTGAAGGCATCCATCATGTAGTGCAGGAAATCCGAGTGGAAGGAGACAGTCAAACAAGGCGCAGTGCGTTGACGTTGACCTAATAGCAGGCACATTATAAGGTCAGGTCTGTCAGGGTTTAAGCAGAAATGACTGACGGAAAGCGCCTACAGTTGACCTCAGACGAATAAACGACTGGGAAAGGGTAGGTCGGTAGAGGTAGGCTTTTTTTTTTTTCCACTTGGAGAAGCCACATTGGACGGGTGGCATGACGGAATCTGGTCCGGACAGCCACCTTGAACGCCTTGGCCCGATGTGTGGATGACAGAAGGAGATTCGTAACGGCTTGTTGGATCCGAGTTTGCGGGATGGGAGTCGTCGACTCGTCAGATGAGGCCATGAAGAGTGGATGTGAAACCCATCGATTTTGAGGCTCAGCGGTAGTACAGTTTTGGAGTTGATGGGTCCAGATATCTGGCAGTACATCACGCTGAGTTCCAAAGGGACATGAAGAAACAGCGTCAAAACAAAGAAACCATCACTGGATGGCTCATATCTCTAAAGGTACCTATCCCAAGCCAAAATTGAGATGTGCATATCACGGCTGACATCAACGCCCAGCATCCTCCCCCCAAACAGAATCGACCAAGTAGTGACGAAGCCCGAGATCATAAACAGAGTTGGTTGTGGTTGCCTCGCGCAATGGCTACGTCAAAGCACAGGAAGGGGAGGGGGGCAGGGTCAAGGAAAACAGGATGATGGTCGTTGGGAGACGAGTACATCTTTTGTGCCCAATGAGTAGTCCTCGCAAATGGAAACAATGAAATCCAGGGGCACAAGAAGGCAAACCTGCTGCTGTGACAACGTTTTCGTCCAACAGCAATCCCGTCCGGGTTACTGTACCGCATGGGATGATCATCAGAGTTTGTTTGTTGCATTTTTTTGTTGTTGTGGTGGTGGTGTTGGTGTTTCCATTGCCACCTGCCTGCCTTCGGGTACAACCTCGGTATCTTTCCGAATAGGAACACCGAATGAAGAAGGTAGGCGGTGCAATTTTTTGAGCGGTTTCAAAAACGGAGAGACGAGGCCCAAATCGAGAGGCCAGTGGTTACCTACCAAGCACCTATGTAGCTGGGCAGGGCAGGGGCAGGGCAGGGCAGGGCAGAGTCATGGCATGGCATGGCATGGCATGATGCCCAAGACTTTGGTATCCAATCGCGCGCCGTTCTTCTGCTGCGGTTTTGTGCATCGAAGGTTGAAAGGGAAGTTTTCTTTGGGCTCCGTCGAAGAAGAATACGAAGCCAATGGCCGGGCCGGACGAGGAGAGATGGGATGACGTTGGAAGAAACAAGACGAGTTCGCAAAGAAACGAGGAGGGGTTCGTGACGGGGCATGCCGTGATTGGTCAATAGTCTCCAAGGGGGCCAGTCGCAGGATCCTGGCAATATCATGCGGGTCTAATTGGTGCCATACTAACACTTTATTGGGCTGTGATCGTCGCAGGGCGTTAACTGCGTAACATCTGCAGCTGGAGAGAGGAGTTGCTAACAGTCGTTATTAGCCTATCCTCTCGAAGGGAAAAGAAAGAAGAAATCTGTTAGGGCTGGATCTCGACAAGCTCCCTCCCACGACACCTAAAGATCAAGTTTGTCCCCAAGTTTCACCATCTGTGAATAGCTTCACCATATCCCTTCTGGCCTCGCATGTATACTCTTGATCATCAATATAGAGAAGCAAGTCACATCTCTCACGACCATCCACCAGATAATAAATATGACGAATCAACGACAGAAGTTATTCCACATTCAACGAACTCCCAAACCACAAGCAAGTCCCCAAACACAAAAGGAATTATCAAAGGTCGAGGTAGCTATCCAATTTTCCCCCCTTCACCAGCACCACGTGCACTCACCACCTCCAAGCCCCCGGCACCTCCATCTCATCATCCACCGCCACCCCCTCCATATCCTCCATATCCTCCACCTCCACTACCCGCCTCGTCGCAATCCCCAGCTTCATACCCATCCCCATGATTCCCATCATCCCCATCTCCTTAAAAGGCAACCCCTCCTTCTCCGGCGTCGTCGGCGTCATCGGCGTCATCAACGCCTCCATACCTGTAGTGGAACTCGCATTCGACACGGCCTTGATGCGTACCCTCCTCCCTCTCATTCTTCCCATACTCCTAATTCTCATGCCCTCATCATCACCATCTTCTTCCTTGTAGGGAGTAGTACGAGTAGCAACTCGAAGCTCATCATGTTCATCGCAATCGGAGCTCTCGGCACTACTTCCCCTGAGACTGAGAGAGGGTTCGGAGCCCCAGCTTGCACTGGGCGTTCCGATGACGCTGCCGCTGGCACTGGCACTTCCGCTGCCGCTGGTAGTTGAGTCCAGACGGCGTTCCTCTTGGTGAGTGCCTTGACGAGGGATGTAAGCTTGATCTTGATCTTGAGCATGACCTCGACCATCCTCACCCAAAGCACCTCCACCCCCAGCCCCAGCCCCAGCCCCAGCTTCAGCTCCAACATCCCCCTCCACCTGCCGCTGCAACCCAACACCACTCTGCCACGGAATTTCCTCTTCCTTCTGTCTCACCCCTCCTTCCACCATCCACCCCTCCGTCCTCTCCGTCTCCTCTCTACTCTCACATCTCTCCATCTCCTCCCCCTCCATCGCCTCCTCATACATCTCCCTCATTTTCTTGAGTTTCTCCTCGTCCCTGGGGACCGCATCAAACGGGAACCGACACGGCTTGGCAATCAACAGCGGCGTGTAATCGTTCCAGTGCACCGGCATCTCAACACCCGTCACCGGATCGCGTTTCTTGCTGATGGTAAAAGCCCAGGCCATGCCGCCCATGGTCAAAAAGAGATCTTGCTCGACGATGGGCACGCCTTGGCAGGTGCGGCGGCCGAACCCGAATTGGGAGAAGCCCGAGAGGTTGGGGTAGATGGTGAGGGGTTCGCGGTAGGTGGGGTAGGAAGGGAGGAGGAAGCGGGAGGGGTTGAAGGTTTCGGCTTGGGGATAGGTTTGTTCGTCGCGGGTGATGGCCCTGTGGAGGTGATAAAAGGGGTGTTAGTATGGGCGGGCGAGGGGAGTTGATGGGTAAGAAGAGGAAGGAAAGGAAGAAGGAAAAGACTCACCACTCAAGAGCATGGATCGTAGCTCCGGCGGGGATGAAATACCCATTATAGACATCATCCTTTTCAACCGCATGGGGAATTCCTAGAGGTAGGTATCATCACGATCATCAGCATCTTCCCTCCCTCCCTCCTTCTTCACCAGTATCAACTCAATGAAAACAAAAAAAAAAAAAAAAAAAAAAAAAAAAAAAAAAAAAAAAAAAACATACCAGTAGGCACCGGCGGCCTCCACCTAATAACCTCCTTCACCACCGCCCTCAAAAGCGGCAACTTCTCCCGATCCTCCCACATCGGACACCGCCCCGCCAACTCCGTATCAATCTCCTCCTGCAACCTAGCCTGCCACTCCGGATAATGGCACATGGCCAAAATATAACTCTGAATCGGGCTTCCGATCGTCAAAGCACCCGCAATCGCCATCAGGCCAACAACATGCATTGCCTCATCCGCTGCTTCCTTGCCTTTCTGCTCGTCGCATTTCTTGTTGGTAGAATCGATCGATCCCTGTTCTTCCAAGTAGGTACGAATAAAAGAAGGCTCGGCGCGACCTACGTCCATCATCCTTTTGACGAACCCAATGTTGGAGCGGAACTGTTTATCTTCTAGCTCATGGCGGGCTTTTTCCTTTTTCTGCCAAGGCGAGAGGGCGAGGGGGAGGTGCCGAAGGAAGGAGATCACGTTGGGCAGGGCGCCAGAGGGGGAAATGGTTTCGAGAAGCCCAAAGGTGGTGTGCCGGAGGATTTGGGCTGGGTGGGCGCTGCCCCATGATAAACGCGCGATGGTGCGCGAGGTGAATTGCTCAATGTACTCGATGTAGTTTTCGGGGGATTGGGAGAGCAAGTACAGAAAGCGGTTGCGCTCGAGCGTGGGGTAGTCGTGAAGGGAGGCGAGGGCGGAGGTGTGCATCAGGTGGTTGCAGAGTTTACGTTGGCGTCTCCAGGTGTCTGGTTCAACTTGTCAGTACCTAGGTACTTTCGGGGCTTCGTGGTGGGTGAGGTACGTTGGGGAGAAAGGGCTTACCATTTCGCCCAAGAAGAGCCAGGTAGTCACCGCTTGTCCGGTTATCAGGCAAGTTGGGAATCTGTGGCCGGTCAGAGTAGATGTTTGCTCGTCGGGATAGGAGGTCGTGAGCAATCTTCTCTGAGGAGATCCAGACGTGGGTGACGCCGAACATCTTGGTCTGGTAGATGGGGCCGTAGACTTTGCTCCATTCATGAAACTTCAGCCATGACCCCTTTTCTGGTATATCGTGGACCCGACCTATGAAGGGGAGATCTGAGATGGAAGTTTTGTTCAGTCAGCCAAGTCCTTGTTCTATACATCTTGGAAATGAACAGAAAACTATTGAAAACTCCCGTCATAGTAGACATGTTTCTATGACAGAAGAAAGAAAGAAGTCAACTCACTAGTAGGCCCGGGCAATGGCCGGCTGCCACCACGTAACCTCTTCCTCTCCAACCATCTCTGTGCCAACAACAAGACCACCAACACGGTCAGGAGGGTTATTGCGAAAACACACGGCATGTTGTGTGTCTGTGTCTCTGTTTCTCCTCTCCGAGGAGCCGTTGGCCGCCGGCGGCTGTGGGAAAAGACACAAACCAAATTGGACGGGAAACCAGGAAGCAGGGATCTGACGCCAGAAACACCCGGCTTTGGGCACAAAGAGAGCAATGGAACGCAAAGACGAGATGCAAAGACAGTGAAACTCGAGAGTCTATCCGTGGTCTGCCGTCTTGCTCGGATCCGTCTTCTGTTGGGTAGACGTACTGAGACTTAGTTTCCGGGAGTATGATGGCTGGCTCTCGGACTCAACACTTCGCAGACACAGCCGCACTTGTTCGGTACGGTGGCTATGCGTCGGAGGTTGTATATAAGGACTGCAGTGAAAAACAAAAGGGCGTGCAAAAGACTGTCCGCGCTGAAGGGGGGAATGGGCAGTCAGCGGCTGGTAAATGGCCGGTTTGAATGTCAAAGTCTTAGGAGGTAAGCTCTTCGAGATGAGCGAGGGAAAAGTAAGGTCTTAGTTATGTGAGATCTTACAACGAAACTTTCGGGACACATCTTCTACGTCAATTCGTCTTCCGCTGAGTGACGGGGTTATAACTGGAAAGGTCCGGTATAGATATGGCTTTGCCGGACCTTGGCCATCACCTCTGGGATGATCTTAAGCTTCATGAGGCTGACCTGACTTTCCCTGCCAGCAACAGATAGGGAATCCGCTGTGAACCTCTCATTGAGACTAACACTTGGGAACAGCCTGAATCGCCAATGTAGCTCTAATGCTCACTTGCTACCATCGATGTTGGGGAAAACCCGTTATTATCGAAGAACGACATCATCGTTTTGTCACAAAAGGCAGCAATCTGTAAGGAGATAGAGGTGTAGTGGCCATCTCGATCATTCCCCTTCACGTTGTTGCAGGCCTGCTCCCATCATTAGTCAAGATAGGTTACCAAGAATCTGAGGGCCATGGCTAGCCGCTCAAGTGTGTATGTAGGTGTTGTAGTGGATGTGAGTGACAGTGTCATTCTATGCAGGCCAGCTGCCTGGCCAGGTAGCGTGATGTTCGAAGGGTGCCATTTGAGAGAACAAGTCGTCATCCATCTGCGACTCGTTGAGAGGCTAACATTATCTTTGGCTGGCCCACCAGACCTCCCATGGCGGGCGGCAGGGCAGTTGCATGTTGTATAAAGTCGCCCCGGCCAATGGCCTGACCCTCGCTGAGCCCTAGTCCAGTTGGTGCCACTAGACATGCTGATGTGAAGCCCATAATGGAGTGAAGAATAAAAAGAGGCCAAGACCGCCTTGCCATCGGGGGATCAGGAATGATGGTCGCCTCCGGAGATGGTCGACGATGTCCGGGACCTCATGAAGCAACGCGGCTCCGACGTATGTTGCTGTAAGCTCAACTTTACTCGAGGTTGGAGACTGAAATTTGGGACGATGATGTGATGATATGTAGGTCAATTAGTGACTGCCTTAGGTCATGCGTTCGATATGGTGGATCAGATGCATATCGTTGCGAGGCCAGATCTCTCGAATTTCCGCCGTTGTCAAGTCAATACTCGTCGACTTCATGGATAGCTTCAACACGTTGTCCGGTCACCAATTGGGGCACGATTGATAACTCGTAGTGTATGGCGGCCGTCGTCTTCGCTGACGCCGCGGGGATGTCCGCCTGGAGTTGAAGATGTAGTTGAATAATCATGGGAGTGTCGGTCCTCTGTGACCAGATTCGTCCATGTTACATCAAGTTGTTTGGATTTTCAGACCGGGACGTAGGAGGCTTTGGAGAGTATTACACAAAACCTAGTCTTCTCTCCGCCGGTAGCACACCGTTGAACTTCTCACTGGCCCTGTACGTCAGTAGCCTTAATGGGAATGTAGTGTTAGGATGTTCTCTACGTCAAATCTAACGAGAACGGCATACGAGATGGTATTATAGAAGTCCAGATCCTAGGGATAAGATCAAGGGCGCTTTCCCGGTGCTGCTAGACGGGCGTAATATTGAGGCTAACGGCAAGAAGGGAAACGCACTGTAAGTGTGAGCTGCCAGGCCCTTCTGCTCTCTGCAAGTGTCAATACTGCGACCTTTTTCGCGTTAGCATCAACCAAAGCAAATGGACGGACCCTAGTATCAAGGATGAACTCGATGGCCTCGACACCGAATCGGTCACCAATCCAAAGAATAGAAAGGTGGTAGACGTCGGACTCTTTGGCCAGCCGTCCAGGGCCGTGGAACATGCAGACCAAGCTGCAACTAAAATCACTTCTGAACTCAGAAACGATGAGAGCGAAGTGAAAGATGGATACTGCCAGCGGCTGTCAATGTTGGTTCTCGCATTTGGAGCGGCAGTTGGAAGGCATGGACTGGCATCCGCGGCCCTCGGGGGCGAGTGCATGCCGTCCTGTCGAGGGCTGCCATTGCCGAAGCATGCATGCGGCTCCCCGTAGCCCGCGACCTTCCTCCGTAAGCCTGCCGGTCTTCGGTCCCTGAGCGGTGGCTGACACTGGCTTGACTGTATCCCATTGAGCATGGAACCATGGTTGACATTAGGGTTGATCAGACGGGAGCCAACTCCCAACAGGAACTGAAAATTTGCTTTGGCCCGATGGATTCAATATCTGATGGTGCTCACTCTACTCGGTCCCGTTGCCTCCCGTCGGCGTTTGGCGGATCTGCTCGTCAATGTCAGCATTATCAACATGATTCAGCATATCACAACACCAGGAAACATCGACTAGCTTGCTTGAACTGTTTTTTTTTTTTTTTTTTTTTCATTTCATCCAGACCGTACTCCCAAGATTTGAGTCCTCCTCCTCACAACGCCTTTTTCCTTTCTTCTTTCTTGCTTTTGCTTTGACATTCGAATCGTCATCAAGCATGATGTTGGTCACGCTGCGAGGGTCCAACCGCAATGCTGCTTCAGCTTGCTTCTGCATCTGCTTTGCGTATGTTGCAAGCGCGGAAGCGATGCAAGGTGAGCTGATGTCAGTTAAGCTGCATTTTCCACTCCACCGAACACTGTGTGCATCCAGTTGTCAAGACACTGTTTTTGTGCGTGCATTGCGATGATGGTTGGGGGACAGAATTTTGTCGGACGGGCAACTCGTCGTCCTTCTTTCTTCGTTGATTTTGAACAGAACCGTTGCTTCTCAGATTTGGGTATATAAGTTGGAAGTATCAACGTTCGGCTACTCGCTGTGAAGATGAGTGATGATCGCATACATTTTACATACTAAATCGCCCAAGTCAGCCTATTAGTCTTCCAATCCATGCAACCATCACATCAGTCAGGGGCACCAGGAGAAACATACCGGTCGACAGGGCTCAATCCAATGAGGCGCATGCCGTTAGCCAGGACAGTCTGCACAGCAGTGTACAGGGCCAGACGGGCCTTCATCAACTCAGGCTCGCTACCGACGACCTGGAGCTGGTCGTAGCTGCTGCTGAGCGCGTGCGTCAACTTGAACAGGTAAGTAAGGACAGTGGTGGGCTCGAGAGTCTTGAGCGTGTTCTTGACCACATCAGGCCAGCCGGCCATGTGGCGGCACAGGTTGATGGCGCTGGTCTCGGTAAGGAGAGACAGGTCAGCAGTGGCGAGTTCCTCGTCGGACACGCCAGCCTTGCGCCTGATGGAATTGAGGCGAGCGTGGGCGTACTGCAGGTACGGGCCGGTGTCACCCTCAAACGAGGTCATGGTCTCCATATTGAAGGTGTAGTTGTTGATTCTGCAAGGGATCTCGTCAGCTTGATTTCGGAACCCGACAAGACAACCGGGGAACCCATCTTACCTCTTTCCAGACATGTCCTGGACCATGACGGACGAGATACCGAGAACATCGGCCGTGGCCAAGGGGTCCTCGATCTGGGAGTACTTGTTCTCGTTCTTCTTCATGACCTCGTGCATCTTGTCGGCGACGTCACGGAGAATGTCGTCCAGGAACTTGACGGTACCCTTGCGGGTGGACATGCCAAGGACGAGACCGAAGTTGATGTGCTGGCACTTGTCGGCAATGTCCTTGTAGCCGAGGAGCTCGATGATCTTGAACAGCTGCCTCAAGTGGAGGTCCTGAGCAGAAGCAACGACGTAGATCATCTTGTCGAAGTTGTACTTTTCGTGGCGGCCGAGGAGCTCAGAGATATCACGGGTAAGGTAGAGGGCAGTGCCGTCCCTCTTCCTGACAAGAGGCTTCTCGAGACGCTTGCCCTCCTTGCCGGGAACGAGCTCGGAGAAGTCGATGAGCTGAGCGCCCTTGTCCTCCTTGCAGATCTTCTTCTCCTCCATGAGGTTGCCGACCTTGTTCATGGCCTCCTCGGAGACCTGGGATTCACCCGAGTACTCGTCGAAGTGGATGTTGAGGCGGGCATACGTGTCCTTGTAGCGAACAATGGAGAGGTCACGGAAGCGCTTCCACATGGCGAGGGCATCGGCGTCGCGGTCCGTCATCTTCTTGAAGTAGCGACGAGCCTGCTCGTCCAAGCTGTTGGCCTCGAGAGCAGAGACATCCTCGCCGGCCTCCTTGCGCTTGGTGAGCTCCTCCTTCTCGGCGGTCATCTCGGTGTTGATGCGGACGTAGAGCTGGAAGAGGTGGTTGATGGGGTCCTTCTGGAGGGCCTCCTCGTCGCCATACTTCTCGTAAGCAAGGGCCAAGAGACCGTACTGCTTGCCCCAGTCGCCAAGGTAGTTGATGCGGATGACATCCCAGCCAGCGCCAGCGTAAAGGTTGGAGAGGAAACCACCGATGATGGTGGAACGGAGATGGCCGGCGTGGAAAGGCTTGGCGATGTTGGGGGAGGAGAACTCGACAATGATGCGCTTCTGGCCCTTGCTGGGGTCCTTGGGGTCCTTGAGACCATCGGCCTTGTTGAAACCGTACTCGGCGCCCTTGTGCTGGACCAAGGGAATAACGGCGTTGACGAGGGGAGAAGCCTTGACGAAGAAGCTGAGGTGGATCTGGCTAACGGTGGGCTTGGTGAAGAGGGGATCGGTGTCGGGGAACTGGAGTAGAGGCGAGAGTGTCAGCTACCGTCTGCAAAGCGCAATTATCGCACGGCATCGCATGTCTGTCTGGCTGATGAATGTACCTTGGCAGCCCACTCCTGGGCGAGCTCGTCTGGCTTCTTGCCCTTCACCCTGAGCGAGGGGACGGGCAGGGCAATGTCGCCCTTGTCGAGACCCGAAGTCCAACCGAGGTTGGGGTAGATGAGGGCAGTGTCGACGCCGGTGACCTCGGACAGGACGTTGGCGAGGTGGGCGCGGTAGAGGTCCATGAGGTTCAAGTCCGGGTAGGTGTCGGGGAACTTGGCCTTGACGGCGTCGAGGTTGAGGCCATCGACCTGCTTGACCAACTGGTCAATGGGAGCGGCGACGGCGGTCATTGTGCTGCTGTATGTGCGGCGTGCTGCGCGACCTGGACCTGGTGTTGTGGGAAGGCTGCTGGCGATGCCGGTGGTGGTGTGGTATTGAGAGGAAGCGATTTTGGTGGAGGAGGGGCAATTCCGGAGGTACAACAAGTGGGGGCGGCCCGAGTAAACAAAGGTCGTCCTTCCAGGGCCGAGAAGAGGGGAATTGGGGGCTGCTGAAGACCGAAGCGACTTGAGAGAATGGGGAGCACGCAAAATACCGCGCGAGAAGAGTGCTTGACAAGCCGTCATGAGCAGTGGTTGATCCTTCTAAATAGACACAATTCTTGTTCCCATGTACTATCCCGATCCGATTGGGCGTATGAGTCGTTCTACAAGGCTGTAACCTTGGACTTGTCAGTGACTCAAAATTTCTTTGCACGCATCGCCCAGTCAAATTGACTCAGTGCAGGTTGTGCACGGCTCAGTCTAGCAGGATAGAGGTGTTACAGCCAATGAGGAGGCAGAAAGCTGCTCGCTTGGGTCAAAAGAGGACCGTGCCGGACCAGGTGGCTAGGCGGATAGGGTCTGGCCTGGGCAGTTCTCTCCACGCGGGTAGAGGACGGGGCGCACCAACGCTACCATCCCGCTGCGGGGGCAGGGCAGTGACAGCTTCAGGCCCCCGGGTTTCATCGATTGTTGAGGTCCTCCGGTCAGTCATCGTCAAGTAGGTATCATCTTTTTTCCTTCCGTCTATCAATGGTATCATTTCTATCAAGTACACACGGTAGGTTTGCGTCCTACAATCCTGTACACAAACATCCAATGCATCAAAACGCATACTCCTCCACAAAAAGGCCAATCCCCTGTGCCCCCGTCCCCTTATGCACCGCCCTTTCATCCGCCAAACTGGCCACGCAATTCCTCACCTTCGCAACCAGGCTTGGTCCTCCACAAACCACCACTTTCGTCTCTCCCCCCGTGGCCTCAACCGGCGCTCTAATGAAGGCCGCAATGTCCGGCCTCGTGGTTGAGTAATGCACGTGTGAATCAACGCTAGCATTACTTAGTGGTCGCCGGGGTGTGAGGCTGAAGATTATATCTTCTACGTCTCGCCCGCCGCCGCCGATGGTGTTTGCTCTCTTCTCCTGGTCTCCCGAGGGTTGGATTGAGTCAGGACTGCTTTCCGTTCGGGTCTTGCCTAGGTTACTATCCCAGGATGATGCCCTCGATGATGACTTTTCCTCTGTCCTTTCGCGCTCCCTTGTCGTCGGGAGGATGGAGAGAGGTGGAAGGGATGAACTCCCGCTTTGGGTGATAGCGACGTGAACAAGGAGCTCGATGCCGACTTCCTTGGCGCCATCGAGAAATTCGTGGAGACGCTTGACGTAAAAGTCGATTTCTTCTCCTTGTTTGGTGGTGAGGAGGAAGTCGATTCGCTTGACGCAGTTGGTGCTGGCTTTGGCTAGGAGGTCTTCCAGGATGGGCAAGGTAAACGAAGCGCCGGTGGAGGCGGAGATGAGGATGACTGTTTCGTAAATGTCCAAACGGGGCGGCATGCCGTAGGGCCCGGAGACGAAGACGGTGTAGTTGCCCTTCTTCTCTTCAGCGTGGTCCTTCATCGCGCGCTCATGGAGCCGCTTGGAGAAGCCGCCGTGCTTGCGGACGACGAGCTGGATGCTGTTGCAGATACATGTTCCCGGGAGTTGGTGGGCGCAAGCAATGGTGTATGGATGCGCTTCCATGGGCCCGATGGCCGGCGCCCAGAGGTAAAGATGTTGTCCGGCCTTCCACTTGAAGTGGACATCCTTGATGTTGATGACCGTGATCGAGTCACCAACCGCCTTGATCTGAGCAAAGTGGCCGATCCTCTGACCTCCCTTGCACTTGGACCTGTTCGGCCTGAACTTGACGTTCTGCCACACCAACAAGACCGTCCTGCACGCTCGGTCAAAGCAAAGCGCCCCAATCGAGAACCAAACATTCCACCTCGCGTAAGCCGGAATATGGACATATACCAGCCAGATAAACAACACAGCACTAACCAAGTGCTGCAACACAAAGAACTCATACCCCAACCTCCTCAGTGGCGCAAACCCTGAGATCAACGACCAACCCAACACCGCCCACGCCGCCATTCCATACTTGACCATGCCCATCATCTGCATCTGGAATTCCAAGATGCCGGCCCGCTGCCACTCGGTGAAGAAATGCCATCCATGCACCGCGCCCGTAGCGAACATGGTCCTGCCGACCCACCGATGCAGCCAGTTCAGCCTCTCATGACCGGTCCCGACAATCGACCCAATGATGCTGCACTTGGACGCCAGCAGATACAGCAAGGGCATTTGCATGACGGTGATCCAGGCGTTGCGGAACCCGATGCGCTCCCAGAAAAAGGCATCGTTCTTGATGGCGTTGGCAGTCATCATGCTGATAATGATGGCCCAGTAGACAAGGAGGGTGATTACCCGCCCGAGGGGAGGGGGTGTCATCCACGAGAACCATGACGAGGGGACGTAGAGTTGAGGGTAGCTGGATTCGCGGACGAGGGCGGTTAGGGTGGCCCAGATTTCGAGGAACTGATTTGAAGGTTTTGTTGGGTACTGAACCGAGTTGGCGAAGCGTTTTTGTAGCCTTTGCGGGGTTTAGTATGGTGTGCGTTAAAAAAAAGGGGTAAGGGGGAATAAGCAGAACAAACCTCGTTCGGCTCTTGTAGAGGTTGACTAGACGACACAGGGCCAGGAATCCCAGGACGGCAGCGATGATGTACCAGAAATCATGGGCTAACCCCATGTTTGTACCCTGAAAGGAATTCGGACCTCCCATCGACATACCTCCCATCGACGACATGTCGTGGCCTCCATGCCTGCGCTCCATCCTCTCCATTTTGCTGGTCTTGACTGCCACGAGGCACTCGTTCAGCTGTGATTTTGTTCAATCTTGAGGTCTATTTCGTATTTGGCGATCCTTGTGTCGAGCGCCGTTTTACTTGGGTTTGGTGACGTCCTGTGAAGTCTGGAAATGCGCGTGACGGGTTATGTCATGGTTCGTCTTGGCGGTATAAACGATGATGATGGAGTTCAGGACAAGTGGACCGCTCGAACGAAATGGCTACCAAACCAACACGAGGGGTGGTCGGATACAGTAACGGACAGTTGAAGAGTTAAAAATAATGAGAAAACCGACAAGCAGTAATCGAATTTGCAAAATCGAAGCCAAAAAAGGAAATGTCAGACGACTGTTTTCGATATCTGTCGAGAAGAATAATAGTAGGGTGGGGGGCGGATCGCAGGTCCCTGATGAGCAAGTTTCTTTGGTAGGGAATAAGATCGTGGCGCGGCGTGGAGGGTGCGCCAAGAAATCAGTTTTGGAAGGCACTTCCTTCCTGTTACGGCTGGTTGTTCAACCTGTTCTATGTGCACCCACTCGGGTTTGTGTCTTTGTTTTTTTTTTTAAAGCCAAGAGAATCGTAGTCTCAGTTCTCATAACAAAATGATTTGGAGACCAGACGGTGAATTGCCCGTTCGTGCTTGGCCCAACTGCTACATGTTCCCAACCAAAGGTACTACTGTAGCATTCATGGGGAGCCGCTTTTTGGCCGCGGTCGGGACAGACGAGGCTAGACCCTCGCTCGTCAAGACGACGGTGAAAGAAAGGAGGAGCTCAGGTTGACGATGAGAGTCCAGAATAATACATGTAGCCCTTTGTATCGGTCAACACGGTAACCTCGCGTCCTCTCGAAGCCGCAATGTCTCAACAATCAATCCAACTCGATGCAGTGGTGGGCTCGTCATCGTTTTTGTTTTTATTCAAGATCCGAAGCGGCACCAATCCGTCGCAAACTCAACGGCGCGGACCTGGCTTGATGTCGAAATCGCGAAATGGGATTGGAAAGGAGGAAGGGATTGTCGATGAAGATGGGAAGATGGGAGGAAAGAGCAAGTTTTTACTGGCTCCAAACTGGGCTCCAAGGGGGGTGGACCCTGTCGGCAGCTCGGGCGCTAGTGAGGCCACAACTTGCTCAAACCCACTCGCGAATCTCACGCTTTTACCAATTGGGGCTTAGCGGCGTGCCGATAATACGGCCCCAAAGGGCTAAGCGTGTCAGCATTTAGTGTTGCACAACAGCGTTCTAGTGCAGTTCTACAGCACTGCAATGAACCCCACTTGTTCAACGAACGAACGAACTTCAGGTCAATCAACATCCAAACTTTTTGGACGACAGACAACAGACGGCGCAAACAAAGGCTGTGATATGAAACACAGACAAGTGTCTAGGCAGAGAAGGGAAAACTGGAGGAACGGATCAAGTTACATGGAATTCCGTTCTTGCCTCGTTGGTGGTGCAACTCGAATTCTGCCTTTCCTTTAAGTAGGAGCCGGGAAACATCGTGTCGTGTTTTGCGCAAGTTTGTGGAGCAAGACTTCCAACCTTCCAAACGCACTACTGCGTAGACTAACCAACACACCACATGCGGTGAGTCTCAGATGTACTCTCGGATCTCCAACCCGTCAGCCTCAGACTTTTGTCTCCGGTTGTTTTCCAACAGGATTCTAGCGACACAGGTCATGTTTGCGTTGCGATGATGCATTTTTCCAAACCTGGTGTTCGTCCCATGGTCTGGACTTGGATCAAACGTGGAGGTCAAACACCGAACCCAACGAAAAGTACCTAGAGGTAGGGTTCCTGGAAGACGGGATTAGCGGTCGTACCTGACATTGGATCGCCGCGTGGTTTTGTTCCCCATCCCGTTCTAGGTAAATCCACAATATACATTCAGGTACCAACAACCTCGAATCCAATTGTATTTGTCACTCCTTGCTTTTAGTCCCTCTTGTTCCCGGCACCCGTCCGTCGTGTTGGACCCTTCCAGCCTTCTCCAGCCGCGGCTTGCATCAGTTCCACATCCTGTCGGTTCCGGTCCGGCAGCCTTTACACTTACATATCTACCTCCCACTCGCCTCGCTGCCTACCATACCTACACTCCTCTTCCACTTTTTTGCTCTTCGTTCAAGCCAGTCCCATCACCACCACCAACAACAACAACAACAAAAGCCAAGGACGCCACCACCACCTCCCAACAGAGCTACCGACCTCAACTTTCTTCCTGACAATTAAAACAAACAACAACCGAACAAAATGCGCTCCCTCTCCCTCCTCCCCACCGCCCTCCTCTCCCTCACCACCCTCGCCAACGCCCACTTCCTCTTCAACTACCCGCCCTCCCTCGAAGGCGCCTCGATCGACGAGGACAAAGAACCCAACGCCCCCTGCGGCGCCAAGACCCCCAATCTTTCCTCCGACACCACCACTACCAACTTCCACGTCGACGGCGACTTCATCTCGCTTTATGCCGGCCACCCGCAGTTCACCTGGCTGTACCGCGCCTCGGTGCAAGAAGTCAACGAGGGCAACTGGACGCAGCTGTTCCCGATCGTGCAGCAGAGCGGTCTGGGCGATTTCTGCTCGACGCAGGTGACGGCGCCCAAGGAGTGGGTGGGCAAGAAGGGCGTGGTGGGCGTGGCTGGTATAGGTGGAGATGGGACTTTGTTCCAGGTACGCTACTTACTTTGTAGCTTCCGTTTTTTTTCTTCTAGGGACAGTAATAGGGAGGAAAAAACGAGAGAAAAGAAAGACGCTAACAAATGTAACCAGTGCGCCGTCGTCAACTTCGTCGAGGGCACCAACTCCAACATGCCGAGCGCGTGCAAGAACAGCACGGGCGTCACGGCCGCTTACACCAGCGATGCCGACTTGACCAAGTTGGTCGGTGACCATGTGGAGGCATCCCCGAGCGCCTCGGGTGCCGGTGCTGCCCCGGCTCCTACGACTACCGACAAGACTAAGAATGCTGGTGTCGTTGTTCGTGGCGGAGGCCTCGCGGCGCTGGGTGCCGCGGTTGTTGCTGGTGTTATGATGCTTTAATACTCTGAGGGGAGATAATGAGGAAAGTCGCGGCGGTCCAAGAAAAAGGGTGTTCAGGTCACGATAGATACGGGGAGCAGCGTAGGACGCTGTATAGGCATGATAGTGTGATGTTGTTAATGACCAGTTTTGTATTCCATTGTGTTGGCGATGATCGGACCAAACACCGGAGACAGATCGGCCAGGTGTCAGTGCCCGTCGTGCCTTCCACCGTTGCTGCTCCTCTTGTCTGCCGCTCCAGCCTGTCATCTCAACCTCCTACCTAGGTAACGCTAAAAGTCCTACCCCCGTCTTTGGTACATAAATTTCCCTAACAGACACCTTTCCCCTGGTGTGAGCTCGTTGGTGTAATGGTAACATTCCCGGCGTGGAAATTTCCGCGTCTGCATACGTGCCGCAGGAAGACAACGGTTCGAGTCCGTTACGGGCCATACCACACTTTTTTTAATGCTGTCCTTTTTTGTCTTTTGTGGGCATCTCCTTCAGTAAAAAGCTATAAGCACCCCAGCCTGGACCGGTCCGGACAAGGAAGGTATGTATGTATGCTCTCACTACCCTAGCAACCCCTCGAAGAACTTTTCTTTTTGTTCCATTAGTACTTATCTCCCTTTTCATTTGCTTTGTCGGGAGCCCATTTCGAATGCTTAGGACATTATCACCAGTAAATTGCAAGTCGGTACCCCAATATATCATTCAAAGCCCTTGAATTCCTGACTATTTCCAGACACTCATTACACCCATCATACCAAACCCTCATCAAATTTCCAAAGTTACCACATCGTCCAGTCGAACACGATGGCAAGACAACCAACACCAGCTAACACCAAATTACTCCCCCCCCAAATATTACATGTACAAGACATGATGATACACGTCCTATTGTACAACAAGATGATCACTTAATGACCACCAAACAAACAAACCCCTTTAGAGACCAGCGGGGGTCTGGCAAAGGATGTCTTGGCCGAGCTATTATTGTTCGCTACAAGTCAGCACCATGTTACACCTTTCAACAGCTCTGTCTCGAGCATGACATCAGTCAAGGTAGGCAAGGTAACTCACAATAGGCAAGACGCAGCAGCGAGCGCGCTGGCCGATATCAGCACAGGTAGACTCGAAGTGGGTGGCGTTGGCGACGGTTTCCGGGGCTGTAATGAGAAGGACTTGATTTAGTATTTTGGGTTGGGTTGTTGACATATGGACTGAGGGTATAGTATAGTAGAGCGGGCTGGCTGGCGGGCGGGCTATTGGAAAGTGGAAATACTCACGGTTGGCGCAGTCAAGGTCGGCGATGCCGAGGACATCGGTAGCGCAGCATTGGGCGGTGCCGTAGAGGCCGGAGCAGGGAGTGTATGGGACTTGACGCTCCATAGCCGCGGGAGCGGCGATGGCGATGGTGAGGAGGGAGAGGACGGTGGCGATGGTGAACTGCATTTTGATGGCTGGGTTGGGTTTGGTTTTGGGAGTTGTGTTTTGGGTCTGGTTTGTGAAGTGGTTGGGTGCTTGGTGGTTGAGTTCGTTGCCTGTTGGAAGTTGATTGCTGAGCTGATGATGATGATGATGAGAAGGAAGATGTGGAGAGGATGGAGCAGAGGTCGTCGTCCTTTTTATACACGAATCTTGAGGCTCATGCCGGGGACGAAGTGTTGTTTCCCATCTTTCGCTAGAGTGAACTCAAATGAACTAGTAAACAGATGGACTTCACCGTCCCTTGCTCTGAGCCCTGATCGGCACTTCTCTGAAGACTCAGACTCAAGAGGCGCACCTGCCTGCCTGGTAGAGAACGAATCCTCGAATAGGATGCCAGTTACAACGAAGGGAAGAGGGTGTTGACGTCGTCAACCTCCACTTCGGACTTAGGTTACCTCCCGTTCCTGAATCCAGCCGCACCACCACCATGACGACAAGTCCATAGATGGCATCCATCTCCCATAGCCGGTTGCCAGCGTGGTAGTCTATCCCAGCCTACCACGTGCCGGTGTCTCATGTTGTCCTGTGTTCCAGCTCAGCTGGGCGACAAAGCTAGAGTCCGGCGACGAGAGTTGCGATCAGACCCTGAGATTACAACATGGAATCAATGCTGTCTATACCCTGCTTGTCTGACTTTCTGTCTTGCAATGTTCCGTCGATGTGGGCGACACATATGGAGGCTATATTGCTACGTCATCAGCAATAAGTGCCCATCAATAGTGTTGAGCCGCTCAGACTCGGGAACCACAAACTGTTTTGCTCCTGTTCCAAGGCAATCTTGAAGGCCGCCGACGATCTCCAAACTCTGGAGGTTTGTTGAGGTTGAACCCTTGACATGAAGTCCCAATTGGGCATGTTGCCCCTTGCATGGAGGAGAAATAAATTGAAACCGACGTCCTGTGTCTGCAAGTTTTCTTGCTTTTTCCTCGGGGCCCGGGAGCTAGGTGGCTAACGGTTATTGGTTCCCGGCAGCTGGGGGAGCACGAATGGAGGAGGCTCAAGGGTTTTGCAGGCATGGCAACGGTGTTGCATTGGGGCGTCGTTCCAGCTGTCCAGGGCAGGATTTCTTACCAAAGCGACCCTACACGACCGGTTTTCTGGAAGGATATGACATCGTTTCTATAGCATGAGGGTGCTATAGGAGAGTCGCGCAACGGTCCTATTAGACGTCATACACTTGGCTGTATCGATGGATGTTGATGGCCCGGTGCCGTTTTCTTTTTGATTGGATAGTTAATAGATTGTAATTTCCAGCATTTCATCTATTCAGAATTGATTTTTTAGATTGCTGTGTGTTATCGGCATGAAGGGATATTGACCGTGCGCTGACTGGGCACCACGCCGGTGTACACGCCAAGGATCGCGGTGAATGAGACCGCCGTCAAAATTCCCCGTAGGTATGGACTGGACTGCGGGCAGTGGTTGATTTGCATAACGGGCCGGAAATAATGAATGAGTGCGCATCGCGAGGCAAGCCATCCGGTTAATATCTGGCGCATGCAGCGGCATCCGAGCAGTCCATGAACTTGGGTTTATCCGGCACATGTTCCTGGAATTGGTTGTTCGACTTGAAATGGGTCCGATGGTAATTTCATGAAGCAAATATTTTGAACCCAATAGGTAAACAAGGTGTTCATGCTCGTCTTACCAGTCGTGTTGGCATTGGATACGCTGGACAGTGAAGGGAGGCGCATCGTTGGCAAGCGTCCGCCACGCAGTGTCCTGATTGAATCCGACGATAAGCCTGGTCATCGAGGCATCGCCAGGCTTTTTTTTTTTTTTTTTTTTTTTTTTTTTTTTTTTTTTTGGTGTTGCAATGAGAAGAAACAGAAACGCTAGAATCGCGACATCAACGGTGCAGTGCCAAGCTAGTGCAGGAACATGAGACATGAGTGGGCCCGAGCGGAATAAGTGATACTGCCCTATCAGTTATGGGACAGACCTCGCCGAGCAGTTGTTAGTGGAACAGCAGCCATCTGACCTTGCTGCACCCGCCTTCCATTCGAGACACGACGATGGACTGCCATGGCCAGAACATGTCGAAAGGGAAATAGGAAACTAAGCCGAACAATCGTCTATAATTAGTGAGACCGATAGGCCATGCACCTGCTTCCATGTAGGAATGACTGGAGCTCCAGATGGACGTTTACCCTCGCTGTGTTAGTTCCAGAACGAATGATCAGGCACCATAAAAGGAATTTCATAAACGAATTTCGTAACTAAAGTGCTAATGGTCCGCCATCTTAACTCTAATAGGCTCTTTCTTCCGGCTTTTTCATCTGCTTGCTGACCATGTCTTTTATTCTAATAATATCCGAGATAGCTTCAACTGAGGGCCCCTTGGGCAGACTTACTACCACCCATATACATGATCAAGTATTGCTATTACTGCCGCCATTTCCTCCCCTCCTAGTTGACCGCCTGTCCCTATTAGTCCTTTCCGGCCTCCCCTGGCTTTCAAACCATTCGTCCAGCCGTCTAATCCTCTCTTCCCAGGACATGCCTAACACCTGTTCAGGTCCGACCAGTCTTGAGCGTATGTTCGGGTCAAATCTCTCTTCGAATGGTGTATTCTTGCTGTCTATACCTTCCTTTCCTTTTTTTATCTGTCAACCCATCATCTTACCACATAGATCCTTCATGCTCCAACTATTTTTCATCAATGTCAGCTGCTCAGATTCTCCCAGTTTTGCAAGTGCATCCCTGATCTGTATGCCTTGCTGAAAAAAATCGAAAAAAAAAAAAATCATCGCAAAAATCAATGTATGCACCCTCAAAGCATTCTGCTCCCCAAATCAAATCTTCCCTTTGAGTCTGCGACAGGCCCCCCTGAGCAGACTCACCATCACACACATATAGATACATGATCAGCGGCTTCCTCCATCATTCCTATCCCCCCTAAGACCTTTACAAATCAGGTCTTTTTCCTCAGCTCCGTTAGCAAGAAGACGGTCATTTGTTAGTCGAATGACATCATCCCAGGACATTCCAAACATCGTTTGAGGTCCCACCAGCCTTGAGCGAATGGTCGGATCAAATCTTTCTTCAAATTCTGTTGTATTTTGTGAAGGGTCGCTAGGATCATATTTAGGAAGGCTGTCCAAGTCACGCTCTCTACGGCGGACGGGATGAACCAATGAGTTGACCCGGAATTCATAACTGGTAGGATCGACTTGCACTTCCACCACTGGCTGATTAGCTGCCGGGCTCTGGCCCGCAACAGGAGTCTCTCTGGCTGAGTGGAAGCTGTCAGATGTGCTTGCCGGGGACGCTGAGGCGTTTCTAGGATCGTATCTTGGCAGCCTTTCAAGATCACGTTCTGTGCGCCGAGCAGGATGAACCAGGGAGTTCACGTGAAAGGCATAACTGTCAACGTCAATCTGCCTCTCAGTAGACAGATCAGGGGCAGGACTTTGGCTCTGAGCAGGCGTCTGCCTCGCCGAGTAGAAGTGATCGGATCCACTAGTGGGAGATGATCCTTGCTGCGGGATAGGCACAGGTGTCGATGGTGTTCGCCTTTGCTGTTGCGGTAGGTGAGAACTGCTATACCAGCTAGGGGATAAGACTTTTATCATGATTATTATTCTCCGAATGGCTGGCGAAGCAGACATCTGATCAGGGTTCTTAGATATTGCAGGCGAAATCTTGCTTGAGAAAGAAGAACAAAGAGAGACGAACTGAGGTAGTGTTAACTCTAGTACCCAAGCGCCTAATAACAACCTCCCTCCTTGTCCGGTGCTAACCCACCAGGCCATGGTCACTCCAAACAGGACATCACTTGGTAGGTTCCCCTCTTTCCATCTGATAATCGTCCTCATCTACCATCAAACCATTCTCGTGACCGTTTGAGGCTTCTTTTCCAACTTTACGAGCGTGATACAACGTGTAATTGCGAGTCGAACTGTAGCCCTTCAGAGTCGACATGTCACTCTGCTGTTAGGTAATCCACCGCTGCAAGCTGCAAGCGGGCGGCAGTCTGAAGCCGGCCTGGCATACGTTCGAGGAGTTCCACTTACGGCGGGGCTACCCCATGTCTCCGCATTTGTTCCTTTTATCCATTGTATTTACAGCCGTTGATTGGTTCAAAGCTGCCTGCCGGTCTCCAGCACCCCGCAAAATGATGTACACTCAGCTACGTACCTTGGGCAGACACAGGTCGGCCGGGCAAAGGAAGGGACAAGCTTCCCGTCAAGTTCAACATCATGACGACAATTTGAGCTGAACCACCACTTTGCCCGATCAACTCATGCTACGACTACCCCGACCTTGATGGAACCGCCAAGTCTGCGTACCTCTACTCGTCGTCCAGACAATCCACAGTCACTTCATCGGATCAACATCATCCAGGAACGCTCCTGTTCATGGATCGGAATGCCTCCGTTTGCCACTGCCTTGGTTCCTGACTGAACAAGGCCATCCACTGATCAATTGTTCACGCAAAGCATAATTCCCTCGCCGTTAATCCCCAGCATTCAGTTACCATACTCATTCGGATCAACACATCCATCTCCATATCCTAATATCATAATTCTGTTCTCGTCCACTCCCGGCAACCGCTACCCGTGCTCCGTCCCGTGTCTCCAAAATGGCCGAGTCCCGCTACATGACCCTCTCGGACCCCTCCTCCCTCCTCAAAATCTCCAACGACACCTCCCAATACCTCCAATCCGCTCTCGAAGACATCGTCGCCAGCTACCCCCCTCGCTCGCGCTACTCGCACGAGCACCTCCAAGGCCTATGGAGCGGCCCGACGGGCATTGCGCTGCTGATGCTGCAGATCTCCGCCCGCCAACCGAGCTTGCTGGTCAGCGGCCAGACTCCCTACCATTGGGCAAAGGCTTACATCTCGGGGTCGCGCGGGCACAACCTCCGCCTTGGGTCGCGCGGGTGCGGTATCCATGATGAGAAGCTAGCCTTTGAAGCTGTGCGTGCTTCCATCTTCCGAGAGGATCCTTCGCACGTCAGGACTTTTGTGTCGTGTGTGAGCCAGATTCTGGAGGTGGAGGAGTACCCCGATGAGATCCTCTACGGTCGAGCAGGCACACTATATCTGCTGCGTCTGGTGCGACATTGGGTTCCTGGCAGCAACAAACTTGTTGACCCGGCCATTGCGGAGATCACAAATACCATACTCAACAGAGGGCCTAACTGGACGTGGCACGATAAGCGATACCTCGGTGCTGTCCATGGGGATATTGGTATCCTTACCCAGGTCGTCCTGACGTCGCCTGAGACTGCTCCCCAACTGGAATCGGTTCTGGACAGGTTGTTGAGGTTACAACATCCTTCTGGTAACTGGCCTAGTTCGGAACAGCATGCGCATACCGGTAAGTGCTTGGTACAATTCTGCCATGGCGCGCCGGGTTTCGTGGTGTCGCTGCTTTCGCTGCGCGAACACTTCCCTGCGCTTCAGGAGAAGATTGATGCGGCTATTCAATTGGGTCGCAAGTGTATATGGGCGGAGGGTTTGTTGAAGAAGGAGCCAAGCTTATGTCATGGTATCTTTGGGAATGCCTTGTAAGCTTTCTCTTGCCTTGTCTTTGCATAATCGGACCTCTACTAACAAGTGTCTCGTCAGGGCACTACCCAAAGGTCCCCAGCGCGAACACTTCCTTGCCGTCGCCACACCCGAGAACGTCGCCAACATGAAAAAGGCCGATCACACAGGCACCATCTTCGATCGAGCCGATTACGGACGAGCGTACTCTACCACAACGAGCTACACACCTAGCGCAGCATGGGCATGGCTAGTATGCGACGATGAGCATCCCAAGATGTTGGCATACAATGATATCTAGATGTTGACCTCCTCAAATTGACTACCAAATCGCACTCCGCAGGAGGGGGGAGAGATGCAGGAAATTCGGACAAGGATCACGATACGTAACGACATAACGAAGCTCAGCTTTTATGAAAGAACTTGGTATTAGATTACTACAAATGACGAAGAATTACTCTTTCAAACAGACTCCCATTCCACAGCCTACTTAGGCAACCCAACGCTTAACGCCACGAGGACCCTTTCCATGATGTCCTTGGGTCTTGTTGGTTAAAGCCTCCACGACACCCTCATAAGCAGGATGCCTGCTAAAGTCATCGAACCAGAGAAGGGCGGCACCCTCACCGGGAAAGACGGCAGGGACCCAGCTAAAGGGGTCGTAGAAATCCCAGATGGTGACACCGATGCATCCGTCGACTTGGACACAAGCTCCGACGGCCTAGTGTTTTCGATGAAACTGTTAGCAAGTGCTCAGTATAACATCCAAATACCAGTTGACTCACATTCTTATACGCCTCCTTCTGCTGCGCCAAATTCGTCGCATTCCCCGGCATCTCCAACCTCACATCCAACTCCGTCAACGCCACCTCCACGCCCAACTCCGCGAACCCCTCAATGGCAGCGACATGCTCATCCAGCGTCGGCCTACTCTCTGCCGTCAAATGCGCCTGGAATCCCACGCCATCAATCTTAATTTTTTTGCTTTGCAGCTGCCTCACCAGCTTCCTGACCGCCTCCGTCTTGACGCTCGGGCTCTCCAAGTTATAATCATTATAATACAACTTGGCCTTCGGATCCAGTTTGGAAGCCGTCTCGAAAGCCAACTGGATAAACTCGTCGCCGCCCAAGACGGTGGAAAACACCGATTCGCGATAGGTCCCGTCCTCGTTGAAGGCTTCGTTGACCACGTCCCAGGCATAGCATTGGCCCTTGTAGTGGGTCATGACGTTGGTGATGTGCGAGACGATGATGGCGCGGAGCTCGTCTTTGGTCCAATTACCGGCCTCTACCCAGGGAGCAAGCTGCGAGTGCCAGACTAGGGCGTGGCATCGTAAGAGCTTGTGGTGCTGGTGCGCGAGGGAGGCGACGATGTCGCCTTCGGTGAAGTTGAAGGTGCCTTGGGTAGGTTCGGTAAAGAGCCACTTTTGTTTTGGGTTGTTAGTGTACTACTCTACTAAAAAGGAGTGAGAGAAGGGATAGGGAAAGGGAAAGGGGAGGGGGAAGTCGGAAGAAAAGGGGTATGGGGAAAAGGGAAAAGGAAAAGGGGAAAAGGGGAAGGAAAAAAAAAATACAAACCTTTTGCCCATTAGTAGGCGTCGTCTGCCCGAATTCTCCAGACTTCCACATGATCTCGTCGTACTTGGGGTAAGCAGACTCCAAACCTGCACGCTCGCGCTGGCCGGGCGAGTCGGTGGCTGCGCCGAAGTACTTGAGGCCGGCCTTTTTGGCGTACCAGTCTAGACCCTTGTGGGAGCAAGACTTTCCGGAACCTTTGCCGTTGCTGGCAGAAGCCAGAGGCACGGAGGCCAAGGCGAGGAGGGAAAGGAGGGACTTGGTCTGCATGGTGGTGACTGGCTGTGGTTGACTTGACCGGTGAGGGAGTAAATTACAAGGAGGGAGGGGGGAACTCGACGGGAGAGACGAGGTGAGGAGAGAAAAGAAGCCAACAGGAAGGGAACAAAACGTTATAAAGATTCACGATATGGAGGTAGACATGGAAGTGGAGGTGGAGGTGGAGTCAACTATCGAGACCGATCACGAAGTCATGAACCATGGTGAACGAACCCTACAGACCCCATCATCTCCCCATGGGGTAAAATGGGGTAATGTAGTATGGAGTCGTTAGCTTCATGTTAGCATGCGTGAACATGGAATGGGTGTGACATGGGTCTGTATGGGGTCGTGATCCGTCACTCCAGATCTACCGACGTTTCCTTGCGAAATCGCTAGTGACAAGCGTCTTCTTGGAAGAACCTTTTGCGGCTTCTGTTATGAGTGGATTGGTGTGAATCAATGGAATCTCCTAGACAGGGGTAACGTCGAGGGTGGTTCGGGAGGGTTAACCGGGTTTGTGGAGCGAGAAGCCGTGGTGACGAGGAGGAGTCCAAGGTATGTACACTATAGTATGTTTTTGCGGTTCGTGATGCTGTGGCTGAGCCAAGTTCTTCGGTTTGTCGTGTTCTTGGGCGTGAAGACTGAAGAGGACGGAAGCTGAAAACGTGTAAATGCAAGCAATCTATTCAGCCGGACGAACCGCGATTAGGCCTCAAGGATGGTGAAAAAAAACCAGCCACATTGGCGAAGACGAGTCGCGGACAATATTTCCATCTCGCCTCTTTTCTTGGTTCGCTTGCCTCCTCTTGCACTTCTTCTCCTCACCTGCCCGCTCACAAGTTTCGCCGTAGTCTTGAGTTCATAATCGGGACAAACCACAACCAACAGGAAGGAATTGACCACTCGGCAGCGAGCCTGTTCTAGCGTTCACGATAGAGAGCTTCGAGAACTAAGACGGTTAAATTCCTCCCTAAATTTGCCGGAATAATAGCCTGCGGTTGTGCATGTAACCCTCTTGGCGTGACGATTATCCAATCGGTTGATGTTGTGGGGGAATAAGTGGCAGGGAGTAACACATGATAGCCGGACTTGGAATATGATCTGGGCGTGCTATTCAGCAGCTTGGAAATACCTAGGCTGATGGGGAAAGGACTTGTTAAGTACCTACCTAGTCTGTTTAGATCTATCCGTGACGAGAAGAAGGTCGAAGGCAATGAAAAGAACGACGCTAGGTACCCGGATGAGTGATACCGGATAATGATGATGGGTTGAGGAATGATACGGCTCTGGCGACGGGTTGGCTTGAGGAAAACTACAATGATAAATGTTTGGTTGATTGAGGACAAGTTTGGCAATAGGTCAAGTGGCCAAGTGGTGGTCCTGGAAAACTGCAATCGTCTCAGCTATCTACGTGTTCGCGCTGACTCTTTCTGTTGTTTGATGATTTCTCCTTGTTGTCTTCTCCCTATCCCTTTTCCATGGCCCTCTTCAAACACCATTACCGGTCCGATGATAGCCAAAATGCGGCGAAACAAACTTACATAACAGAGTAGATAGATACAATGAGACTCATTGCCGTCATACGGATATGACTCAACGATTGAGGACGTGAGTGGCCTATTTCAGGCTCAGAGCCACATGTTGAAGGCTTTCTCTGCTCAGCGTTTCTCTTCGTCCCATCGTCTGCTTTTTCAGGATCAACTCTTTGGTACACCTTGACCCGTTGATCGTGCACACTACACCACCCAAAACAGTAAACCATGTACTGGTCAAATCCCCCATGCAAAACCAGTCCCGACCCTACCGAAGGGGACCACAAAACATGTACATGTTCGCAACTCCTACTCAAGGCAGCCTTCGAAGCAGCCACAATAGCCAGCCACGAATGCCGCAACCGTCTTTTCCACGCAATTTACTGCGACCTTGAGGTCCATTCAAAAACAAAAGGCAGCAAGCCACTCCACTCCTTTTGCATCCCCTACAACTTCATAGATATCATCGGCCCAGCGCTCGACCCGCAAATCCAACACATTCTGTGTCTGCACAACTTGCAAAGGAAATACAAGTATGTTTCCAAGTTACGCAAGATCTTTCTAATCGCTATGCTTGCTTCGGTGGATTACATTGACTTTCTTGGGAATATGGTTAAAGTTGTTGACAATAACCAGGGGCAGTTATCCGATGACAAGCTCCCTATCGAAGGCAGCCAGGTGAGGGACTTGAATGAGAAGTACGCGGAGAGTTTTCGGGAGTTTTTTTGGTATCAGTACCTTTTTCTTGATGGATATTGCGGAGGTTCGTGTCGCTTCAAGCAGGAGGAGTTGGAAAAGACAACGTCGGGGGGAAGTGGTCGGAAACCGTATCTTCCGAGCTTTCTCAGCGAGACAGACCTTGATAGACAGAAGAAGGTGGTCAGGTCGGCGGCTTTGACTTTGGCGTTGATGTCGCATGCTGATTGTCAACACTACATGAAGAAGGTAGGCCTTTCCCGGTCTCGTTTATGAGGGAGTAGGTACCTCTACCTTTTGTGGTCTGGACTAACTCTGATCTTGTGGACTTGTAGGATTAGGGCAACCGGCATTCAACGCTCCCCGACAAGCAGGATCTGTCAGTAATGAGTGTGAGATCTCGTCTTTCATGGGGCTTACCAGGTACCCCATCATGAAGAAATTGACAGGCTTCATTGTCGTGGGTCTGGCGAAGACTTACACTCTATAAAATTGATAGAAGGGCGATCTGTGCCGATACCTCTACTTCGATCATACTCGCTCACTCCCATTAGCAGGTACCTATTCAGGGAACAATATCTCATCAACAAGACACACAAAAGACGTATACTAACCATGTCTCACGACTCCCTCAAGATCATGATTGCCCACCACTTCTGCCCGCCGCTTCTTCCATCCCATCTACCCGCCGCTATCTCCCCCTCTCCTAACTCCTGCCTATCTTGCGTCATCCCAAATCACAACCCAAGCTATCCCCATCCCATCCAAGGCATACAAGCTCCCTTTACCAGCACCCTTCCCGTGGGTGTCTCGTTGGTGTAATGGTAACATTCCCGGCGTGGAAAATTTCCGCGTCTGCATGCGTGCCGCAGGAAGACAACGGTTCGAGTCCGTTACGGGTTCACCCACGCTTTTTTTTTTTTCTTTTTTTTTTTTTTTTTTCTCAATCTCTTTGGTTTTTTTTTCTTCTTCTTGTTCTTCTTCACTGGGTTTAAGAAAGTTTATTATCCGGCCGTACGTACGCATCCACCCCATCACACATCACGCGAGAAACAAATTAATATAAACGAGTCGCGTTCAGTAAATAGACACGTCTGTACCCGCCTCCCAGTCTAGGGGCCGTGATGTATGACCATCGGCGTCGCAAATCCGATTCTCGGATGCTCAAGTGAGTGAGGTGTGTCGGTATTACTGAGCCGCCACTGGACGCCTACCTCCCCAAAACCCATGCGTGTTAGATTGGACCGTCAACTTCGTAACCTCCCTTGTCACACTTCGCATCCCCAAAAGGGAAGTTTGTTTACATCGCGAACAGTCCTCTTCGAGTCCAAAGTCTAGTCGAGTGAAGACTTTCAGGCACGTAAAGGTGCAATCCAACACAAGCAGGATACGGAACCGAGGGTGTGGATGAGGCTTGGAAGCGATGCTATGCACAGAGACGGAGGATTGGGCAAGTGTGCGTGTGTGTGATTCGAGCGGTCTTGTGGTGTTGAGGGGGCCAATGGTATTGAGGCCGCGGCGCGTGGGAGGCGCTCTTTGGGCAGAATTCGACACCCAACTTGGTGATTCAATTGTGGTAAGGCTGTAGTGGCTGACGATGTCTTCTATCTTCACTCACTACGTATGGACGTATGGTAGTTTGCAAGTGATCTAGTCAGGATGTTGCTTCAACTGATTACCTAGGTATGGAGGGTGAGTGTTCGCTATCCAGCGCGAGTTGAATCGATTGGGAGTATTGAGCTTCAAAGAAGCAGAGTGTACCTCCCGGTTTCAGTAGCGACAATATTTGGATTTGGTCAGAGCATTCAAGTCATCTCTGATTATGTGCTCGTTTCAGCCGTCGTGCAACAACTCACCCACCCAAAGGGTTTCATTGACTACCTGCACGCTTCATTGGGCCAAATATCGTGGCGTTGTCATTTGAACATGTTTGGCTGATCGATCACTCAAAAGGCTGGTTGCTCTCCCAGGGTTTGGTCAAAACTTGTCCCTCGAAACCAGCGCATTGCGGTCTCCCATTTCCTTCCGGTGTGCATTTCTTCGCCCATTATTGCACGCCTTGAGCCTCTCTGTGAAATTTCCTGCAACAGCTGTGGCATTGTACAAACCCTCGTCGTCTCCATTACCTTTGCTTGCCAACGTCTCGAGGAACCGCCGATTGGGAAGGCTGGGAAAAGAGGAAGTGAATGTACGAGGAGCGATTCTGAAAGAGGTAAGCTGATGGAACGAACATCCCACCAGACAGTCAACTTGAAGAGCCCCATTTCGTATTAGCACAATGAACTCACGAGATTTTCCCTAGGACAAGATATGTCCCAAGGCCTGTTTCTGGGATAGAAATGGAAAGAGCCACAAGCGAACCTTCTTGCGCCCCTACCGTCACGATGACAGCCACTACGGCAATGACTTCCAACGCCGCTACCATGCCCGGTCCGGAAGATGGTGTTCCTACGCCTGAAACAGAATTCCTAGCGATAGAAGAAGCTTGCGAGGTCCCAACCACGAAGCTTTGTACTCATTGCCTCGAATACAACTTCAGCCGAGAGACCCTTGATCCTGAATACCGACCTGGAGGATTGGATGTAAACCCAGTGTTCACCACCTTTGACAAGCTTGTCAAGTCTTCAACAACTTGTCCCTTGTGCAAGCTTATCTTGGAAGGGCTCGAGTGCCATTTTTCTGAGCGCAATCAGAATTCATTGAAGCATCGGGTGGGCAATGACAGTAAGGTCTTTGTCTCCGTGTGGCTAGAAGATGAAACGACCATAAGCTTTTTCATCATACCTCCTGAGGTAAAGTACCCTCGGCACCCAATCCCGAGGCTTACGGAGTCAAATCTGCATGTGTATCAGGGTTTGTGGCTCCAACTCCCGCTACTGTGGAAACTTTACAGCTGACACCGGCACACTACAGTAACAGACTCCGGTAACTTGACGCGCTTGGCACCCTCTCCACCGCTCACACCGTGGAGTGAACCATGTGTGAAACGGCTGAAACAATGGCTCAGCATGTGTCTTCAGCGCCACGGACCGCAATGTTGTACAATGCGCTCCGGCGAGGAAATAGACGAGTCGTTACCGCCAATCCTTCCCTCTCGAGTTATCGACGTAGGCTCGCTGAGTGGCTCAGTGGGCGCTCGTCTGGTGGAATCAGATGGCAAACGAGGGTATTACACCGCCCTCAGCTACTGCTGGGGAAGTTCTCTAAAGGCTGACCGACCGTATTTGACCACGACGAAGACACTTGAGAAGCATCTCTCGGCGCTTCCATGGGATTCGCTTCCGAAGACCCTTCAAGATGCTATCCTCTTAACCCGGGCAACTGGAGTGCAGTATCTCTGGATAGATTCGCTGTGTATTATCCAGGATTCCAACGCCGACTGGAAGAAGGAAGCAGCCAGCATGGGTACCGTGTATGCACATGCGCGGCTTGTCATTGCCGCAACAACAGGCGCAGATGCTGAGGCTGGTCTGTTCCCTTCCCAGACATGCATTCATCGTCCAGGCGAGACGTCCTCGGCTCTGTATTTCAGCAAGTTGCCGAAAGAAAGCGGGTCTCCTCAACACAATCTTCCTCTATTCACTAGAGGGTGGGCATTCCAGGAATGGGTGCTTGCAAGAAGAATTGTCTTTTGGACGCAAGATCGAATGTGCTGGCACTGTGCGGAGGGATGTGCTGGGGATGATAGCAAGAATGTGTGGACTTCCTCGGGCTTATTCGGACGATATAACACTTGGAAGGAAATTGTGACACGCTACTCCGGCAGAGAGTTCACATACCCGACGGATAAGCTCATGGCTATAAGTGGCATCGCCAACGAAATACATAAGAAGAGGCCGGAAGACAAGTACGTATTTGGATCTTGGCAGTCCGAAATACATTGGGAACTCCTCTGGTCAGGTCAAACGGCTCAATCAACTGACTCTGGATTGGAGGAATTGCGTATCCCGTCATGGTCGTGGGCTTGCCATCCTGGTGGTGTGCAATTTTTGCAGGCACGCAGCCATATAAGCTGGCGAGTCTGGGAAAAATCCGCCCAGTCTTCTGTCTCGTTTCTAGAGGATGCTTCTCTTCAGATCGTGGCAAGAACCAAGACGGTGGATTTTGGCGACCCTGACAGGGTAAGCTTTTGTTTTCGATGGTTCCGACATGATACTGGAAAGTGGAATCTCGATTCGTCACTCGTTCCAATTGATTTGTGGGAATGTGCAGATGACCTGTCTATGATCTTATCACAAGAGGTCGGCCCTTGCTCGGTCCAGATTGCTTTACGCCCAAACGAAATATTCATCGTGTTTGACAGCAGAGACTTTCTCGATACGTATCAGAAAGAGCGAAATACACGTCAATGTGGGAAAATGAAGCAGGCAATCGAAGCCATAGAGCGTAGTTCAGGGTTGCCTGCGGGTATAGCTGATGAGTTCGCATTCGTGGAGATGGCTCAAGGCTATTTTTTTAATAGAGAGGAGAAAAGTGTGGGCTTATTGTTGCGCAAAAGCCCCCATACACCCGGAAGATATATTAGAGTTGGTTTGGGGTTTGCTTGCAAGGCGTGGTTCGAGGATGCGAAGAGGGGCAATTTTGTTGTTGAATGACGGGTGGGCAAATGGCCGGAGCATTAGAAAGCATCACTGGGCATAAAAAGAGAGGCGACGGTTGGATGAACAGAACGAAGGGATCGATGCTAGGCGTGGGAGAAAGACGGTCTGGGGGAAGAAACAAGTGGTTGTTGTGGGTTGAGAAGAACGAGGCAATTCGACTAGATTCCATCATCTCTGCCGAACCGTCCAGGCCTATTGACCAGATGTTCTTTCCTTCCCTCCTTATCGTGAAAAGCCAACCATGACGCAACTTCCGACTCGAGCAATGCCCAGGCGTAACACTTTGGTGTGGAGGGTACTTCCAGGAGGCAGGCCGCTCTTGAAGCGGGCGCGATTTGAGGGTCCGGTCCTCCCCAATACCACCGTAACCCAACACAAGAAGCTACTTCTGATAATGATCGTGGAGCTTTCCATTCGACCACCTGAATTGGACATTAGATACGGACGAGCCATGATGTCTTGAGGTTCTGATATTGTGGAAAAAATGAAGAAGAGACACATGCTATCGCAGGGAAGCGGAGGAGCTGCTGATGAACTCGACTCGATGAAGTACATTGATAGATCAGCGTTGACTAGGCGGCAAAGCGTCGATGAGTACAACAAAAAGAAGTTGAAGCCAAAAAAAAGAAGTTGAATCAAGAAAAACACAATGGGTATCTCTGCCCCTACAAACTCCAAACACTCCCACAGGCACCTCCCCGGGCCCCTCCCCTCCTCACTCACTCGACTCCTCAACAACCTCCACATAACCTCTACACATCTTCAAAAACCTTTGCCTATACTCCTCAGGCGTAGTCGTAATACTCATCGGCCCCTGTCTACTAATCAACAAATTCCACAACTTGATCAAAACCGTCATCACCATCGGCTGCAACTTATGCTTCGCCCAAAAGAAATCCAAGATCGACGCTCGGTAGATATACTTTCCATCCGCCGACGCGATCCCGGTCCTCCACGACGGCGGACCAGGCGGCACCGATGGGCCGTCGGTCGGCGGCGCCACCTCTTCCAATACCACCTCTGATACCGCTTCTGGTGAAGAAGCAGCTGCAGCATCAGGTTCCTGCCCTGGGCCGGAGCCCGAGGGAGTAGAAGTAGTAGTATGCATCCTTACCAAAAACAACGAATAATCCACCGCCCCATACTCCGCCAACAACCTCGTATCCTCCTCCAAACACTTAAAAAACTCATCCGCCTGTTCTTTACTCAGTCTAATCTTATCATGGAACTCATCCGCCAACTGGCTCTTGGTAGCCTCGCTCGTCAGCGCCCCATCAGCAATGTCGCGCTCAGGATAAAAGTACGAAGTGGGCTTCAGGTCCCAATCCTCCCAGTCCACAGCGTTGTCGCCACCGCCGCGCTTCTTTGCTTCGAACTGGCCGCGGCCGTACATGATATTCTCCATGACGATATGGTGCGAGGGCGCAAGCCGCAAGATGCGTCCGAGCGAGTATCCCGAGGCGCCGAGGAAGTCGCAGATGCGCACGAGGAGCGAACGCGGGTGCGTGGCCATGTATTCGACGTAAGGCGTCAGGAGGTCTTCACGAAAAAAGGAGTGTTCGAGTGGCGTGGGACGGACTTGACGAGATACTTTTGGTCTTTAGTTGAGTAGAAGGTCTGGCGTGTGTTAGTCGACGGATCTAATGGCATGGGTAATCAAGAATAAGACTAACCGAGCCGGAAAAGCCCATGTCGCCAATAGAGGCCAGAGACTCTTCGGGTTTGTTGCCGTCTTGTGGTGGCTGGAAGGACTCGTAGTAATCATTGTCTCCAACGTCCCAATGGTTTCGACGCAGGTTTGCGAAATCGGCTGGTCGGATCTTTTGTAAGATCAGCTGGTGGATGGAAAAGAACAGGGAGAACAGTGACAGGATTAGGCAAAGGGGATTGCTGTTGGTGGATCGTCGTTTCGCGAGTCCAGTGGTGTCGGTGATGGCCCGCGCGATTGAGCGTGCGATTGCTTTTGAACGTCCCATGATGCTTCGTTCTGTTCAGGTGGTATACTGTGTAAGTCAAGTATAGACTTGGACAGAAGACGGAAGCTTGGGTGGATGGGAGGTCTAAAGTCAAAAGTCAAGGCCCACCCGATGTCTTGAGATCTCCAGAGATCAGCTGAAAACAGTGCCTGGCCGTGCTCGTTGATCAGGAACGCCCAACGGCCTGGAACAAGCATCGCTCTGTCACTGACGTCATTGTGTTTACTTTGTACATACCGCGGATCTTATCACGCATACCCCTAACCCTTATCAGCAGTAGCAGTCTGCTGTCCGTCCCAAAGGATCACGACGAGCACATGCCTACACATTATGCTTTGTTCAGGGAGCATGGCTTGTGATAGGTAACGAGAGGTCAGAGTATGTAAACGCAGGGGTACCTATGTTAATTTCAACAAGTAGTCCAAGCCATTAACGATCCCGGAATTGAAAGAATTCACGCTAGAAATCGAGCCTCCCTCCAAGCCTCACAGAGCTTGGGAAACCCACCTCCATCATCAGCAACCATTTCACACTTGCAAGGGAGATCAAAGCGGACATTCCAGTCATGGTTGCAACTGAATTACCATATCTACTTCCTCCCGTCAACTCCATGACCAAAAGGGAGAGAGATCTCATATAAACTCGCTATTCAAACGCCCAAACTCCCCGCATTTACCGACCACCAGGCCTCTTCGGCCTAGCGAACCCCCTACTCTGCACCGCCTTGGGATGCAACTCCCCCAGCACCCCGTCCTCCGTGATCTCGCTCGGCTCCTCCACCTCAAACTTCTTATCGACATTCAATCCTTCCTTGCTCGCCACCTCGAGCACGGCCCGCTTCATCAGCGGGTACAGCATGCGCTGCTTGATAGCCACGCGCCCGCCATTGGAGCTGGGGTTGGTGTAAAAGAAGAGAATGGGCGACTCCTCGGAGCCGTTGTGCGTGTGCGTGTACCGGAAGAAAGTGAAGCGCGGCTCGGAGGGGGAGATGGCTTGCACGAGATCGGAGATGGACGATGGCTTAGAAGAAGAGGAGGGAACGAGCTCGATGGTTTCGGTTGTGGGATTGACTTTCTGTTGCGGATCGTTAGTTACTGTTCACGCAAAGTAAGAAGAACGAAGGGAGAGGAAAAGAGAACTTACAAGCATCACCAACCCCTCACCACCCTCCTCCGCCAATCCCTTGAGAGCAGCCAACGCATCCTCCCCCATCGGCATCGCCATATGCGTCCCCAGGTGAATCTCCCGCTTACTCGTCCCCGCGCCCGCCTCCTGCTCCGCCCGCTTCACCTCCCCCAGACTCTTCTCCTCCTCCGTCAGCGGCGCGTCCAGCGCCGTATGCGCGTCGTGCTTCTCAAAGCCCTGGCTGGTCAACTCCTTGGCGTTGGTCGCGAAAATGGTTTCCCGGAAGTGTTCCGACCCGAGCTCGCGCACGAGCGTCAGCCGCGTCGAGGCGAACAGCATCTTTTGCCGCACGGGAGCCGTGTCGGGCACGTAGGTGACGGCCACCAGCGCGGGCGACGAGTCATAGCGGCGCAGGATGATGTAGAGAGCTTCTTTTTCTTTGATGTGGGGCGTCAGGAGGGTGTCGACGTTGGAGGCGAAGGAGGAGCCCGGGGAGGAGGTGAGGGTTTGGATGGGCTGGAGCTGTTCGTTGGCGATGTTGATGAGGAGGCCAAAGGTCGATGGGGAGCCGAGGAGGTCGTTGAATTGGGAGACCAGCTCCTTGGAGGCTGTAGGTTGGAAATGGATAGTAGGTTAGTGAGTGTGGTCTGACTTCCAACTTGCTGGGAGTCGGGCTGTCGTGTAGCTTTCTCTTCAAGGGGGGGAAACTGGAGGTTCGCAACGATGGGAAAAGCAGGCGGCAACAACTTACCAGAAATTCCAGACTGCATCTTGTCTTGTGTTTCTCCTTGTCCCTACTGCAGTCAGTCGAGATATGGTGTCTTAGGTTAAGAGATGTTGATGTTTGGTACAAGTTGGGCTGACTGCGATGACATGCGGTCAACCAAGAACCGGCGACGGGACTCCCCGTAGCTACAGTATGGTGGGGTCCAGGCGGGTCCCCTCTCGTGCCAGCAAGGTCCATAGAGTGGGGCCCCAGGTAGATGTACCTAAGTTTACCCCTGGGCTTCATCAACGCCCTCCTTTATTCCATCTTCACCTTCAAATGTCCCTTTACATAGCTACCGATCAATATCTATGGCCGGGGGTTCAAGATCTCTGAGAGTAATTTAGTATACCATGTGAAGAGGCGTGTGGATTGAAGCGTGACCGGTACGTCCGCGAGTTATAGTAGTCTTACAGCTAGGAATGCCTGAGAACCAAAGCTAAGTAGGACCTTAACGGTTTTCCACGCACTGTGCACAGAAAGTACATAGTGCATGATCTCAGTGCACCTGGTCAGTGCCTAAGTGGAATCCGCTTCAAGTATCGGGATCTCTCATGAACAAAGTTCATACACACACGAGCAGCCGGAGATACGCGCATTGTTCACTCGCGAAGCGTTTGCAAGGAAGAATTTGGCTGTTGTGCTCAGAATCAATCGCCTTCTTTCCAACTAGTGTACTACACCAAAAACGTCCAGGGTATCAAACAACAAAATAGTACCTAAAAAGTAGTACATCCAACTTCTAACATTAAGCAAAACCAGTCCCCCACCTCTCCACCCCAAATGGCATCGCGCCCTCTAGTGCCGCAAGATCCTTGAAATCGTGCTCCAAATCCTCTACTCCCTCGTCATATCCATCGTTATCATCATCATTTCTGTTGTTGTCATTGTTGTTGCTGTTGTTGTTTCCTGGCATCTCTCCCTGTCTGTAAAGGCCAGCAGCAGCCACCGCTTGGGCTTGTTTCAGCTCGCTATAAGCAGGCAAATACTCTTCTTCCACTTGCTTTTGTGAACGTCGAACGCTTGACTGCCGTCCGGGTTCATTTTGATTCACAGGGTAATCATCATACCCTGGCGGCCCAATACCAGCAAAGGCACTCCCTCTCGAAAAAGTCCTACCCAGGCCCGCCGACCCGAAATCCTGCTGCCCGATATATGTGCGTGCGCTTGCCGCGCTCGTTTGTCTGCTTATGCTCTGCCCACCTCCACCTCCATACCCTCCACCAACTGTCCGCGTACTGGACTTGCTCGCTTGTCTGCTCACTCCCGGGGTCCTGTCTTCATAAGACTGATAAATGATTGCGCCTGTGGGGCCGGGCAACCTGATCTCCTCCGCTTCCAGAACCTCAGCAATATCTCTGACCAAAACCTCCATGGGACAAATATAGGCAACCCTCTTCCTGCTACTCCAGGCGAGGATGTGGCCGCAGACACTACCGCCGTCTCTTTCTACTACCCAGGCTCCGGAGTCGCCAGGGATACCCATGGGCAGGGGCTGGCGACGGGAGTTGATCGTTTGGTCACCAGATCCGGAGGGACGGTTGGGACGGTTAGGTACGAGACCGAGAGAAGGAGTACCCGAAATTTGGTAAGTGTGACTGGGAGATGCTCGACCGAGTATTTTCACCGACGTGAGGGTGGGGAGGATGGTGCCTGTTTGCAGGCCAGAGGTGCGGGCCATGCATTGCACTTGGAGACCGGGAAGGGTATGGGAGGGGGCGATGGAGGTTGGGAGGATTGTTGGGATTTGGTCGAGGGGAATGCTGGACAGACGGGTGTGTTTGTTAGAAGCTTTGGGAATAAAGTTATCAGATGGTTGGCGATCGTCTTCGAATTCGAAAAGGGCCCAGTCGATTTCGTGCACGAGCCCGTTTTCTTTCCGCCGCCGAATACCACTGGAGGCGTACATCTCCCCGACCCGGAAGGTGTCGAGGTGGTCTTGGTCTTTGTCCTCAGCGGAGGGGTAGAAGTCGGAGGCAACGTCATCTAGAGCCGGCTGCGTGATGATGAAGCCTTCGCCGCAGCCGGGCTCAATGCCGGGGATGTCACCTGGTTCGGTAAACTGCTCCTCTTCTTCATAGTAGTCGCCATCGTCAGAAGCTTCGCTGGTTATGGCGGATTCGGAATAGGCTTCGGAATCGGTGTCAGAGAATTCACAGGCATAGTCATCGTTTTCGCTGCTTTCGGGGGAGGATTCGTCGGTGTTTGAGTACTGTTGAGCATACCATGCGGCCAAATCGTTTAAACCCCCTCCTGCCATACTCCTCGTATCATCATCGGCGGCTTGACCGGAATCTGGGTCATCCAACATGTGATGCACCGTCATCCCGTAGGGTTTGTCGTCCACCACAATGAGTCCTCCCAAACTTACAGGCGGCAAGTGTCGATCGCCAATCCATGCTCCAATACTCGCCCCATTCTGTGGCGTTGGCTGGTATGACGGGTTGGCGGCTATGACATCTCCAGTATCCTCCGGGTCGGCCATGCTGCGGTTGATAACCTGCTTCCGTGACCGGAGAACCTGACCTTTGCACACCTTGAGTCCGAGATTCGACCTCGTTCCATCGAACAGAACGCCCAGTTTCTTCTTCAGAATGGCCCTGACTTTGTTTACCGAAGTGCAGACGACCAGAATGGTAGGCTTAGTACGTTGTGGTGACTCGCCGATCGATTCGAGGGAGATCTCAACGGACTCGGGGTTCTTTCGGTAGAAAGTTTTAAGAGCTGAGTTGATCTCGGGCATGAGAACAGAATTCCACTGTTCGACGACGTCTGGCGGCAGAGGTACATGTGGGTAGAGGCGAGCCTTTTCTTTTGACTCTTTTTCTTGGCGCGCTGTAACGTGTTAGATAGTACTGTTACACATTGGACGAAACGGGGCTTCTTACCTTGAATCTTCGCCCGCACTTCCAGTTCAGGGTTCACTGGTACCACAGTAATGGGAGGATCCGATTCCTCACTCTTGCAGGCTTTGGGAGTTGGTGTTCCAACATGAGGCTTTTCAGACTTTGTCTCCTTGGATGAGCCAGAACCGGAAGCAACTGGTTCTGAGGGTACCTGCACGGCTGTCGGAGCAGGCGTAAGGTCATCTCCCAGTCTCTCTTCCAGGTTGCTCACACCATCCAAGATGCAACATGCTTCCAAGTACCGGCTGGCCTTGAACTCAACATGACGAGCAATCTCGTCCACAGTATGTTGGCCACCAATCTCCTGATCAACCGCCCTTAAACAGGTCTGAACAGCCTTCATGTAGAGCGTACCGCATCGAATAGCGAGCTGGTCAAGGATGGTATCGGGAACCACCGGGTTCTGAACGTCCGGAAGAATATTCTCTAGCTTATTCCAGAGACCGACCGAAATGAGGATCATGGCCAAAGAGTATAGATCCAGTGTCTTGGAATCCGCATTGTTGGAGAAAGGACTTTGGGTACTGTTCTTTGGGTCTAACGGATGCCTATAAGGCGTGAAGGGTTCAGGTTCGTCTTGCGATTGTGGATCTGAGAATAAGTCAAATGACGAGACCAAAGGTCGTCTGATGTCGACCTCGCCTCGACTCATTCCGCTGATCTCTGGGTCGGTGCTGACTGCATTGCAGAAGGAGATGTTGTCAATAAGGAGGTTGCCATGAGTGATACCCCTGGCGTGCATGTCAAAGACGGTGTTGGCCAGGTTGGCAGCCAGACGGAACTTTGCCTCGAGCTTCGGTTCAAAGTCGGGACGAGCAAGCAGATCTCCCAACGAGCACATGGAGTACAATGGATTCTGGGTAAGGTTTTCGTAGGTCACCGCATTGAAGGTCCGAGGGAATCTGTAAACGAGACCGAACCTTGAGTTCTCCATGTCCTCAAAATAGGCCAATAGGCGAGGAAGACCAGTCCAAGAACTGGATGAACGCTGGGGATCGGCTTGAAGACCGGACGACAAACGTTCAAACTTGGCCATCGGCGGTGTTATCCCCGTGATGGAGTAGAGGCTATCAAAGGGCGCATATTCCAAAAGGAGAGGTCCGTAGGGTATTTGAGCGCCCATCCGTTGCATCAACTCGGCATAGGCCTGCTTGCCCATAAAGACAATCTCCCTTGTCCCCGGCTCCTGGCTTCCTGCCTCGGTCATAGGCACGGCCTGCATGTCGCGTAGGTTCATGAGAGTGCTAGGATCGATCTGCTGTGGTGTCTGGATCCTGGTAGACTCGAATGGGCGATAGTCTTCGGTAGGGGAGGAAACAGCCCTCTGAAGTCTCTCACGGGCGGCAGATGAATGCTGGGCATAGGAAGATCTAGTCCTGGACAGGTCGTAGAGGGTATCAATGGACGTCGTCAGATCGCGGATAAGGTCCTCGAAGCGGTTCTTGTCCCACACCACCATCCTGATCTTTTCGCCTCGCTTGGGTGGTTGATATGGCTCGTTGGTCTCGCCGGTCAACTGCTTGGAGCTGTTCCATAGTGGCTCGGCCTCAGCTAGGATGTCCTTGATGGTGGACATGATACTCCCAACGACTTCGCTGAGGCCGGCCTTGGACAGGGACGAGTCGATGTAGACTTCGGCGGAGTGAGTAGGATCGGACCATTCCAGCCCCCAGCTGACAAGACGGTCCTTTTGGATCTTGAGCTTGCGGTGGAGAGACTTGATCTCGGGGTCGGCCTCGGCATGTTGGACGGGCTCCTTAACGAAGTCTGAGGATTTTTTTGTGTCGTTGTAGAGCCTGCTGAGTCTCCTGTTGAGGGACGGCCCCAGCTGGAAGCCGCCCATGGGGATACCGGATGCCATGATTACGGTTTAAATCGGGGTCTGTGTTGTAAGATATGGACAGTACTGTGACAGATGCTGCGTCGATGAGCAGCTGGAAAGCTGGAGTTATGTTTGAATGAGATTACAGGCTAGTACATGGCGATGAAATTTCTGGTAGTCCGGTCGAGAAGTGAAGAAGCCGATGATGGAAAAGTGAAGAGATATCCGAAAGGGATCAAATTGAATTGAAGTAACGTAACACAAGAGGCGACAAGTGGAGGCCAAGACAACGCGGCTCGATTTGTCGATTGTAACCCGAGACCACTCAGCTGAATGATATGAAAAAGGTGGTAGTCAATGTGGAAGGGCGTGTGGCACCCGATATATGGAAATAACAGAAGATATGATGGGAAGAAGGGTCAAGTCATGATTTGTGGCTGGGGGGTGAGAAAAGAGCCGCAACTTTTTGGGAATTCGTGAGCAGATCCGCAGACTTCGCCCGTTCCTCTCTGACCTCCCGTCTCGTATGAGAGCAAAGAACCCTCTGCACTGCAGTCATCACGACCTACGGAACAGCAGGGCTTTGCACCTTCTCAAGAATGTCGGTGCCTGGCTCATTTCTTCTTTCCTTCCTGGTCTAGACGGCCGCTCCATTTCTTTGAGGGAAAGAGTGTCGGCGCCATGGGGCTCGTGGCTTCCGAACCGCGTGTCTGGCCATTGGTCCCGCGGTGGGGTTCCCGAATCCTGCTGCCTGCTGTCGAGATGCGAATTACAGCGGGGGTCCAAGCACGGACTGTCATTGGTCGGATGCGATCTTGATCTGCAGTTTCACTCTCTGACAGGCCTTTTCAGTTGCCAAGACCACAGCTGCCAACTGCCAATGACCTCTTGTCTCGACTCTTCCGTCGACTTTCCTCATCTTCACCACTCTCCCCAGTGTAGGCTTCAGCCAACCGGAGATTACCTCGACACCAAGTCCCCATCACTTCTAAAATCCCGCTATTGTAGCTGTTTACATGTTCCATATTGCGTGCTGTTTCTCCCTTCTCGCCACCGCTTGAACCCGGCATGCCCTGGTCTCCGTACCACGATGGCCCTTGTGGAAGAACTCATCCATCTCCTCTAGCTTCTAGGCCGCCTTCGAAGTACCTGATCATCCCGGATTTAAGCCTCAATAGCCCTGTTTAGCCTCTAGTAATCTGGAGGATCATGGATCACGGATTTCTTTTTAGATCTAGCGTCAGACTGTTCAGGCTCCATCCTCGGACATTTCAACCGTCTTCGCTTCTTCCAGGCCGCCGGATTCACACTCGCCTTTTCACAAGGCCCCCTTGGGATTATTTTCAATGACAAGATGGACTGCCTGGAACATGCCATCTCGTGGAACGTTTGGGTTTCTGGAATATCGATAGTGTATCTCTCGTCTTCGAAGCATCATTCGCTCGGCTACAAGGAAACTCCCTCGCATACAACCATCACTTGGTCCTCCATGTGTTCCGTATCAGTGGTCTATCAACTAGACACCATCCCCCCCTTTCACAGCGCGATCTAGGTCACATAACTGAACGACACCGGCAGCTTGAGCCACGTCGAGGCCCAATATACAGCACGGTCGGATGCAGTAGCGGATGCATCTGTCACCCACAGCTCAGACCCATCAACGGTCTCCAGCGACTCAGAGGCCAGTTAATTCTGCTGCCTGGCCGCTCGCCTCAACCACACGGCCGGCTTTTTTCAACGTCCGCTACACCACCACAACATGACTTATCACACATCGCGGCCACATAAGATTTCCACATCAAGACACACGGGGATGAAACATGAGTTTATCGCTCAATCGTTGGCGTAGTATTGAATCTTGAGCTTGATGGTCATGAAATTCGGTTTGCAGCGGATGAATAGTGGTAGCCCCGTTTCTGACGACAGAACCCAAAGGGGTATGACCTGGTCAGAAACACTGGGTCAACTTCTCACAAATCATATCACCCGAATCGTACAGAATTCGATGAGCGATGTATTCCCGAAGTGTCCGCAGATGGGAGTTCTATTCAAAATTGCTGGTCCTGCTTCTTGTTTTCTTTGCTCGGCAGTCCTGGAAAAGCTATTATTACCATTAGTGCCCGGTCATCGCTAAAAATTACCCAGAAGGAGCGTCCCGTCTTCAGGCTACGGAATATGGTCAGCGATCGACCGATGCCGCTGAGGCCCAGAACTATCTCAACTTGAGTGGGCGAGGTGCGTTTCACTCGGTCTTACATCGCAAGATAGGCGCAGGCTGACAACCGACGTCGCTCCATTGTGTGAGAGCCCTTGGGTACTTCTAAGTGAATCATGAGAAAGAAGAAAAAAAGCTATCAGCCATCAGCCACCGACCGCCTCGAGTCCGAGTCAAGAAAGCGAAAGCTAGTTCCTTCTCGTTGCCTGAACATGTCGAGTCTAGTACCCTAATCGCATCCCAGTCCACGAGCTTGAAGCGTGCTGCCGGTCAAACCAGACCCTCAAGGAACAACCCATCCGGACAGAAATCGCCCGCATATGGTGGTAGGTATTCTCACTTCCCTGGTATCTCACACCCGACCGACAAGCTGATCGAACTCCTCGTCTTCCCGCACTTGCCTTTTTTTTTCTGGACGTGAACCTAGCTGTCTACACTACAGCGCTCACCACTCGGATTTGGCCCCCCCCCCCCCCCCCCCTTTTTGTCCTTCGAGAACTTGGCCGAAGTGTCCTGAAATTGGGAGTATTGCCGCCCAGACAACTTAGTGTAAATAACATGACACACAAACACTCTTAAAGTCGCTTGACATGCAGTACGCTGAATAACTCGCATGCATTTGATCTAACTTGTAACAGCCTGGCGATCTATTTCGGGACCGGATTTCCAAGTGCCGAAGCTGTACGGCTTTCCATGGCTATGTGGGTAGCCTGACTTGATCTCATTCCGGACTTACAACGAGGAATTATCTTTGGGACTAATGGGTAGGCTAATGGGTAGGTAGCTAGGCCAAAAGGCTGTTATTCCCATATTACATATGGGTGCCTACAGTACCTCTACGTAGCCGCCGAGCTGGTTCTCATCCCACAAATCTTACATGAGCGTGGCTTGGGACTGGATTCGGGCGGGTACGCGAGAAGACCTTTGATCCCATCTGCCCTGTTCCGTTCAGGTAACGGCAAGGCCCTTCGATCCTTCAATCCTTCCATCCTCCACCTGCAGTTCAAGGTACCAAGACCATCCTGAACTCATACGGAGAAAAGACAATATACATAAAAAGGTAGGTACACAAGTACAAATAGCATGAATCAACGATACTGTGAATAGGCAGAAGTGTTTCAAGCAAAGAATCAATAAACAACAGAACACAAAATAAGAAACAAGGGAAAAGATAGTAACGTGCACGTCACACTCCATGTCTGCTTCCTCCCAGGTCCACACACAGCCCGATGATACCTACCTACCTACCTACCTACCTACCTACCTACCTTTATCTACACCACACCATCGATGACATGCTTAGTCTACTGGCGTCAACCTACCTAGTCAGCAGCCACCGCAACACTCCCCTCCATATCGCTCCATGTCTTTATCCTCCAGCTTGGCAAAATTACATTGCAGCTAGTAGAAGCGATGAACTCGGAAGGCACTAAGTGGTGGGTGTGGGTGATCACCTGGTAGATGTAGTGTGTATTTTCGAGACTACCTAAAGATACCTAAGTACCTACCTAGCTACCTACCTAGGTACCTGCCTACCTACCTACTTTGATGACCGCCAAGTTGTAGATATAGTAATATAGTAATGTAAAAAGTCTAGTATCAAGCATCCAGGAGCTGAGAACATGGGACAGTAAGATAAAACAAAGTGGCAGAAGTGTTTGTGGGTGGTGCACTTGTGAGCTATCAAGTTTTTTTTTTTTTTTTTTTTTTTTTTTTTTTTTTTGGGCTAGGTTGGTACCCACTCTAACCATAAGTCGCCGGCCGGATCTTGGGTGACGAATACCTGAATAATGAACCTCTCCCTTTACGGCAATAGGGGTGCCTGGCCCTCTATGGTGTGTGTTCATGCTAGACGTTGGTCGATTTTTCCTCTTTTGTACCTCCTCTACCTTAAAAAAGTCGACGAGCGGGACGGACGGTAAGCGAGTGAAACAAATGGAAGGCTGCTCAGATAGATACTGCACTAACTGCATACCGAAAAGATTTGGGGCCGGGGTTGTTAGTAGTCTATCTCATTCACACACACATCCTTGCAACAACACACCGGGCACCACCACCACCATCATCATCCGAACCACCACCACTTAGTTCTCTTCAGTTATCGCCGCGGAATAGACTAGATACAAAATAGAAGAATATAACGCGAAGGGGGCAACTACCTACGAAAGCTATCGGTTGAGTGTATTAACATGTATATCAAGTAGATGAACCCGATCATGCTGAGGAGAGTGAAAGTATCATAGCACTTCTTGGGTTGTCAACTGGATGCAATAATAGTGTACTATCTCATCAAGTCCTATCATGCCCAAAAGTGCGTTAGTGCCGTAACATTTCTTGCCTGATGTCATCTACACTTGGAATACAACTTCGATCTTTCAAACTCCGTGTCAAAGTTACCTACCGTCTCCTCTCCAAAAGCAGGACACACCAAGGCGCTAAACAGCATTCATTCATTTTTTTTTTTTTTTCACTTCGGAGAATGTCAAAGAGAGAATCGATAACACAGACAGGACTTGAGATAGCGAAACAAACGTATGACTTGTGAAATTTTCTATCATGGACATATTTAACAGCCACGTACGTACATACAATACGTCCTTACAAGAACCCATGAGATTGGCACTACATACCAACTCTCTACAACTACATTTACATCCATCACGCAGATTTCACCCGGGTAGAACGTTCCCTTGATATGGCTCATGAACAAGGAAAAGTTGCAATTGATCATACATCATACTACCAAACGGAAAGAAACAACCCATAAGAAACTGAAACCGTATGGTCAAGTGGGAGGGGGTATAAGCTAACAATATCGAGAACACAAAAAAAAAAAAAAAAAAAAAAAAAAAAAAAAAAATGAAGAAGAAAAAAAAAACACCCTTCTCTTTTTTCCCATCGGTCTCACCCATCAGTCACATTTTCGCTCATCATTCCCGCTATCAATGTCCCCATTTTTTTCTTTTCATCTCTCTGTCCTCATCCTTCTTCTCTGTATGCTTCCTCTTCATACTCTCCCCGTTCACCTCTCCACATCCTCAACAGCGACTCGTGTTTCAGAGCTCATCATGTCCCACAACAGCCTCCGAAGCCTGACTAGCAACACTCACCACAGTCTCCTTGGCTTCACTAGCTAAGCTGCTCGCGCTCTCGTACGCGCCAACCACAACCTCGGGGATAGAAGTAGCATAGACTCCCTTGAGTCTGCTGACGACACTCTCAGAGAACGTCGGCTCCCTGCCCACCAGCAGTTCATTGACAATGCTGCTCACGACGCTATACTGCTGCGCGGCAGCATCCGTGCCCGCAGCGGCATACTCGCCCGCCGCGCTGGCAGCAGCACCAGCAGCGCTGGTGATCGAAGCAGCATTATCAGCCGCGGCATCGCTCGCCGCACCGCCGTATTGGTTGGCAGCACTGGCCGCAGAGGCACTGGCGGCGCTAGCGACCGAGATGACAGTCTGGTACCAGGGAGTGGGGGTGGGGGCGCCGTAGACTTCGATGGAGATCCGGGCTAGAACAGAATCCCAGGATTCGGACACGGCCGAGGCGGCGTCGGCAACGTTCTCGGAAACGACGGAAGCGGCAGAGGAGGCCTTGTCACCCGCGGCGTAAACGAGGGAGGAGGCATTCTCTCCAGCGATCGAAGCAGCAGAGGCAGCGCCGTCGCTAACGGCGGAAGCGACTGATGCGGCCGAGGCAGCGGCGGCAGAGGCAGCAGAGGCCGCAGATTCCGAGGCGATGGAGGCCGCGTAGGCAGCGTTGTCAGTAACAACAGAAGCCGCAGAGGCAGCGGACTCGGTGGCGACGGAAGCGACTGAAGAAGCAGTGCCGACAAAGTCAGTGGGTGTAGGGGTAGCGGTCATGGAACTGAAAGCCGACGAAGCGGCAGCCAAAAATTCGGAATAACGAGCGTGAGCGACGCCAAGGCCAGCGTAGTAGTTATGTCTGGCGTTCTCAAGAGCCTTTTGGACATGCTCAGAGGGAGTGGAAGGAGTAGGAGTGGCGAGGCCGGCGGCAATCTTGGCGCTTTCGTATTGCTCCTCAGCCCATGATCGGCCTTGCTCAAGGCGCTGGGCGGCAATGGAGTGAATGCGCTCCCAGTCCAAAGAGGGGATGTTGGGGACGGGAACGGCGGTGGGGAGGATCTTGAAAGTCTCAGTGGGTGTGCTTTTGTATACTTGCTTGGAGGCAAGCTTCAAGGCCTTGTCAAGGCGGACACTAGCGGAGGCCATGGCGTTGCTGTAAGCTTGAGTGACGGATGCGAGCATCTGCTGGTGAGCCGGCTGAGGGGTGCCGCGGATCTGGGCAGAGATGAGGGAGAGCGCATCAGAATACTGGCTGTTGGCAAGAGACATGGCGGACGAGTAGACGGACTTGACATCGTTACGCATTTTCTCCATGGCTTCAGAAACATCGTCGTAGGTATCTTCGTCAATGATGGGCTGGCGAGTAGGGACCGACTGAGCAGCAGCTCCGAGCCAAGCGGACTTGACGGTGGTGGCAGGAGGCTCAGGACTTTCAGAGACGATGATATTAGACTCTACCTCAGCCTCCTCCTCAACGGGGAGCTCGACAGGAGCAGGGCCCTCCTTTTCCGCCACGGTGGTGTTACCAACAATGACAGGGATCTCCTCGAGGATCTCAGTAGATGCGAGATCAGGGCGGGATTCAACGATAGAGGGGGTTTTGGATGCAGGCTCAGCGACATCAGCAGCCTCCTCGGACGCCACACTGGCTGACTCAACAGTCTCGGTCTCGGTGGAAGAGCTAGCAATAATGACCTCGGAGGCTTCGCTCAGTACAGTGGCAGCAGACTCCTTGACATTGTCAGTTGCGCTCTCGACAGACTCAAACGTCAAAGAGGCAGCCTCAACAACGGGGGAGGTGGCGTCATCCACAAGCTCCTCCATCTTGTCAGCAGCCGAGTCCTCGGCTCCGACGACAGCCTCAGTCGCCTCAGACACAACTCCAGCAGCGCGGCTGACGCCTTCCTCAACGACGTCGGAAACTTTTTCACCAGCAGCAATAACAGACTCGCTAGCCTCGGAAACGACACTGGCCGCAGCATCCTGAGCATACTCGACATGCTCGGCAGCCTGCTGAGCGACAGTGCTCTCAAACTCATCCGAGTCGTCGCCAGCTTCCAGCTTGCGAAGAGCAACCTGCTTCAAGCGAGCAAGCTCCTTGGCAGCGGAAGCAGCAGTGTTCATGGCCTCCTCCTCAACAGCAGCCGCTTCGTTCTGAGCAGCCTCGAGACCAGGGTGGGTAACGATGAGGTTCTTGAGGTCGTTGTTCCAGTCCTCGAAACGGCTCTTGAGCTCATGGTACTTGGCCCAGTCCTTGTAAGTGACGCCATCCATCCAAGCCCACTTCATACCGAGCTTCTGCAAGGCCAGGTCTCTGATGTCGGCAAGGATGCTGAAGTGGGCTTCGGCAGCGTTGGTAATAGCGGACTGCATCTCGGCCTCGTAGTTCTCATGCCAGGTACGGACCTCCTGAGCTCTCTCTTTGATGGACATGCCCGCCTGACGTACAACCGCGGCAATTTGATCGCGGCCTTCATCGACGGAGGCGTTTTCCTTCTTCACAGCCCCGATGATTTGTAAGATTTTGCGACGCAGTTGGACGAGCTCGGAAACCGTCGTAGTCTGGAGCTCATCGAGCAGAGCCTTGCCGGTAACCTTGGCGTTACGGCGGATCATCTTCTTGGTGATTTCGTAAATTCTGGCCGAAATCTCGGAAGCGCCCTGGTCAGCGGCCTTGGAGTACCTTTCCTGCCAGTCCTGAAGATCGGCAGCGACAGTCTCACGGGCGCTACGGCGAGCGGGATCTTCCTTCTCGAGCTCCTCATCGATCTCGGGAGGGGGAATACGGTTCTCGGGAACATGGTGCTCTGTATTCAGGACCTTTTGCTCTTCAGCAGCAGCAGCCACCTGGATCGTGGACTCGGCGTGGGACGAAGGGGTCGAAGCAGCGGTAGTGGCCGGCGTGGGCTTGCTAAAGGTCGATGTCTTGGTGCTGGAGGCACGCGTTCGAGTCAGCACTCTTTTTGTCGATAACGGTGATGAAGGAGAATGCGTCGCCACCAACCTAGAGGACAAGTCCACCGGGGGCTTGGGCACCGACTTTTTGTTGCCTGTGGTATGGCGACCAAGACGCTGGCCAATCTTGAGCAGCTGAGGCTCGACATTCTCAGCGTAGACGACCCTCAGATGGGGCATGACGGTTCCATCGAGGAAGAGACTAGTCTTGTTCCAGGCCCAGCGGGTCGAGGGCATCACGGTGCTGGCGGTGAATGCCGAGACGGCCTTGTAGGCCTTGTGGAGGTAGGGCTCGACGGAGTGGTACGCGGGCACGACAGCGCCATGGTAGGTCTGCAGAGCGTTGGTGCGCGCAATCTCGTAGTATGGGGCGGCGGCAGTGGAAAGCTGCTTGACATGGGGACCCACGCTCTGTTCGTAATGGGACTTTGCAAGCTTCTGGTACTTGACAAGCTGGGGCTGAAGGGACTTTTCCCACTGCGTCTTGGTGTAGCCGTGGGCCTTTTGGATTCTGGGTTGCACGTATGCCAGGGCGGGAGCAATGGCCTTTTGGTCGACGACATGGTAGTAGGGTCTCGCGAGGTCGACGTAGGGAGCGGCGTAGGCGGTATAGTATGGTTCGATATGGGGCGCAACGGTCTGCTTGACCTCGAAGTAGGTCTTGCAAATGCGCGGAGAAGACTTGTCGCATTCCTTGAGCGAGGCGGGGCAGCGGAAGAGGATGGTGAGGATGGTGTACCAGGTGACGAGTCTGTGAAGAAGAAGAAGAAGAAACAGCAGTTAGATCGATATGCCAACATGACCAAGGGAATCATACGAGATAGTTACCTGGCTACAACGTTGAACGTCCTCGCTATGACGCCAGGCCGACTGCGTGGGCGTTGTCTTGGTGTGACTCTGGGGCTGGCCGAGTGGCTGAGGGTGGGCTTGATGGGACCGTTGACGCCCTTTTTGGAGTAGCCATTGATGCCATTAATCCCGTTGAGGCCATTGAGAGTTGGTATGGGGCCTTCGGGACCGCCCTTCACCGAGCCGTTTGTATCCTTCATGGTGGCAGGCTCTTGAGGCACCGGGCTAGGTGACTGTGAAGAGCAGATTGGTGACGTCGCGATCGGATATGTGAGATGGTTGTCGATAGCTCGCTTTGTTAGGCGCGTTCAAATTAGGACAGGCGCAATCAACAAACACAAATTGTGGTGTTGTTGCGTCGTTGTGTTGGTGGTAATGGGGCCCCAGGGACAGGCGGCGGCGCAAGTGACGGAAGATGGAAAAGAGAGAAAAAGGACGGGGATCAGATGCCAGGGCCGTGATCACGTCAAGGTCCGGGCCGTGACTGTGAAAATGGATGCTATGTACTTGGTGTCTGGCGCGGGGCTCGTTCCAGTTGGTGAGTGCCGGTTCCAGGCGTTGGTTCGGTGCTTCCCGCTGCTACAGCACGCTTTCAGTTAGCTCAGGTCATCCTGCTCCCGGTCGGGGCCAATGATGGAAGGGAAGGGGACGGGACCTAACAGTGGCCGGGGGGGTGTTACCGTACCGTACACTACTTTTACGTCACCTCTCCCAGAATCCGAGTTGAGATATGGAGATAAGGTAGATAGAGTGAAGCAGTCGCCAGGTCCTGAGACAGAGCGAGGAGATGGAGGGCAAGGGGTTGAGGTTTTGTCTTGTTTTGGTAGAGGTATGTTTTCTTTGCCTGGGACAGAGTTCCTTTTCCATGGTCAGTTTCAGGTATTCTCCGCACGCGACAGCCCAGTCTGTCAGGGCGTTAAGAACTTCTTTTGTACGTACCTTGTATGATACGTGCCTGTATCGAAACCTGTGATGTTACCGTAGCCGAGGTACCTGTTCTTCAAGAGTCTCTTCAGATCTCAACGCACAATTAACAAACCGACAAAGATTGTTGACGGTGTTTCTGGGTTGGAAGAAAAGGTAAAAAAGTAAAAGTCTGTTTAGTTTCTTTTCCAGAGGTCAAGATCAGGATATCCAAGGTACTTAACAGACAGGAGGTACAACGTCACCCTCCCTCCTTCAATTCCAGCTTCCCGCTTTCCCCTCTCCCGTCTTTTCTTGGCTTTTTCAACCCCCTACCTGTAGCGTGCCACAGCGTGCCCCACAGACGTCATTGAGCCTTGAAGGTGGTGGTGAGTGAGCGTGCTTGGTTGAGATGCGGTCCAGTTCTTTTGGAAGTGCACTGGCCATGGGTTCTCTTGCATATTAGGGTTCATCTTAACGCGGGCTACGTAAGGTATTCTTGGTTTCCACGAGATTTCCTTTTCTTATGAGTGATTGTGCTCAAGTCCAAGATCTTGTTCTTGTCCTTTGTGGAAAAAGACAGCCGGCACTGCACCGTCATGTCATGCCAACGTTCCATTGAAGCACAAAACCCAAGTTGTGATCGAATGTGCCGCTTATCATTGAATCACTTGGCCCGTGCACCACGCTGTCCTGTAGCGCGCTATACCCTTTTTGCTTACCTAACGATCCCTCCAGCGGGCCCGAGTGAGACCTGGCGGTTCCGAGCCGGGGTCTAGTTCTAGCCTGGGCTTTGCTGAAAGTTCCACTGCACGACACTTTCCCGAACAAGGACCGCTTTCGACCGACGCTGGAGACGGAAACTTTGATTGTCAGTCACTTCACTTTGTTGTTCCTCTTCTTCCACTATTAAATTATTCACCATACTTTCCAGACTTCACTCCGTCGGCTGCCACCACCACTCACCCCCGGGCCACGACCGCGCCACCTCTCGTCGCTCAGAGCCAGTCGTCACCCTCTGTCGCCACTGTCGTGACTCCCGCGACTGCTCGCTGTGATCAACTCGATATCCTCCAACAACTCGAACAGACCCCGCCTGCGACCCGACGAGTACTTCAACTGTCGCCGACTTCTCCGTCTTCCCCATCGCGTCTTCTCTCAACATTCCCGCCGACGACTTTTGATCCAAGCTTCGCATTAATCGGCATTTCTCGAGACCGAGGCCGAATCCATCTTCGAGTGTCCAGAGAATCTACGACAGACAACAAGAGTCAGCGGACGCGCCCCGCCCAAGGCCTAAAGAATGAAGACCAATTCATGATCTAACCGACACTCGACACCAACATCACACAAAAACGGCGCCCCTGTGCTGCTGACAACAACTTAGTATACGCTCCCTGGGCTTCGACCATGGGCGACGCTAACCCCGCCGACCCGACCGCTCTTCCAGGCTTCGGCCAGGACCAGCCCGACCCTGTCCGATTTCCAAACACCAGACTGCGAAACTCGCGATCAGCCTCCATCTCGACATGGACCACCACCTCGGGCGGCGGCCACTCCCACACTCATTCGCAACCCCACAACAACCCGCGCGAGTCCGAGCAATGCCGAATCTGCAGAGGCGACGCCTCTCCCGACGACCCCTTGTACCACCCGTGCAAGTGCAGTGGAAGTATCAAATGGGTCCATCAGGAATGTCTGATGCAATGGCTCGCCCAGACCCAGAGGAAACACTGCGAGCTGTGCAAGACGCCCTTCCGCTTCACCAAGCTCTACGATCCCGACATGCCCAGGACCGTCCCCGCCCATATCTTTGTCGCCCACATGTTCAAGTACTCGGTCCGTAAGCTCCTCGCTTGGGCAAGGGCCGCCCTCGTCGTTAGTGTCTGGCTTGGGTGGCTCCCCTACTTTATGCGCTCGGTATGGGCCCTGCTGTTCTGGCTCTGTGAGGAAGGCTGGGGAGGTCCGGCTGTGTTTTCAAGGTCTCAAAACACATCATCTTCAAACGGCTTCTCCGTCAGGGCTTACGGCACCACCGTATGTCCAGCTAGTCCACTCTTTGTCGCCCACACGTCTCCAGCTAGCATGGGGGCCGTGTTGGGACGTCTGCCCCTGAACTCGACCCAGTTCGTAAACAGCCTTACTGGTGCCGGTTCTGGCGCAGGCCATTCCTTCCTTTCCCTTTTGCTTCGCACCATATTTGGCTCAGGTGCTATCGTGGACAGGCCTCCCCCGCCCCTCAAGGAGATCCCCAGTCAGCTCGCTAATAACGTTACTGCGACTCTGTACATCGACCAAGCGGCTTCACCTTACAGCAATGCATCATTGGCCCATTCACCTTCGCTTCTCAGCGAGGTCGGCTTTTTAAAGAACCTGACTCGGAACCCGACCGTCAACAACAACATCATTGCGGTACTCGAGGGCCAGATCATCACCGTCCTTGTTGTTGTCTGTTTCATCTTGATTATTCTTGTCCGAGATTACGTTGTTCAACAGCAGCCGGAAATCAACGAGCGCGCCGCTTTTGCCAACCTTCAAAACGTGCAGCCCCAGCTTGCGCCGCTCAATGTTCCCGGCCCTGCCTTGAACGGTGACCGTAACGGTGACCTCGGAGAAGAAGAAGAAGAAGAAGAAGGAGAGGATGCAGGTACTGACGATGAACATGCCTGGGATGCTCAGCCTCCCCAGCCTAGACCCCCGCCTGACAGGCAACCCGTCAACAATCCTTATGCTTCGGACTTGGAGAGAGAACTCGGAGAATCGGACTCATCAACCATAGACGAGTACCTCAACCTTTACAGAGAGGCCGGCGGAAACCCCGACCGAATCGTGGAGCTGGCCCAGGAGCGTGGTTTGGAGGAAAGGTTGGCTTACTGGATAGCGCTTACCAAGACCATGAAGGAGCGCGCCGCCCGAGTTCAGGCAAATTACAATGATGGCCTCAACTCTTCCGCAGCGGAATCCAGTACTAGCGCAGCAGGGAGACCGTCGGGCCACACCTTGAAGATGGACAGCACTCCTGCCGCTCCACGACCCGATCCGTTTGATGACTGGCGCTATCCTTTGGAAGAAGATGATCATCAGGGTGAGAAAGCCGGAGATGGTTCTAGGGACAAGGGCAAGGGCGTCGCGACTGATGATTTCGACACCGAGTCGGACTCCGAGATTCTCGCTTCTTCGGCCAGGCCTCGCGCCAATACAGATGGGCCTGAAATCAGAATGTACACCAATCCTCTGGGAAGCAACAGCTGGTCTTTTAGCGACTTACCAGAAGATGACCCGAACAGTTCATCCACGGAAGAAAAGGCCTCTCAGGTTATTGCAACGCCCCCAGATCTCACTAATGACAATGATTCTTCCAACACCGAGGTCGAACCTTTGCTCGCTTCACTGGCCGGTCCAGCAGAATCCGAGTCATTCCAGGAGAATCGTAGCCAAGATGGCAATAGGGATACAGCCGCCGATGCCCGTGTACACATTGGGCGGCCCACGGAAGCAGAACATTGGGGAACCAACCTTAACCCAGAGCGTCAGGCGGAACCACAGGCATTGACCGATATATCCTGGCCCAACCTCGACGAGAGCACGGCAGATAGCCCCGCACAACCTCCTCAGCCTCGTGGATTCGTCCCTAGAGTGACCGACTTCATGTGGCAAGGCGTTGAGGCGGATCAGGCGCAACAGGATGCTATTGATATTATCGCTGACGCTTTGATGAGACGGGACGACCAAGACAACGTGGACGTTCGCGATAACCCTGGACTTGACAACGATGATGACTTGGACCAGGATGATGACGCCGCAGCAGCAATTGGCCTTGAACAAGACGCCATTGATGATGCCGAAGACCTCGAGGGTGTCCTGGAGCTTCTTGGCATGCGCGGGCCTCTAGCTGGCCTATTCCAAAACGCCATCTTCTGCGTCCTGCTCGTGTCAGCTACCATTTTTCTCGGACTGTTCATTCCATACAACATCGGTCGCTATTCGCTGTGGTTTATTGCGAAGCCCATGCGTCCAGTCTGGATCCTCTACAGTCTATGCAGGTTCATTCAGGACATGGTCGTTATTGCCTTCGGGCTCGTTTCCCACGCGCTATCTCTGGTGCATCCCAGTCTAGGACTGGGTGGTGTGGCTCGCCTGGCTACGAAACTCCTCTTCGGTAGCCGCCACGCCGCAGCGATTCTTGATCCACATGTTGAAATGACCAACGCCGCCAAGCGAGTTGGACATACGGTCATCAACGAGCTCGGCCGCGTATCCATGTCAGAGATTCACACCTTTTCTGCGGTCAGTCATGAAGCCTTATTGTTGGTCAAGGGGCAAGTCTTTTCCGGCTTTGCCGCCCTGGGCTCCGCGCTTGTCTTCCTTTTTGGAGGGGACTATTCTACCAAAGCTCCTGTAGTGCTCTCCGCTGCGAGCAACGCGACTACATTCGCGTTGAGCGCACTCAAGACTCTGCCGACTGTCTTGTTGAAGCCTAACCTGGTCATCAACGTCAACTTTCCTGACGCGAGTCATACCATTGACCCAGCATTGGCATACTGGAATGGCACAGACAGATTTTGGGCAATCCTTGCCGGCTACCTCACGATTTACATGGCGGCGGTCTTGTACCTGCGTCATGGCGGACCCATATCCTCCAGCCCAACCGGACAGGAATGGGAGGCAGCTCTCATCGACGCGCTCAACCAGGCAAGCGGTGTGATGAAGGTCATCCTTATCATTGGCATCGAGATGCTCGTCTTCCCGCTTTATTGCGGAATGCTTTTGGACATTGCACTCTTGCCCTTGTTCGAAAATGCCACCCTCATGTCTCGCCTCCAATTTACCCTCAACTTTCCCATGACATCGATCTTCGTCCACTGGTTCGTGGGTACGGCTTACATGTTCCACTTTGCATTGTTCGTCTCCATGTGCCGCAAGATCATGCGCCGTGGAGTTCTCTACTTCATCCGCGACCCAGACGATCCCGAGTTCCACCCGGTACGCGACGTACTGGAGCGCAATGTCACGACCCAGTTGCGGAAGATTGCCTTTTCTGCTCTCGTCTACGGCGCGCTTGTCATAATCTGTCTGGGTGCTGTGGTCTGGGGGTTGGCGCTCTCTTTGCCCAATGTCCTGCCGATTCACTACTCGTCCAACGAGCCAGTGCTCGAGTTTCCGCTTGATCTTCTCTTTTACAACTTTTTGATGCCCTTGGCCGTCAAGTTCTTCAAACCTGGTGATGGACTTCATGCGATGTACACTTGGTGGTTTCGCACTTGCGGCCGCTGCTTGCGGATTACTTGGTTCCTGTTCGGGGAGCGCAAGGCAGATGAAGAAGGCCGTCTGCGCATGATTGAGAGAGGCCCCGATGCCCAGGTATCATGGTGGCAGGCTATGTTCCTTCAATTGGATGAGTCCAACGGGATTGTGAGACCGTGGAAGCCCAATTTCCTGGCCGAAAGCACCAAGGCTGAGACTTCCGAGTCCGAACCTGAATCACCGACTATCCGAGGGTATGTGCCGTCTGAGGCTGAGGCTGCTACCAGGAAACTGTCTCCTGAAGAAGGCTTCAAGGATTACTTGGTCAATACCAAGCAACTGATTCCTGATGGCCGCTTCGTTCGCGCTCCGGCATCTGACCAGGTCAAGATTCCCAAGGGCAAGACGGTGTTCCTTGAGGTGACGGAGAGGAATGAGAGACTGGACGGCAAGCCTGATGTACCCGAGACCGACCTTTACTCGACCACGCAGTACCGTCTGGTCTATGTCCCACCGCACTTTCGAATCCGCATCTTCTTCTTCATTCTCCTCATCTGGTTGTTTGCCGCCGCTACGGGCGTCGGCATTACGATTATCCCCTTGGTCTTTGGCCGCTGGATGTTCAAACTCTTGATCCCGGAGGGCGTAAGGACGAATGACATTTACGCCTTTGGCATCGGCATCCACGTGTTGGGGGTGATTGTTTACGCGCTCATCAACATCCGGTCCCTTTTTCAGGCCGCCAAGATTCGGGTCGCCGCAGCTGTCGCTTCCGTCTTCAACAACGGTGCAGTCCGCCGCAGCCTGGCCGTCATCACCCGCATCGCCAAGATCATCTACTCCTACGTCTTCCTTCTGGTCGTCTTTCCCCTCATGATCGCCTCCGTCGCCGAGCTCTACATCATGATGCCCCTGCACGAATTCATGTACAGCGTTCCCATCGCCCAAGACATCAAGCAGGTCACCATCCAACACGCGGCCGCTCTCAACCCGCGCCACACCATCCGCGTCATGCAGTCCTGGACCATTGGTCTTTTGTATCTGAAGCTTTCGGTAAGGGGAATCACCACCTGGTTCAGCGGCAGCCGTCTGGCCCTCGCTACCAAAGCCGTGCTGCGCCGTGGCTGGTTCAACCCCAACGCTGGTGTCTTGACCCGCGCATTCGTCATCCCTGCCATCCTCCTCTGGACCGTCGCTATGGCCATTCCTACCCTCTTCGCCAAGTTTATGATCTCCTGGAGCCTGGCGGAAACTTTGACTCTTCGCCATCCTCAAGCCGTTAACGTCGACGGCGTGGTGGACCAGACTCTCTACGACGCCTACGTCGTGCTCATCTACCGGCGCAGCTTCCCGCTTACAGCACTGTTGTTGTTGGCTGCGGCGGCGGTGTGGGGCCTGCTGGGTGTGTTCCAGAGTTGGAAGATGAGGATCAGGGATGAGGCTTACTTGATTGGGGAGCGGTTGCAGAATTATGGAGGTGGGATGCCGCAGAGGGGTCTCGGAAGGGGGACGAGGGGTGGATGGAGAGCTGGGATGGCTGTGGGAGGGCGGTGATGAGGATACCTTGTCAGTGTGAAGAAAGAAGAGAGATGGAGAGATATGAAAGAGGAAGAAAAGCATAAGGTGAATGGGGAGGTGAAGAGGAAAACAGCAGGAGAAGACCAATGATACCAAACTGGACTTGTATACGTTAGAGTATTGACATAGCGTAGCATAAAAGGATATTGATTTGTTACTTGCAGTCTGCGGTTGCGAGACACTTGCGTTGTTGCTTTGCATTGTCGCGAGAGATCGCCTCCGGCATTGCTATTGATGTAAGTACCTACTCATTTCATTTATAATGGCCAAGACAAGGCAAGAAGAAGAAGAAGCTGGATTGTCATCATAAGAAGTCTTAAGTCTTTTCCATTGTCCGAGTTCTGATGAAGTCTAACATCTAAGTCTGTCTCTCTCCATCGTCGGAGTATATTATCCAACATCTAAGCGTCCGTCCGTCCGTGGTGGTATTATCAAGCCATGCCATGCCCATACAAGAAACACAATGAAGAACGACAAGTCCAGCTCGAAGTCTATAAGAATCAGAGATAAAAAGAAATGAAAAAAAAAAAAAAAAAAAAAAAAAAAAAAAAAAAAAAAAAGTTGATCGCCAAACATCGCTTGCCGCCCGGCCACCTTTTAACACCAACACACAAATAAAATCTAAATCACAGAACGAAGCATACTTGTCGCTTGCCAGTATTCAAAATCCCAAGAAACCAAAACAAAACAACAAAAACAAACGGACCATCTAATGATCCTCCACATCCTCATCCCTCCCCGGATAACAAATATCCTGCACCACCACCGCCCTCACATGGTTCCCCAGCACAAACAAATACGTCCCCAACAAACACAAACTCATGCCCGTCCCCACCCACAGCACCGCATCGCTCTTGAACGCATTCCCAATACTAATCGTCGCCAACGTGAATCCCGTATTGGGAAACACACTCGCCCACCACCCCAAATGGAAATATTTCGGTCTGCTCGCCAACACAGCCAACACACCAATAAAGAACCACCAAAAGGCTAGCGCCCAGAGAAACACGGCGCCAATAACAGCCATGGTGCGAATCATGCCTGCGTCGATGAACCCGTCCATGTCGTGATCAAAGTCCCGCGGAAGTCCCTGCGCCATGCCGATGAATGCGAGCGCCGTGAAGGAGGGCGGGCCAACGCACATGAAGAGACCGGGACGGTGTTCGCGGTCGGGAAGGCCGACGGACATGAGACGGCCGACCATGTGTGCGTACATCATGAAAGCCACGGCGGCGCCTAGACCTTGGCAGGTTAGGCCGGCGCAAATGACGACGATGGCGCGGTGAGGGGGCTGGAAGGGGGAGATGACGGCTGCGATGGTTCCCGAGAGCATGATGGGGAAGATGGGCAAGATCCAGGTGGGCATCATGGTGGCTAGGGAGAAGGAGCGTTTTTGGCTGAAGAGGAAGGAGTATTGCCCTATGGCGACGGCGGTGGCGAGGATGAGGTAGATCCAGAAGGCAATGTGCAAAACCCAGACGAGGTCCTGGCTGGGTTCGCTGTCAGGAGGGGTGCCGTATTTTTGGGTCGAGGTGATCAAAGTGGCGATGCTGAGGAAGAAGGTGGGGAAGAAGAAGCCTTCGCGAGGGTGCGTCAGGCTGGCTTTGAAGGAGCCGGCGTGGAGCATGAAGCGGGTGATTTGGAGAGAGGTCAGGAGGACGAAGATGATGATGTTGATGATGTATACGGTCATGCCGATCTGGCGTAGGCCAGGGAAGGTGTGTGGTTGCGCGGCGATCAAGAGGGAGAGACCGCCGGTGGACATGCAGAGCGTGTACCAGGCCCAGGTGAAGTGTTTTAGCCGCGTTTTGAGTGGGAGCTTTGGGCGGGAAGGGTCGTAGGGGTCTACGTGGTGATGGCCTTTTTGCATGTGGCCGCCGGCACCTTCAAGGTCGGAGTCGGAATCGGAGGAGGAAGAGGGCGAGGCGGAGCGGCGGTGGTGGTGGCCGGCGCCGCCGGACATGTGGCCATCGTGGTTGGACTTTTCGTTGTTGGAGTTGAGGGCTAACCTGGAGGAGGCGGCCGAGGTGTTGAGGGAGTTGTCGCCGGTGGGGCCGGAGAGGTAATCGGTTGAACGGCCCTTCTTCTCATACTCACCCTTTGGTGTCCCGGCGTAGGTGCCGAAGGCGCGGGAGGGGTCAGAATCGTCACCGGTTACGGTTGCGGAGGAGGACTGCCGGGAGTGGGAGCCGAGAAAGGAGGTGTCGACTGGGTTGAGTCTGTTTTGTTGTTGATGTTGTGTTGGCGACTGTTGGTTCTGGTTGTATGTTGTGTCATGGATGATGACGTGCGTTCCTGTCTGCACAGGAGGCGGCATGGGAGCCTGGCTGCCCATGTTGGTGGACTGTCCCATCATGATGTCGTCTATCTGTCTGCTTGTTTGTTTTGCTCCACGGAAGACACGGCAATGTGTAAACTGTGGGAAAGGTGTGTTTCTAGATTCGAGATCGTGGGGTGTATCGCGGAGTCGCGAATGATATGGAAGAGTCGGAGTTCAAGCGAAATGGACAACCCAAAAACTTCAGATCAGACCGAGCGTCGAAGTGAGGGTAAGGGAAGTCGTTTGGCTACTGTCGGTTACTGTCGAATCATGGGCTTGATATATCAAGATGGAGACGAAACTGCTGGTCGAAGCGAATGAAGCTGATGAGGATGGGGGGGATTGTCAGAGAACCGAGCGTCGAGACAGTCTACTTTTAAGGTTCTCCAGGGACTCCATGATCTCCATGATTTCTTCTCCAACCTTGGACGCCAGACCCCCTTCTCATCACATCAGACGGACTGCACAGCACGCACGTACGCAACACACACCGGGTGGGCCCCTGTAGTCCCTGAGGCGCATCCCCCGAATCTCTCCAGGATTCGCAAGCGACAACTGTCGCCCAAACGTTTCAAGCTGGGTTGGTCGATCTATATTTGCCAAGGGGTCCATCGCGAGGCTGTCGATGCTCATGATGTTCGCCAGATGTCTGGGCAGACCTTGGCAGATGCAGTGTATGATAGGGATGCTTCAGAATGGTAGCAGGGAATGACGAACCAGGAGGCGAGACAAGTCGGGGGAAGTTGGGCCTTTTCTCGAGCGATCCACACTGTTAGACTGTTGCCTGCTAGTGAAAATACACGAAATGGTGGTTAGTCTGGGCATCTATTCCGGGCTCAGACCGCTTTTGTTAATCTTGCTTGGGTATACCTAGAGTGTCGGGGGTCTAGATATCTGATCCCAGCTACAGTTTTGAGTTGGCTGGGATCTTATAAGAGAAAAGTATATCGTGGTCTTGAGTCGGTGCCCTTCTGTGGCTTTTTTCTATTTCTTCCATTTCTTTTCCCTCCTCAACCTGACCTGACTCGTTCCGAAACTGATGTCTGGTCTGGTGAATTCTCCTCGGAAATCCTGCACCGCCGCGGAGGGATGGATTCGTAAACAGGGACATATGCCAAGAAGGATATCCATTATCTCTTAGATGGTGTTCCGCGAATGCCCAGACAGAAAGCGGCAGTTGTGTGCAGGGAATACAACACCCGTGCCTTGTCTACTGCTACGCAGCACCCTGTCTCTGGCTTTGAAGATCGCGCTTAGGGGGCGTGGTGGGGGCGGCAAGGGGGCTCGACTCCCGGGGTCCGATGGTCCACTCTTGTGATCTGCGGTATCTGTGTCTATTCTCGAGTATGCCAAGAGGAGATTTGCTGTCTCCCAAAAAGATAGGAGAATGGCGCGTGGTGTTGTGTCCGTCGTAGTCGATTCGTCGAGCGGAACTTTTAGCAAGTAGATGAAGCGGAGAAAAAAAAAATGAACAAAAAAAAACACGACGAACACAGTTTATCGCAGATCATAACTCCGTCATCCATGGCTGAGAAACCGTCTGAAGTACCAAAATGGATGATGATGATGATGATGATGATGATGATATTCAAAATACCACCAACTCTCGACAACAACTTGAACAACAACATGCTCGACCTAGACGTCCAGAACCTTGATGGCTCCGACAACATCAATCTTTCAAAGTCGGACCTTTTACCGTGTGGGCCGCCCATATCCATGACGGCCTGGACGGGTCTTAAAACAGACTCCCGGCTTCATGTCGACTTCACGGGAGCCGTCTACTAGAAAATGCCGTTCTTGGCTATGTTTCTCACTTTCTTGGCCGGTCTTGGCTCTCCGAGATGCTACACATATTGTTACAGTCAGTTGAGGCTCAGCGAAGCAAAAAAGAAAAGGGGGGAAGGAGGAAGAAGGGGGGAGGGGAGGGGGTCGAAGAAGAAAGATACACTCCAGTCGGGTATCAACCCCTGAAAGTTCTAACAGTTGGGGCCCCCAGATTTCTTTGCACCTTGTGGGTGTTTTGCACTCGGGGCACCTGGTGCACAGATCATAGTCTAAGACAACTTCTAGCCACACCAGAGCGCCCAACTACATCAAAAAATGGGGGCCTTCAGAGCCCCAGTAACCGGGTCAGATGTTCTTCTCATTCCAAGATCAAAACCCTGTAGATGCAAATCCTCATCAAAAAGTATGTACTTTGCGGTTTGCAGGTTTTATATGGGAGAACAATTCCGGCCGCCCAATCCTTGTGCACTTTGGGGGTTACTTGCACTTTGGGGGGGTGCTCTTCTTTCAGGGGTTGATACTGTCACAATGTTGCAGTAAAAGCATGGATGACGTTAAGGTGAGTCGTCGTCGCCCAATACCTTGCCAAGCAGAGCCAAGCAGTTTAAAAAGGTGAAAAAAAGCCAAGGGCAGCCACCACACCCTGAACCGAAGGCCAAGACGCCCACTGATATCTCCGACTTGGTCCAAGAGGTTGCCCAAGAAGTTGCCCAAGAGGTTCTAAAAACGGCTAGAAACGCCTAAAAGTGCGGCAATGCAATGGTGATCATCTCCTTTTCCAGACGGAAAGCATTTCCTACCCGCGCCCAGAGTATTTGACAGGCAGTGTGACAGGAACCCGTTTCCAGGGGTCAAAGATAACAGAGATTGCGACGGCATGGTTGGATATTGCCCACGTTAAGCCCATGTGTCGGAAATTTCCATTGCCATTGGGTTTGTTGATTGAATGGGCTCGATGCTTCTAGTCCCCATCATGGCCACCTCGAACAAAGACGAATAATAGAGGGGAAAGAAAGAAAAAGATAATAATGATAAGAAGAAATTGAAGGAGGCACGGTGTTCAGTGAATCACAAGGATTGGACGGACCTTTGAGCCCGCAACAACAGCCAGGAACACGACAAATAGGTATGCAAACCCCCCTTTTTCTCTCCAGCCAGATTTTCAACATCAAAACAAACCCCCGCCGCTGCTGAAGGAGGGAAACCCGTCTGAGATGGAGCCCCGTGGGCGGGCGGGCCTGCCCCGCATAACCGCTACAACCGACCCTGAAGGCCAGCGAGAACAACTCCATCAACCCCAGCGATGTCTTTCCTTCCCCAGATCTCCTCGTCCTGAAACAGCTCCATGTGGACTGTGATGGACAAAACACAGCCTTGACCGCGGGGATGCTCGAGGCGGAGAGAGGAATGGGCCCAACAGTGCCACTAACAGACATTAACAGATCCTGAAAGACGCCAACAATAAGTCCGCTGAACTCCGCCGTAAACGCTGTTAACACTTGGCAGCCATTGACAGCGAACCTCCGCGCTCTGCGCGCGCGTGTCGTCAACGGGATCGCAGTCTCTCGGCGATGTGATTATGTATGCGTGTCTTGGCTCACTTTGGAGGAGTTCATGTTGGTCATGCTGGTAAGGCGCGTGAGGGACGCGGTACGGCGCCAAGAGGAAGTCGGGATGCCCGAAGCGGCATGTTGGCTCAGCACTTAGGCGATGGAAGCTCTCCGATTGATGGGAGATTATCGCGGATGACGGCGCTCCGAAAGTAAACACCTTGGCGGTCATGGCCGTTTCTGCGGCCTTCCTGTCCGGGCATTCCGCCAAAAGTCACACCGCTCACTGGCTTGTGACTGGCTAGCGATCGGGGCCAAGCGTGCTGTGCTGTGCCGTGCAGTCCTCCGTCACAACGGCACACCGACAAACACACCATGACCGGTAGCCGCTTTGTGAGATCTCTCCATCGTTAGCATGCAGACTAATAGAAAGCCGATCTTAGCGTTTGTGCCCACGTCAAGTCAACAACGTCGCTATGGTCAATTCAGGCCCAACTGGAAATCTCACCATCGCGGATCGGAAAAAGACCAATTGAAAGCAGATCGAGCAGTCATTCCAGCGCAAACCAACAAATGTCGTCATAGCCAAGTGAGGCTTAACTCCGCGCTCTGCTCAACGAGTGTCGTCAAAGAAACACCGACCTCCTTTCCAACTCCACACCTTGCAGCAACCACCGCGAACGTTGGTGATCAACAACCAACAGAGACAAGTACGTCATACCAGCTCACTTCCATTTCCCCCTGCAGGTAATCACTCACTCACTCGTAAAACCAAACAGGCACATTGGCAGCAGACATTCGTCAACACTTGTCTCAATTGAGCATCAAGGTTCATCAAGCCATTATGTGTAGAACAACTTTCCTCGTTCCAGAATACCCAAAGAAGAAACAGTAGAAAAGAAACGAGTTCATCATGTTTATCCTGCGCTGACTGAACTCAGAAGAGCGGCGGAGATGACAGCCGTTAGGACAACGCATCTAGTGCTGGGCAACAGCACCGCAAGTGGTAGAGGTAGGAGCGGGAGCGTTAACAGGCGCAGAGCCTCGACGGTCGAGATTACCTGGGCGCCCTTGGTGACACTTTAGCCAGACAGGACATGGTTGAGACAAGACCTTGAGTCTCCTCCTTGTTCACCCTTCTTGCAGCCAACGGAAACGGCAGCGTCCTGGATGAAGCTGACGGCGCACTGGAAAATAGCCTTGAACTGCTCAGCGCAAACCCAGTTGTCGGTGCCGCAGTGACCCCCAGGGACAGAGATAGCGGCAGGGCAGTGGGGCGAGCCAGAGCTGGAAGAATCTGAACCACCGCCGTAGCCGCGGCTAGGGACGGGAGCAGAGGTAGTGGTGACGGGGTCGGCGCTGCTGCCGCCGGTAGGGCCGGGTCTGGAGCCGCACTCGGTGAAAGCTGGCTTGGCGAAGTCACACTTGCAAAGGGTCTCAACGGAAAAAGGAACGTCGTTGATCATGCTGGCTTCGCAAGCGCCTGGAACGTCCACGACAATGGTAAGCTGGATTGTCTCAGCGTTGGTGCACTCGCAGTAGTGGTCATCAGATACACAGCCCAGATCACGGGCGGTCTTCTCAATCATAGAAACGGCGCACTGGGGCTCGGCAGCAAACTCAGATGCGCACTTCCAGCTCTCCTCACAATACGGGCCGGAGGGACAGGGCCAGGAACACTGTCAGTATTGGAGGGGACGACAGTGCTGAAGGTAATGACGACACAGTCAGAGATGGAGGTGGAGCTATCCGGGGTAACAGTGTCGGTGGTGGTGATGGTGGTGAAGTCATTCCCGTCAGGAACAGGGACAGAGGCGCTAGGTCCATCATTGCCGTCACAGAAGCCATGAACACGGGCTTGGCGGCATCGCATCCGTAGAGGGCAGACTCAGCCTTGATGACATCAAGACCGCCGAGGCCGTGGCAGGAAGCCACAACGTCTTGAAGATCAAGGCCTAAATTTAAGCCAACATAACATCAGCCACTGTAGTAGTGCCTTGCAGGGAAGCGTCGATCAGGTCCAGGGGTTTCATGAGTACACTACACTGCGATGCGACGGTGAAGTGTTGACGATCCGGGGTTTTCCGGGGTTTGTCAGGGTGCAGAAAAAAGGTTTTGCGGAGGATGAGCCTATCCAAAAATGGAAAACCTGGAGAAACCTGGAAGTGATCTCATAGGGTGCCTCTTTCCAGAACATGTCATGGATTGATCATGAACATCTAGATGCAGCTGTCGAAGGTAAGGAGTGGAACATGCCTCTATCCAGCTCCAGCCACATGGCATCCTCGGGTGGATCTAGGGTCCGATGTGAAGATGCGAGGTCGAGCGCGCCTGTTGGTGGCTGTGATGATGATGACTTCATGTATTGGTAGTGCCATGAATCTTTTTTATTAGGGCGGAGTGGCAAGCACGGGCCGCGCAGCTGTGATCTGGAGATGAAAAAGGGGCGGTTAGAACGGGGACACTCCTCAGTCACTCGCTAATACCTTGCTGCTTCTTACCTCAACACGTTCTGTGTGTGTGAAAGATGATTCCTCTTTTCAGGCTCATGTGGCACTGCCCGGTATTCCCTAGTTCGGTCACGGCTTGAGAGCTAACAAGCTGCCATTTAAAAACCTTTTCTTGGTACGGGCCATCTAACACTGGATGACAATTGCGATCAGGAACTGGCAGCCAGGTCGGCTATGGGAAATGGTGATCTCAATGCTCGAAGCTGGATCGTGAGGAAAAGCCCGTGAATGAGATGTGAATGTGTTTGGTAGGCGACAAGACAAGCTGTGCATCGTGGAGAAGCTTGCGAAGAAGTTAGTTGCATAGTTCAGTCAATATTCATTGGGCTGGGAGGACGACAAGGTTGTTGATTCTGGTAGGAACAGGGAAGAAGGGAAGAAGCAGGGCAGCCTAAATACCCAGGACGGGAGGGCCAGTGAATAGAAGCATAGTGAATGGGCGCCAAGAGGCACGGCCGTCCAACACTATTCTCTTTTGCCAGAACCAGCCGGACCCCAAATATTTCGTTTTCTCTCAAGCTGTCCGGACTGATAAGATCAGAGCCCCTGAAATCAGAAGGGAAGTGGAAGGCGCCGTCAGAATTTAGTCATGTAGGTACTCGTCTTGTCTTCGCGAAAAAGGAAAGAACCGAGACCCTTTGGGGAGTCGGAAAGGGCATTATGTTCTTGGTGCTGGCTCGTACCTTCCCCAAATGCTTGCCATCACTGCGCACTTACCTGATGAAGCCCTCGAGAAACAAGTGAAAGCGTCATACTAGTAGCATTGCGTGGTGGATAGCCAGTGCCTTCCATGGATCTGTCGTCGATGGGATGTTCACTCAGAAGTTGCGAATAACTCAACTCCACGAGGACGAGCGGACATCAAGGCATGCGAGGTTCTTTCTTTTCCCCGACATGAAGTGTTTTCATTAATGCAGTATAATCAGGACAGCCATGGACTTTGAATGTTGCTCGCAGTTGTCCTACTGTCGCCGGAACCCTACAAGGAGACACAAATTTGACTTTCAATTTCCAAAGGTTCATGTGAGCGTGTGAGTTGACTAAATGTCGAGACGCAATAACCGCCTCCACGATCAAGGTGACCACCCAGTTGCTGCCACCCCTTTACCAAGCCTACGGTCTAACGTAGAATCCTCTAGTTTCACGACGAAAGCAGCACCTGCCGCCATACTCTCGGCCACCCCAAGCCGCGTGCCTTCCATACTTGTAGCCGGTCGGCAAATTTCCCTTCCCCTCTTTTCACTCAATGTCCCCGCCCCTCCACCTCCGAAATGGCGACCCTGCGCCCAAGGCACCAGCGGACATCATAAGTTCTCCTCAAGAGGCCCAATATAACAATGGGCGGCCCAATGGTCATACCCGACCTATGGCTGAGTGGTTCCCATTGATGAAAACATCGCCAGGTGCGCGGTAGTAGTACTCGTGGTACAGTCCTCGGAGGTTGGAGCTGGAGCATTGTGGTTCCCGTCGTTCCACAAGCTTACCTGGCCAACTTGGCTTCTTTGTCTTTCCCGTGGAATAGCGGAGTGATCAGAGATTGAGAAAAAAAAAGGTATGATGTTGGTATCTTTCGGCCTTGGAAGGTTACGACTGACGATCATAATTTGCCCATGGCGAGCCTGACTGAGGTTAATGACGATCTGGTGTCCTGCCCCTGAAACCACCAGCCGTCGCGGTCTGAGAGATGAGTTCAGGACTGACACCCAACTCGCTCTCCCAGCACAGCTGACACATTGTTCCTCAAGCGTGTGTCACCGGTGTGATGAAGATATTCTGAAAGTAGGGCTGATGTTGATGACCGACTGACACGGGTCGGCAGTACGCGTGAGGATCAGTCTAAGCATGTCCACAGTCATTCAGTGAATGGTTTGATACACCGCAGTTACCATGGATGTGCGCATATTCTGCAGGAATTATGACGCTCATAAGGTACGTCGAAGTCGAATTAATCCCCAGATTTGAACTACAACTGCCAGGGCCAGCAAATATCAGAGAGTCGGATGAAACAACGATGCCAATGCTGCCACCACCAGACCAGCGGTGAGAGTTACCCTCGGAGATTTAACCGGATGAGCTTTCTCTTACTTAGTCTAGGACATTAAGGAACAGGTGAGATGGGTTACAACGAAGAAAGTTGTGGTGATGTGGAGAGTACTACACTACTCGGTAGGGACAAGTCTAGATGAAGAAAAGGGCACACACTAAGAAAATGGTAAGTCGATATCGGCATGTGACGAGTAGCTACTCGGTAGCTAGGTAAGCATCAAGAAATGGAGGAAAGGAAATACCAAAGGTGTCTAAGCAAAGAATAAACGATTTAAACAAAGCATGTGTACGTCTCGGCTTCAACCGCGAAAAAAAAAAAAAAAAAAATAAGACCTAGCTGTACCAGTGTGAGAGCCTGACCGGAATAGAAACATCCAGGATTGCCAATAGAGGTTGTGATGGTTCGTAGAGGTATGACAAAACAAGTTAGGCTGGCTATTTGCAAAAGACATTTACACAGATCCCAGAGTATGCAGTATTTGTAGTGTATCTATATCTGCCTGGGGATGCTATGGACAAGACATGATGTGACATCTATGCAAAGGTAGGTATGAACATTTAAACAAGTAAAATTGGTTGTTGTGAAAGAAGTCGTGCTCCATTCAACTATACATCGTGAGTGTTTAGAGACTTGAGTACTTGGGTGCTAGAACCACACTGGTCATGAGTATGAACCGTAGCAATTGGACGTCTATTAGTGCGCATAGAGTTCTGTTTACCTCTAGCGACGGAGCAGGTGTACAATCCCTTTCGGTGTATCACCTTGTAGGTATTTATGCCTACCTCGAGGAAACGATCACTGATCCGGTTGGAAAGAACCGGGTGCGAAAACGCCGCTTGATGCCTCTGGTGATAATTCGGGGGCATCTTTGAGGATGAGAAGGAGGGACTGTTCCCGCCGAGATGCAGTTTTTGCTTCTATGATGAGCTGTTGCTATTGAAACCAAAAGTGTCGCTGGGCGTTGAGTTCACTTTTGTTGCGGCCTGAAAGAGAAAGGCGGTATAAGTCGAATTAAGAGGCGTTGAAGGCGCAGACGATTGATTCATCGGACCAAAGGCTTGGTTGTCGTTGATGGGATACAAGAATGTACTTGGCCGATAGCCAGATTGAGTCCTGGGTGCCAGCCCAACAAGCTCAAAGCGAACAGGCAAAGGTCTCGGCCTCATGAAGCGCTGCCTGCCTCAGCTTGTGACGTTGGGAAAAAGCACCGCGCACAAACGTTCCATGGTGGTAGCATTTAGACATGGCCTGGCCCGCCATCCCTCTTTTCCCCCCCAATCCACCAATTGAGCAATTTCTCCCACGTACTACCCGATTGATTACGAGCTTTGATCCGGGCTAGGTCCGTGTTGTCAACTGCCTGTTGTATCGGTGGCACGGAGGACCTCTCAGGGACAGAGTTTTTAGTCCACTGATCCCCAAACGTCTTATCCATAAAATCTTTGACAACCTGATCCAATCTTATGCCAGTGCGGAGTTTTCCTGGATCCCCTTCCACCTTCAGTCCCTCGAGCGATTTGGCTCTGGAAAGGGCGACGTATGATTGACCCATGGCGAAAGCCTTGGACAAGTCGACGGCAACGCGGTCCATGGTCAAGCCTTGGGATCGATGAATGGTCATAGCCCAGGCCGGGCCAAGCGGCAACTGCGTTCGCGTGAGCATTGTATGCGGCGATTCTCTCCCGTATTCGACGATCCGGGTTATGGGTCCTATGACCTCTATTTCCCCATTGGGGAATTCGACTTTCGGGCACTCCTGGCGCTGGACCCGAAGGAGGAATTCGTCCTCGAGTATGGCTAAAACTTCCGGGTCGTTAGAGTCGTCGAGGTTGGTGTTGAGTACGCGATCGGCAAATCGACTTGCACGGGGGACCTTTTCGAACCCGACAACCACGCCCTGGCTGCCATTGACCAGTCCTTTCGCCAAATTGAGATTCTGGAAGAGGACAACGGGCATTCCCTCCTTGAGAAGCACCTTAGACTCCAGAACCTGTTCTTTGAGGGCTCTGAGTGTGCCGTCCAGCGGATTTCTCTCACCCAGGTATTTTAGTTCTGGGTGGAGTTTTCGATTCCATCGAAACGTATCGATGCACTTGAACACTTGGGGTTTGCCTGGCAGTTTGAAAAATTCCCTGTCATTGATCGAACGGGTTTCCCAGCGGGTTGGGAACAGTTTGGTGGCATTCTTGTCTATGTTGGATGCGTGATTGACGAGGGAAATGATGTCCTGGTCCGTGAGACGAGCGCCAACTCGACAGTTCTGCAGAATCTCAATGAACTTAGGGTCGCGTTGACGGTGAATTTGGTTCAGATGAACTGGGTTGAAGTTGCATTCCTTCCAGGCTTTGCTCCGAAAAGCCCACTTGTCCTCGTCCGTAAAGGTTGCATTGCACGGCACACATGTATATGTCGTGCCTCTCTCGGTCTTGCTGTCATTCTTGTCCATCTTGGATCCGCAATGATAGCAGAGCTCGAAGGGCGAGACTGGCGGTAGTTGGCAAAAATCGCCCACAACGATGACTTGGACGCCTCCGAACGGCGAGTGGTCACCGCGGATCCGTTTGTGAACCTCGTTGAGGCGTTCGAAATGATGATTTTCTACCATGCTGATCTCGTCGATTATGAGGACATCTGTGTCTTGAATTCGTTTTCGGGCAGCCTTGTTGCCTCCTGACTTGGATACAAGATCCTCGATACTTTGCCTGGTGAGGCCTGGACTCCAGCCAACGTAGGACCAGGTGGTTATGCCGTTCACATTGAAGGCTGCCTTGCCAGTAGGAGCCACTACCTGGACAAGTTTACCAATATCTTGGAGGCGCTCGACAATGGCGCGCAGAACTCTCGATTTGCCCGAACCAGCCGAACCCGTGTAGAAGATGTTGTCACCCCTCTCAGCAAGCTCGACAATTCGTTGCTGCTCTGAGGCGAGTTCTGGTAGGTCTTCGGCCAACAATGCCGTTTCCTTCCGCTTAACTTTCAGGAACTCCTCCTTGGCTGTATCAATATGCTGCCAGGGGGTATGCTTTTCTGATTTTAGGTCAATGTGAGGCTTCCGAACAATGGTATCTCGGTGTGATGCCGTGCATTCATTGCTTGAGGGAGCAATATATGGTGGTTCATACGTGACTGTAACGGGAGTTCCCGGCGCACGGCTCAAGTTCAGCACGACGTGGTTGTAGGCTGCCCGGTGAAGTTGTATCTCATGAAGAAGCATATGCGATGGAGGCGACGGGGAAGAGTGACGAAGCCGCTGCAATCTCCAGTATTCGCGGGCAACCGCTATTGCTTCTTCGGATAGTGGTCGCCCATTGTGATCCAGTAGTTGCCCAAGCTTTCCCCTGTTCTCTGCCTTGGAATCTCGACCCTGCCTTTTATGGACAGGCGCGCAAGTAGAGAATCGCGAGCTCGGCTCGAGATTTGCTGTTCGGAATGCCCCCGCCAGCCTCCAAACGCCCTGGCGCATCGTTGACACCCGACCGATGTTAAGGAGTGACCATGCGCAAAGGACGGAGAAGATCATGTGACGAATCGAGAGCTCAGATTGAAGCGAGATGACATGTTCTTCCTGTGCCTCGTCGAGGAAGTCGTGTGACGGTGGTGAAGTAAAAGTTGTTGACGCCCAACTCGAAGCGCGATGTCGTCCCGATGTTGATGGCGGGGAAATGCGCCAGGCAGCTTGCACTAACACTATTTCTCTTATTTCAGTATGCAAGTAGTACCCCTGACAGTTAGTGTAAGGAGGTAGATGGCCGTTTGTTGTTGGCCTCCAACCTGCAGGTACGAGGGCCAATCAGACACTGCAACTGGATTGTTCCTGACTTCCATACAAGTACAAGTACATGTAGATACTGTGACTGTAGCGGCCCGGAAGAACCTTGACGGCTTGGTTTTGCCAGCTGTCCAGGTACCTGCCTCAGGTCTCCTGCCCATCCAACCCATCGCGCCAAACGTTCCCGGATCACAATGGGAGCACATTCAATGACCAGAGTCACATTGGCTAGGGAGAAGCGCGAGTTGTCAAAAATGACGATATAATCAACAACATCGAGGAGTGAATATAACAAGCGCCCTGAGAGACACATCGGTCAAGGTATGTACATCTGAAGCCAAACTACCCTCTGACTCTGTTCCAAGACAGCCTCGAAGCCGTGGGCCTCAACCTTTGAACGCCGCTGCCGTCTTACCATTAGGCATTGGGACGGTTGCCGTTGCCCGCGTCACGACTACCGGCGTCCCTACTGCTGTGATGGTGCTCTTGAGTCCCTGCTCCGTCACCGGCACCGGCTTCGCTCCAGGCGCCAGCGTTGGCCCCGGGATAACATACGTCGAAAGCGTCGCCGTGTAGATATCGATGGCCACTCCCGGGTCCGTGGCCTTATACAGCGCCGTAGCTGGCACCCCTTCTTTCTGCCCCGCCACCACCACTTCCTCCTTGCCGACCGTTATGGCCTTTGGCCCAGGCGCCTCCACCCACAAGTTCACGCATTGCGGGTAGTTCTGCGCTCCGTTCTTCAGATTGGCGTAGTGCAGTGCAATCAACTCGTGACGCAGCACATACGGTCCCGGCTCGAGATCGTTCGGCAAACCCAATAGCCAAGTATTGTTCTGGGCGATTAGGACATCGGTTGCCCATCTGCCTGGAGGGCCATCTTTTTCGTCGAGCAGAACTGGTGACGAGTCATCGATCTTGGTCCATGACAGCCTGCGCTTGTCAACCGAAGCACATCCATCTGTGGTGCTGGCGCAGGGGGCTAGGTACGACAAGACAGGGCCCTTGTGGGATTGGGGCCAGCCATTCCATTGTATCTGGATCTTGTCACCGGCTTTGACGGGTGCGTGGGCTTTTGCTGGCTTGCCGTCGCGGTGGCAGATAATGTCGGGGTTCGAGTAATTGGACGGCGTCACGAAGCCATCGTCAACCGCGTTCGTCGACCATCCGATGCTGTTGGTGATGGCATCAGGAGCATGGGGATTGAATCCTCGATACTGCTGTCCGTTGATGATGAGGTACAGGATGTGGGAATGTGCAAGGGCTTGGGAGATCAAGGCGCAAGACGCCAGGAGTCTCAACGATCTAACCATGATATCTATCGAGTGACGAGATAGGAAAAAAAAGGTGAAGCTGAAGACACTGGGATCCGACTGACGACACTTTTCAGACACTCTTGTTCTTGACTCCCTACGATGACGTTTGAGAGACGGGACAGGAAGATGCAATTGGGAGTACACATCATGCTTAGAGGTATTTATCATCTTCCATCTATCCTACCCGGTCACTTCTGCCAACTCCTTCAAACAGCTCACGAGCCTGGTAGTCGGTTCGTGGCCCGAACAACTGCCGCAGAAACATACAACTCGAGTCGATCGGCATTCACTTTTACCTAAACATCGACCCGCGGAAGCAAACGAGTGTCCAGATGGCATCAGCAAGCGAAAAACCCGAAACCTCTCGACGATCATTTCATCCATATTCTCCATAATCCCCTTGATGGCCATGCCGTCTGCCTGACAAACGGGAAACATCTGAGGCGATCAAAAAGTGGAGGATGACGAAGCCGACACGGCATTTCATATACTCCTCTCATATTATATACACTTCGAAACAGGCCCCTCACTCTTTGTTCGGCTTATAGGCTGCGCCGGCTAAACTGCCCGTGTCTACCTCGTTCAAGCCGGGCCTGATGATGCTTCCACTGCCAGGGGGTCCAGGAATGTCCTCCGTCTATGAGTGGAGTATTGGGGTTTACTGTTGGGTGGCTCATCTACCTGACGAAAACAACGGCCTTCCAGATACATCCTTCTCGGAGCCGGTGGCCGATTGCCTAATCTGGAAAGATCGTCTGTTTTGATAGGGTAAGGGTAAAGAGAATATCACTGTCAAGCGACCGTTGACCATTTTTCTCCCGCAAACATGTCAGATCGTCCAAGTTGAAACACAACACTGTCTTGAGCCGTGAGAGGTGCTTTCAGACTTTATACGAGCTTTCTTACATGGGTGAATGCCGACTAGGATGTCTAACATTTACTCGGTGCTTTTTGTCACTCCAACATCCCAGCTGTTTCCACACAGCACAATAGATACTGAACGATACATGACCACTTGGGATCTGAAAAACTATCTTGATACATTCCTTCCTATCCTTTGTTCAGCTTCATTCTTCATAGTCCACCCTTTCCTTTCCCACCCTGTCCCACTCCCATGCTTTCTTTTGCCATCCTTTTCTTTCTCGCCTTTTCTTGTCCGCCCTTTTCTCTCCCACCAATGCTTTGGTGTTTTCTATCGGCGTGCTACTGATTCCCTTTCCTGCACAGCCCCCGTGATCTCATCCAGATAGGGATGGACAGTAACTGTGTCATGAACGCCTTCATGAACCGCGGGAAAAGTTTGCAGGATTGCCATTTTCTGCCAAAAGGATTCGATGTCAATCAAAAGCTTTATGCCAGTTTTTGAATAAGTGGCGAGGTATTCTTTGGCGAACAGATCGCTTAGATGTGGACAAGAGTCGTCCCTTGTCCATTGTACTGGTTTATCTCGACCTTGGTTTTTGAGGATGCCTACCCTCAATCCCTTCAACAATGGTATAGCATCCGTACCGGCCACGGCCACCAGACCTTCTAGTTGTGGCCGGATCTGGGTGTCCCTGATATCGATCTGCGTGATGTCAAGCGACTCAAGACGTGGACATCCTTCGGTCAGTCTGACTAGCTGTTCTTTTACGAGACCGTCAGAATGCGTCCACCGTAAAGCTCTGTGACAAATTCGCAACATTTTGAGGTTTGGGAAGTATCCAAGATGCGTAACCAGGTTTTCGTTGGCGTCCATGTTGTCGTCGGGATTAATGTCGTCGTCGTCGTCGGAGTCCGCATCGTTTGGCACGTTCGTGAAGATGTAATCGAGCATTGGCGCATACTCGATGGACAATGCCTTGAGTTGTTGTGAAAGAGGGCTCAGAGCTCTCAAGACCAGCGCGGGCCCAAGAAAGGCAAAGTCCCTTGGCGTCGGCTCTCCTAACTGTTGGGCTGGCTTCAGATGTGAACACGAAGCGTTCCAACCTGGGACAAGCGCTGACAATGTTGACCAGATCCGCTTTCCCCAAGAAAGAGCAATAATGAAGAACCAGTGAGGTGAGGCTTCCAAGTGGAAGGATGGGAACTGCTGGTCTGTCCCTGCTCGAAAATGCTCTGAGTGTCAGGTGTCGGAGATTGGGGGCGCGATTGACGAAGAAGACGGCCTCGTTAAGTGGAGTAAGCGACCGCAGAAACGGTGCAATCTCTGCCCAAGGTCATGACAAATATGATATCCCTTCTAGGTTCGCGACTTTCAAGTTTGGGAACGTGACAGACCTGACGACCACATCCCTCCACAAGAACCGCTCACGGTTGCGGCCTCTTCTGTCACCAATAGTCAAGTGATTGAGCCATTTTATGTTGCGGCAGTGACAGATAATCACGGCCGGGATGAGGGCGACCAGCACGCGCAAATCATCCAAAAGGCTGTCGTTGTGCGCCACCATGCTCAAGAATGGAGTATACTTGTTCAATAAAATGAACAAGGTTTGGTACGACTGTGTGTCTTTCGCCGACATGGACAATAGGAATCGCTCAAGATCACAACAGTGATCCAAGACTGCTCTCAAGCTGTCCTGATGTTTTGTTCCGGGACTTTGTTCCCGTAATATGCAGTCAGTACACGGCACAACTGGTTTCATCAGGGAGTATCAGGCCAGACAGAAGAACCACTCACTCTGCATAAAACCTCACCAGGTCAGCAACCCCGTTCTCTTCGCCAAGTACACGAACCAAACTGTACAGTCGCTGGATATCTCTGTCGAATCCTCTTTTTTTCAGAAGTAGAAACGGTTCCTCATGAAGAACAGGTTTGACGATCCTGTTGAGACGACGGCAAGTACGGCAAAGTGCGGCTAAGGCCGTGATTGCTTCGGTCATGGTCCTGTTATCAAGCAAGCAAGCTCGTCAGTCATTAATCCGTCCGGAAAATATATATCCGTAGTGTCTATACCAGGTCTAGGGGGCAACCAGTCAGTCAAAACTTACTTTCGTTGGCTTACCTCCGTGGTGGAGAGGGACTTGTAAGGCGCGTAGTAGAGCTCCTTGGCGTCGAGATGGAGTTGTTCGATGATGAGAAAGAGGATCTCGGTGGGGAGGGCAGCGAAGGAGGGGGAAGGAGGGGGAGGAAGGTTGGTGTGTGTAGTGGTGGTTGGGTTCATGATGGGGTCAGTAAGGTAAGTTTGGGCGGCCAACTTCTTGGTTGCGGAGTGGCTGTCTGATAGGAGCATGTGGCCGTGATGGCCCTGCTTGCGATCGAGGTAGTCAAATGGCTTGGTGGTGTTCTTTTCCCTGTCTGTAGTTTGGACTTGCTTCCTTATAGCTGAAAATCCCGGCTCAGCAAGGCGCAAAGACGGGTAGTAGTATTTTATACCTCTACATGATGGCTATCGTGGCGTTTAACGCCGTCGCCTTGTATAGAGGAAGCATACCTAGGTCGTGTATCATGATAATTGTAGTTGGTCTCTTCACTTGATAGACTTGTTTACTCGCGAGTGACGAACTTGGACTGGATCAAATATAGGGGAGTTGACATCTTTCGTCCATGTACGGGCCCTCGAAACTGGAATCTTGAGTATGTATAATACTGCATTGTTCAGTGCAAGATATTGTACCGTACCAAATCATCGTCGGTTAGTTTATACTTATGGATGACCACCATCTAGAAATATTTGCACGTCTATCTGCGTTTGTTTCATGTCGCGCGTGAAGGAGTAACTTTGGCGGGGAAAGGAAAGTTGCGAATTTACCAAAGAGGTCTATTTTGACAGTTGATATTGGTAGGTATATCGAGAAAGAAAAGGGGGTCATTATTCCGAGCTGTAGAGATCCTGATTCTTAATGATGGCCGGGGCAGCAGGTCCTTAGTAGTGTAGTGTACTCCGGGTTGGGGAATGGTAAGTAAGTGTCCACATTATCGGCGATGTATCTTGTCTGTTGAAGTGCCAAGATCCGGTCCGGCTGGTGCGGGCGGTGCCATGATGGTTCTTCCCGTCACTCTAGAAAAGCGGGTGCAGGCGTAAGTGGGTGACGGACTGGGGCGTGCAAGATAAAAAGGTCTAGTTGACATCGCTTTGGTGAATTCATGTGGGAAACTTGGTATTAGGCTAGTAGGAGTGATGGGAAGAGAGGTTTTAAGACTACATTATATTCGTACAATTTGGTCCAGACTTCGATGTCAGTCGGGCGTGGCCGGATGCAGGTACAAGATACGTCACGGCCGATGTGGAGACTGGGGAACCGGATCTGGACCCACTTTATCGGGGATACCGAATGCCAAGATCCGGATGAGAGCCGGACGTTGTGGGAGAATGAACTGCAGCACGTGGAGGTAGCGGCTGCTGGAACACCGAATTAGGTGTTAAGGCACTCTACGAATTGAAAGTCGTGTCTTGTCGCTGCGGAACATATCAGGATGCCAGGCCGACACGCAGTTGGAAAACTCCAGTCAGCGTTTATTTTCACCTCTACCAGCATTTAAACTTGTAAGCGCGGTACCGCCACGTTACAGTTTTAAGGGCTTGAGATGTGGTCAAACCATCTATATTTTGTACGATAATTAGAGTTTTGGCCACTTGCAAATCAGCGTGCTAACAATTTCAATGCCGGCAAAAGTGTTGTTGAGGCAACCAAAAAGAAATATTGACCAAGAACACCTTACCCAAACATGTAGTGCAACAATCCAATCTCATTGGTCATTGTCTCTAACAGCCTCATTTCCTCAACACCCACTCATGCTTCGTCCCCATCATCTGTGAGATCATCTTGTTCCTGAGGTAATCAATCTGAGCATCCACCAAACAAACGTCGTCCCGAAAACCCAGAAAACACACTCACAAACAGAGATCGAATCGCGAATCGCAAATCGCAAATCATTGCCCAGCCCAGCCGCCCAGCTGAGCCAGTCGCCGTCATTCAGCCAGTGAGGGCTTATGTGAGCGGAACCTTTTCTCGAGACACTTGAATTTTCATTCGTCAATGAACGCCGACGGAAAGGGAATTTCGGCGTCAGTCAGCCGCAACTGAAATTGTCGTCGAGTTGGAAGGGCAGGCAGGTCGGATGGCGAGGGAGTGAGGGGGGATGTTTCGCCTCCTTGCTCGATAATAATGATGAGATGATGCGTGAAGTGGTCAACCTTTCGGTTGTACCCAGAGGCACTCGCTGGCCGATGAGGTGTGTGTGTGTCTGCAATGCGACGAATTTTTTGTGATGATCGCTCGATCCGTCTCGTTGGCCACCACACATCCAACCATCTTGGATGAAACAAAGAATTGATCTCTTCTACAATACTGTACCAAATGAAAAGAAAAGCAAAATTTGCCATCCAGACGGATCCCGCCAACACGAAACTCGGACTGAATAACCACATTGGTGTGAACCGACCCAATTCAGATACATATGTACCCCTGGCCACAAGGAATGACCCGAGCGACGGCGACGGACCCCGGCCCTGTGGCTGTCAGATATGTACAGTGCGTAAAAAATACCCCGGATTTCAAAGGGACACGCAATTTCAGTCAGTTCCGAGTTGCGACACCCATCAATTTTTCCACACAAACCACTGGGGTTGAATTGACCCAGAAATTGGTTCGAACGGTGTCTGCTATTCCACGGGCCTGGTTTCGTCATTTGAAACTGCCGTATTTTGTATATCAGAAAAACGTAAAGTCTCAACCTCTTCATTCCGACTTCTCGGTGTTCTTGGGTTGTTAACCGGCAATGGCTAGAGGTACCTGGATGGTTACGTCCCACCGCCAAACCATTGCAGAGGTGCAGAGAGGCGGTGGTCGGTCGGTGCCGTGGAAGCGTGGTGCAGTGGTCATTGCGTTCATTAGGTGCAGTGACCTGGCATGGCTTCCCCGGCCCAGACCGCCATTGACAACAGGTTGGCAACTTTAAAATAATGAACGAACAAAAAAAGGACTCTGCCAATGTTGACCAGTTCGATGGTGACATGAGATATTGTGGTTTATTCCTATTGTCAAAACGCTTGAAATGCCTTCGTCGTCGTCGTCGTCGTCGTCGTCGTGATTGCATGTACGCAGACGGCAGTGACGGGATGCTGCAAAATGGAACCTGCGTGACCCTGAATTAGTGCATCTTCCCTGTGATCCACCGCTCCCGCCCCTTGCCCTGCGCCTGCCCTCTCCCCCATCCGACCCCAGGAGCCCGGAGGCTGGGAAATGGTTGTTGTGCGGCCTTTGTCCCACTGGAAGGTGGAATTAGTGTACATACACTACAGGCGTCGGGTGGGAAGTCACTTTTTTTGTGTGGTGCGAAGGCTGGGAAGGGAATGCGTTATGCACCAGCGGACCAGGGCTGTTTCAAAGTCGGTCTTTGTTTCTTCAACAATTGTTTACCTTTTCCGTTCCCCCTCCCTCCACGGTCCACACCAGTGACTTCCCCCTTCCCACCGCCTTTCTGGATCCTCCATTTCAATTCTTGCTTTGTGTTTTGGCGTTTTTTTTTTTTTTTTTTTTTTTTTTTTTTTTTTTTTTTTTTTTTTTTTTTTTTGGCAATTCAAGATCGATAACTCACGCGACTGTTTCGAGCCTACAGTGGACAATCCAGCCAGCGAACGGTACCTCTACTCCAACACCACCGACAACGACGACGACGACGACGGAACACGAGAAAAGGGCTTTGTCTTCCCTGCTTTGCCTGAACCGAACCCACACCATCTTAGCTCGGCCAAATCCCCCGGCCTCTTGCTCGCGCCTCCCTTTCTCAACACTGATTCGCCCCTCATTCGACACCGTCGCTCTACACTCGGACTACACTACCTACTAGATACTTGTTTTCTTCAGTCGCTCCACTAGACTACTCTTTCTAGACTTTTCCCGCTTCGGGGGCTGATGCGCATCAGTGCCATCCCACCTCTCTAGCTCATCCAGGTCCCCGTCCAGTCCGCTTCTCTGCCTTCCAACCACCGTCGAGACCACGACCGCCCTGATCTCAGATCCAGGTCGAACCCAGCACCTCTCCCTCCCATTCAGTCCATCCCGCCACTGGCAGCCCGCGATCACGTCGCCAATCTTCCCAGGGATTTCCACCCAGCCAGTCCGGGCGTCTACAGAAAACTTCACAGTCGCGATTCACTCGTGCAGACCTCGGCCGGTCGCAAGGGCACAAGTTCAGCCCTCCTGTCTCACACAGAGGTGGACTCGCCAAAACATACATATGGGTCAATGACATCAGAAGCCCAACGTCCTTTCCACGCTACTACACTACGTACACTTAGTCTTCAATTGCTTTAACTCGATCGCTTCTCCGCCATTCCACCCTCCTTAGTTCCCCGTCCCATTCGGCGCAATCCTCTCGGCGCTCCTCCTACTCCAGCCCTCCTTTGTCGGCCCTTACCACATACTCGAATCCGACCCTCAACTATGGAGGCACACGCTCGCGCAACCGCCTCGATGGAGGAAGCCCAGTCTCCCCACGCCGCCGAGTCCTCGACCAAGACGAACCGTCGCCGCGGCCACAGTCTCAGCGTGTCACCCCCCTGGCACACCGCAAAGTCGACGACACACAACCATGGGCCAAGAGACTCGACCCTCCAGCACAGCATCTTCGCTCAAAACCATGGCCCCTTCCGCAGTCACCGCCAGAACAGTGCCGCGAGCGACGACGCCGTCCCCGCCCATCCCAAACAGGGGCACAAGTTGAAGGGCATGCTGCGCCGCGCCTCTGTCTCCTTTCGTTCCGGTGTGAAGGGCATCGTCCATAGGAGGACCTCCGTTCCGAACACTCCGACTTTTGAGCCGGACGCCGGTGCCGGTCCTTCTCAGCCGTCTGCAACTGCTCGTCCCACCACTGCGCATTCGACCTGGAACAAACTGCGTCAAGCTACGAGCTTCCACCGCCATTCCCGTAGAATGTCTGTCCACCACGGCGAATACCCCTTCGGTCACATTGCCCTCCAATCACCGCCTCTTCCCGTACCCGGCTCCGGCGAGCAACCTCCGATCATCCCCCGTAATACCGGTGCTGCTGCACGGCAAGCCGCCGCGAGTGCAGGTCACGGCCTCGAGATGATCAATATTCCTGCACCCCGACCATGGGCGAACGACGGCATGGACGACTACGAGAGTGGAATTGGCATTGCCGTCACGAGAGGCAGATCGTCCGAGTCTGACGTCTTCATGGATGGCGTTGATTCCGATGTCGACATTGAGCTGAACAGTCCCTCTCCCAACGACGAGGTGGACATCATCAAGGTCGACTTCATCTCCCAACTACCTCTTGAACTCGGAATCCATATCCTGGGACAATTGGATGCGTCATCGCTGGCTTCGGCTTCCCTCGTCAGTAGGTCATGGAACCATGCTGCTAGGAACCAGCATATTTGGCGCGAGTCTTTCCTCCGGGAGAAGACCACCACCTACGCCACGAGCGGAGCCGTCAAGCCGGGAACCGGTCTTGGCGTGCCAGCCATCCGCCCTGGCAACGACTGGAAGGAGATCTACAGGGTCAGAGAAGAACTTGACAAGAGATGGAAGGAGGGCAAAGCTCGTCCTATTTACCTCCATGGCCATACGGATAGTATCTACTGCTTGCAGTTTGACGAGTATGTCCCAGATTTGCTCCTTCGAAACCGTATGATTGCTAACTTTACATAGACACAAAATTATCACCGGTTCTCGTGACAAGACCATCCGTGTCTGGGACATGAAGACTTACTCCTGCAAGCTTGTCCTGGGTCCGCCCGAGATCATCAACGACTCGGACTTGTCCCTCCTCCACGACGAAGCTGGCAATCCCATTCACTATGCGACCCTTCCCGAGCTCGACCCCCACCCCTCAGCCAGCGGTCAAATTCAAACCCCCGCCAGGAGTCACTTCTCCTCACCGGCCCTCTTCTCACCCCCCATTTTCCACCGGGCTTCCATCCTCTGCCTCCAGTACGACGACGAGATCCTCGTTACCGGCTCCTCCGACGCCACCTGTATCGTTTACGATATCGCCTCTGGTTACCAACCCGTCTGTCAACTCCGTCACCACTCCGCCGCCGTCCTCGACCTTGTCTTCGATGACAAGCACATCGTCACCTGCTCCAAGGACGTGTCCATCTGCGTCTGGGACCGTGCCACGGGCGCTCTGCTCAAACAACTCCGCGGCCACACCGGTCCCGTCAATGCCGTGCAAATGCGCGGCAACACCATTGTCTCCTGCTCAGGTGACTTCCGCGTTAAGCTCTGGAACATCGAAACCGGCAAGCAGATCCGCGAGTTCCTGGGCCATACCAAGGGTCTCGCCTGCAGCCAGTTCTCAGAGGACGGACGGTACGTCGCCTCCGCTGGCAACGACCGCGTCATTCGCATCTGGGACGCCAACACGGGCGAATGCGTGCGCGAGATGAAAGCGCATGGCGATCTGGTCAGAAGTCTGCATGTCGACAGCGTGTCGGGCAGGTTAATCTCTGGAAGCTACGATACGGATATCAAGGTGTGGGATATGGACACGGGTGCCCAGCTGCTCGATTTCCCGCAGTGGCATAATAGCTGGGTGCTATCCGCCAAGAGCGATTACAGGCGTATTGTCAGCTCCGGACAGGATCCAAAGATTCTCATCATGGATTTCGGTGCGGATGTGAAGGGGATTGAGATGCTGGAGACTCCTGCCCCAAAAGTGGTGCCGCAACATCAGCAGCAGACGAACAATCAGGTTGCTGTGCCCTCGGAGCAAGGGCCGGGCGGGTATTTTTGATGAGGTTCGATGGGACGAGACAAAATGAGATGCTTGCATGATCATGGGCGGCGTTTTCAGGAAACCGGATACGGGAACTGGTCTGGAGTCCTCTGGACTGAACCGGACTGGACTAGTTGGATCAATCACCGACGGGGTGCAGGATATGGGATATAAACCGTGATTTTGGGTTTTTGTTATAGAGAACTGGCTGCTTGGTACGACTGCGCCGGGGTAATTCTTAATATGGGTGTGTGTGTTCTCTGAGGGTTGTTGGGTGGACCTGGCCTGCCTTACCGCTGGTCGATATCGGTTGAAGTCACTCCCACATAACCCGAAGAGTAGACACTGCTTCTTCTTTTTCTTTCTACCATTTTCCTTCTCTGAATCTGGGTTTTTACTTTTTTACTTTTTGTTTTTACAAATAGATAGATTACTGGGTAACTTGGGCACTGTTTGCTTTGCTGGAGTACACTGCGCTTGGGTAGGCAACCTACGCGGATTTTTGGAAGCTGCATGGAGCATGGAGCAAGGAGCAAAGGAGAAAAAAAGAACCAAAGATGGAAAACCCGACCGTCATGGTCCAGTCATGGATTGGATGAATGGAGGAATTTTTTGCTCTTTATGGTAGACCGGGCTTTTTTAAACCATGCCTTGCAAGGCGTTTCTTGAGTTCACACGGAAAAGATAGATCGCTGTCTCTTTTCTTGAAGTAAATGTAAAGAAATGAGGTGCTTTTATGGTATATGTACGTTCGTTGTCAACATAAGTGCACACTGCGTTGAAGTTCCATCCGTGATGAGTGAATATTTACTGGCACGGCCGTCTTGAGTTCAACGTCGTGACTCCGATTATCTTTACTCCCTACTTTGTTCCCCTTCTTTAAGAGTAACCCTCCGCACACCCACCCCATTCCCTACATACACCCAAAAATCCCCAAGGCAGCTGGCATGTAAATAACCGTGTTTTAGGTATAATCTTACTCGTATTGCAAGTTACTTTAGGGACCTTAGTTAGATTTCTAGCTCTCTATATACAATCAAGGCCTTCTATAGACGATTTAAAGCAAAGGAGGAATAATTTGAGCGAGATTAAATATAGTAGGGATAGTAATAGGTATTAATATACAACATTCGTTATTAGTATGCAACGTTATTAGTATGCGACGTATAAATAGCTGGCAGTAATAAGTGTGATTGACTGTGTGAAAAAGCATAAAAGAAATAGTTCGAAAACGGGATTTACAATGTCAGGTGTCATCAGCTGTATGGTCCCACAATTTTTGGGTTTTGGGTGTATGTAGGGAATGGGGTGGGTGTGCGGAGGGTTACTCTTCTTTAACTATACACACTCCTATTTTCTCATCTTGGCTGTTAGTATCAGTATATCAATCAACTGCCTCCATCACCAGCAAGACAAGGACTGGCACAGTTACTACTGAGATGAAGGTGATGTCGTGGCGGACGGCAACCTGGATTTGCTCACAGCTGAGATACATGGACTATGGTGTACAAGATCAGTTACTATATCTACACTCTACTTTCTTCTTGGTCTTTTGTTTTTCTTTTGTAAGGTTTAGGTTAGTTAGCTGTTACTACTTAGATTGCCTGCCTATAACATAACTTACCTCCTACCTCAACTATCAATACCATTACATACCTACCTACCACATCACTTCTAGCTTCTGTTATCAATGCCTAGAGGTACCTCTAGGTTATGTGAAAGACGTGCAAAACAAGGATTAACCCAAGTAATCACTTCAACTTGTGTATTCTTTTTCATGGTCATTACAGCGTAGAGAGGTGACGTGACTTCACTTTCTTTCTGAGTCAGTTTCAAGTCTCCGTTCCATACTAAGGTAGGTACTTTACTTGATTCAAGGAGAATATACGTTGAAGGTACTTGCATACATACTTGTGTGTGATTTGTTCTCTGGTCCTTAAGGTTATGGAGTTTTGGCCGTGTGATCGTTGGAGAGTTTACAACGAAGCCACTTCACGCCATGCCTCGTTTACAGGCTGATACCCCGAATTTCTCGACACGGGGAAGGAACAATCACTGTTTATAGGTTACACTATGCAGCAAAAAAAAAGCACATACGACCATACCCACTGGAAAACTCGGGATCCCGTCCGCTCTCCCATAGATAAGCCAGTGAGGGCCAGACTAGTAGTTGGGTCGGTGACGACCAGCGAATCCCTGGTGTTGTATGTTTTTTCTTTCTCATTATGATCTTTTACTTTTTGTTTGTTTGTGTTCTTTTCGGGGGTTTTCTTTTCAATTCTCTACCTATTTAAACCTGATACTGGCACTTAGGTCCTGGGTCTTTCTTGCGACGAGCTTATTTAGTCTCCTGGGTGGTTGTTTTACGTTTCAGATGCCTTGTGCCTACCTAGTGTAGATGTAGCTCAGATCTGACTGAAGACAGGTTGAGTATACCATGTACACGTTCAAAGTTTAGACCTCTAGGATTGAGAAAATGGACACTGATTTGTACGTGCCCTGTGTGCCTACTTCCTCTTGTGCTTTATACATATATAGGTATACACGCCTGACCTTTGCCCGAGTCATAGCCAGGCAATGTAGAGGTTGCATCAGGTACATCCAACATCAAGTACCCTGAAGTTCATGATGGCTGGTTCATCCAGACTAGAAGACAAGATGAAAAAGAACAGACTGAAAGTGGTAAAATGGCAAAATAGACGGTCACGATGAAAGAGCTTGAAACGGTTCACTGAGGTAAGGAGGGGACCGAGCAACGTTTCTAGAATGAAGATGTATATAGGGTTGGGCAGCTCAATGTTTCGCGATCCCGTCTAACTTTGTGAACGGCTACATGTACACGTAGCACACGGCTTTTTGGGGTCAGGCATGCCTACCTTAAAAAGAGGGCAAGTTAGGGATTGGATGGTATATTGAGGAGTGATGAAATGATGAGGGGAGTCCCGTGTCAGGAATAGATTACTTCATGGTGATATCAAGAGTGGCATGTACAACTATTCGAGGGAGCAATGGAGGGCAAGCTCAGAAGACATCAGTGATAATGAATGGTAGCATCAAATTTGCGGGACATTGGGGCCGAACCGAATGGTTGTATATGAGTAACTGATACTACACCGGGAATGTCAACTGTTGATTTGGGGTGTGGTGGGAGTTGCAATAGTCGTGGGGATTATCAGTGTCAATCTTATTTCTACCGAGGATGAGGCGATGTACTCGAAATCCCTGTTGTTGTCGTTGCATTTGTTTTGTTTCTTTCCTAACCAATATCCTGGAAACTTATATGCCAGCGAGATACCATCAGATCTGGAGAGGGTAATGGGATGAGCTGAGGTAGACTCTATTCTCAGAAACTGGGAAGAAGAAAAAAAAAAAGAAAAGGAAAAAAAAAAAGGAAAAAAAAAAAAAAATAGTCAGGAAGCATGGGACAAGCATCACGTGTAACGACGATGTGCATCGTCAAAGGCAAAACAGAGAAACGGGAGCACTGCCGAAACAAGAGATTTTCCCCGTCATGGCCATCCAGAGCCGAGACTTCCCCGCCCAGACTTGAAAAGTGGTGCAACGGGCCAACGACAAAATTCTATCGGAAAAGGGGGAGGCGACTACCGTCCTCGGTATCGTGTTGAGGCATGAACCACTTTCCATGGGACGTTCGCCTTCGCCACACTATAGTAGCAACGATGTATCGGTCAGTCTGCTGTGCCTTGACCAACTAGCTATTAGCACCGAGGTACCTCACCGAGCTCACCAATAAAGTCGAGTGGGTGCCTGGCCAAGGATCAGCAGTTAAGGTCTAGATTCCATCGCAGCAAGTGGTGAATGGAAAGAAACAAGTTTCGGCCTGTCGTGTAAACGAGCCACGAGAGGGCTTTGATTCGAACGTGAACACGCCACATGGCAAGGTAGAGTGCATTTTTCCCATTCCTTTCAGTTGCATCTCATTTCTCCGAAGAAAGGCGTGAAAGGGGTGTTGGTCACTTTTGGTTGCCTCGGTCTTATCGATTGTCCTCTTTTGTGACCCTTCAACCAGCGTTTGGTGCCGCCATGTGGTGTCGAGCACAGCATAGACGAACCAGCGAATGTGGAATAGGTAAGGCGCAAAGAAGTCGTGAATTCTCTCACCTGTTCGTAATGGGAACCGGCGAGGGGGCCAAGTCATCACGCAGTAAAGTATGTCCTGCATATGGAGGTTGAATTGGTGATGGCGGTTTGAAATTGCAGGGTGGTACCCAGGTAATACCAACAAAAGGGGAAGGTAGCACTTGATGTTCCCCAAAACAAAAACCACAGACAAACATGCAAAGGGGGTCATTGACCGAGTATGGCCATGTTGGTGGACGATACTGTAGTATATGGGACATGATGTCGCAGTCATATATCCGAGTCTGACGGACGACAGCTGCGGCCACCATGGCCCCATGTAAGTAATAGTCGTGAGACAGACAGACTCAGCCTGACTAGGTAGGTAGGTAGGTAGGTAGCAAACAAGATGTTTTGTTTCTTTGAAAGTACATACTTTGCTTGGGGTCTGGATATGTAGGTGCTCATGATGGATGGAAGTCGAACGATTCCGCCAGGGGTAGCATGGTCCAGGAAGGGGAAGGTCAGGAACAGAATCCCAAATGGGTCTTCTTATGTTACACTGTTGGTGAGGCTCGGGCTCTTCTTTAAAAGGCATGGCATTGGCATCGTGGAGATTGCGCAGATGGCGCGGCAACGGTGGAAACAAAGGGAAACGATTGGCGCGGGGCATCTGGTTGGTGACAGGGGCACAGATGGGGGCAGCCACCAGTCAAAAGGGGATCAGGGGCTGCAAGGAACGCCATCTCAAACGGGGTGCCCAACCCAATCAGGCGCAGATGATCAGTGACGACTGGTCTTTGTACGTCTAGAAAGTTGGAAGCGAAGCATGGACCTTTTGTTTGAAACAAATCCATGGACAGGCGAGAACGAGTCGTCGACATTGTTTCCCAAGCAACAAGCAACATTGTGCACAGGCGACAGCCAGTGAGTCGCATGAGTGAGTGTGAGAAAGTGTGTGTGTCCGTGCGTATCGAACTAAGAGAAGAGAAAGGCGATGACAGTTTGAAGAAAGAAAGGAGAAGTGGAATGAAAGGGTCAGTGTGTTGGATAATGACTGGACAGGTCGGGTCTTGGTCTAAAAATGCACACAAGTGGAAATTCGAAGCGCCCAAAAAGGTGGACACCTGTTCTTCAGGCAGCCCCGCACTTAGCTAGTTTAGAGGTACGTGCCTTGCTTGGTTACTAATGAACCTAAACAGGAAAAGAGCCCGCCCGCCAGCCAGGAACCGTGAAACATGAGAGGGTGCACGGGCCACAGGCTGCAGCTGGGATGATCCTCCGGCCCGTCAATTGATTCGACGCAGTGACCAACGCGCAAAGTGCCCTGCTTGACCAAGGCACACCGTCCTGCGGCTTGCCCAATTTGAACGTCATTTGTTGCAACCCGACCGACGACAGATTCGTTTCTCAGTCTTCTTCGTCATCGAAACACCAAAAGTTGAGGTTGGTGAACTGAACCACCACCACTCCAACCGCCCACCTTTCTTGAACATAACCAATTCGCCCACTTCTTTGTTGACTCAGCGCGCCCGTATCTGATTCACCTTTTACCCGGGCATTGATTGATTCAGCAAGTCGTTGTCCGTCGCATACGGCCGGTCGCTTGTTTCTCTTGTTGCAGATAGCAAACTACAGGGACAAGTAGAGAGAGACCTTTGACACAACAACCGCGACACACGCGGAATCCACCCTCCGCACCAGCGGCCCGTCAACTTGTGGTGGTGTTGTTGTCCAGTTTCCTTCCCCAGGCCCCTTTCTGGTGGTGTTGAGTGGACTGGCGGTTGCATTGACGAAACCCCTGGATTGGCGAAATTGCCGTGTATGTACAACCTTTTCCTTCTCTGGACATGGTGCCGCCGCCAGATCTGGCCCGTTTCTTCGTCCGATCCCGCTCTGCCCCATCCAGCCGATCCAGGCACCCAACCATCCACAGCCAATCGAGTCCTCCTTGATCTGCCCGGCCCAGCGGTTGGAGAAGAGGCTCCCGTTTCGTTTATGCCCCGAGCTAGCTCTTAGCTTGTTTGAGTTCCCAAGGACTTGTACACCAACCAAGACACTCGCCATGTGGTCCTTTGTTTTATCTCTGATGAATGACGCGCCTGTTTTAGCCTGTCCAAGCGTCCAAGTCCCAGCTCGGCGGTTGTTTCGAAGAAACCGTCACCATGGTAGCGCTTTGACATGCCATCTGCCTTATCGCCTCCTGCTATTACCATGGAACACATCATGGACAAGGGAACCTGGGAAACATCACTAACGCATGTTGCGGATCCAGGCACAGCAGCTCCCGTGAGAAAGCAGCCCCATGTCCAAGATAGACCTGGACGTCGAGGCGGCTACCGCTTGCCACCACTCCTCCATGTACACGCCTACCCCTCGTAGCACTACTACTACTGCCATGGTCATGGGGGCGGAAGAGGCGCCCGGCCATGTCGTCCTCGACTGTGACTCTGATACATTCGACGACGAAGCAGAGCCTCTGCACCCTAAAGCCGGCATATGCGAATGCAACGGCTCCTGCAGACGTTCTAGTATAAGTTGTCGTCCCCCCAACCATCCTTCATCCCATCTGGCCACCAAGAGTCATTCTCACCCCCATCGGGCCCAGCCTTGCCCAAGTCATTCCAACCACTTTCGTTCGATTTTCGATTCGACCTGTTCCTACTGCTTGTTACTTTTCTCCGACTTGGTCAGCCGTTTTGGCTCTTCATCAGCATCTTCAACCACCAAGGTGAGTTACACGCATCTGTCATCCGATATCAACTTCACACATACATACATACCCCCACTTGCATGATGCACCTACCTCCGCGTTGCCTGCCCTATTGAGAGATCAGACGGACCACGGGTGCCCTATTGTGCTATTGTTGGCGCATTCACAGCGCTGGTGATCACTCAATGGGCGCCGGCATTCGGCCCTATTCATCATTGAGTGTGAACAAAGGGAAGATGGGCATTGTTCTATTGTCCATCTCGGCGTGCCTTCCCTTCTCTTTATTAAGCCGCGTGGCACCCCTGATCTCTCCCCTGTCCTCATTAATTTTCCGCATCTTCCAAACTTCCACAATCGTTCTGTCGGCACATTCGCTAATTATTTACCTTCGCACAGTACCGGAGCCTCGACCCCCGGTCTACACATAAACAAAGGTCCAAAAGATATAGCTGGTTCTACATCATGATGGGCCTTACTTCCATCCTCGCTTTCTTCCTTCTGGCCATTCGGCTATTTTCTCCAGCCTTGGCGGCTCCAGCCCCCCGTCAGGCTACGGGCGGCTGGTGGGTGAGCAGTATCGATCGTCAAGGTGTCGCTCCCTTCAACGAGGACAGCGCCGGCTACAAGGTTTTCCGCAATGTTCGCGACTACGGCGCAAAGGGTGATGGATCCTCTGACGATACCGAGGCCATCAACAAGGCTATTTCTGATGGAAAGCGCTGCGGCAAGGGCTGCTCCTCCCAGACGACCACTCCTGCCCTAGTTTACTTCCCTCCCGGTACCTACGTTGTCAGCAAGCCCCTCATTCAGCTCTACTACACTCAGCTTGTCGGCGATGCTGTCAGCCCCCCGACCCTCCAGGCCGCTCCCAACTTCGAAGGCATGGCTGTCATCGATTCCGATCCCTACGAGGACGGCGGCGAGAACTGGTGGGTGAACCAGAACAACTTCTTCCGTCAGGTTCGCAACTTTGTCATCGACCTCACCAAGATGCCTGTCAACAAGGGCGCCGGTATCCACTGGCAGGTCGCCCAGGCAACGAGCTTGCAGAACCTCGTCTTCAACATGCGCAAGGATGGTGGCGCCGAGAATGCTCAGCAGGGTATCTTCATGGACAACGGTTCGGGCGGTTTCATGACCGACTTGACCTTCAACGGCGGCAAGTTCGGCGCCTTCTTCGGTAACCAGCAGTTCACGACTCGTAACCTCACCTTCAACGACTGCAAGACTGCCATCTACATGAACTGGAACTGGGCCTGGACCTTCCAGGGCGTCGAGATCAACAACTGCGAGGTCGGCATTGACATGTCCAACGGTGGTCCCACTGCCCAGACGGTTGGCTCCGTCCTCGTTGTCGACAGCAAGTTCAGCAACACTCCCATCGGCGTCAAGACTGCTTATGACCCCCAGTCCCCTGAGACCAACGGCACTCTCATTCTTGACAACGTCGACATGACCGGTACCTCTCAGGCCGTCTACAACAATGCCACCGGGGCTACTATTCTCGAGGGCAGCCAGAAGGTCGGCTTCTTTGCCCAGGGACGCGCTTACACTGGCAAGCCCGGCAGCGCTGGCAAGGCGGTTCAGAGCCCCCAGACCGCCATCAAGAAGCCTGATGTTCTCCTTGACTCCAATGGCAGGGTCTTCACCCGCTCCAGGCCTCAGTATGAGAACGTTCCCGCCAGCTCTTTCTTGAGCGTCAAGGCTGCCGGCGCCAAGGGTGATGGTAAGACTGATGACAGCGACGCCATCCAGGCCGTCCTTGACAAGGCTACCCAGGATCAGGTTGTCTACTTTGACCACGGTGCTTACCTCATCACCAAGACCATCAAGGTTCCCAAGAACGTCCGCATCACTGGTGAGATTTGGCCCATGATCCTTGCTGGCGGCGACAGTTTCTTCAAGGACCAGAAGAACCCCAAGCCTCTCTTCCAGGTTGGCCAGCCCGGTGACACTGGCGTCGTCGAGATGTCGGACCTCATCTTTGGTACTGCTGGCCCTCAGCCCGGTGCTATCTTGATCGAGTGGAACGTCGCTGGTACCAAGCAGGGTGACGCCGGTCTCTGGGATGTCCACGCCCGTGTCGGTGGTTACGCCGGCACTGATCTCCAGCTCCAGAAGTGCGGCAAGAACCCCGAGGCTACTAACGCCATCCCCGAGGACTGCTTCGGCTCTTTCATGATGCTCCACGTCCCTACCAAGGGCTCCGTCTACCTCGAGAACACGTGGTTCTGGGTTGCCGACCACGACCTTGAGCCTGAGGCCGACAACAAGCAGATTGATATCTTCAATGGCCGCGGTGTCCTCATTGAGGGTGAGGGCCCTGTCTGGGGTTGGGGTACCGCCTCGGAGCACTCGGTTCTCTACAACTACCAGTTCTCCAACGCCTCCAACGTCTACCTTGGCCTGATCCAGACCGAGACCCCTTACTTCCAGGGCAACCCCATCTCCACCAAGCCGTATGAGGTCAATGCCAAGTACAACGACCCCGACTTTGCCAAGTCCTGCCAGGGTGACAGCACCGGTACGTGCGAGCGCGCCTGGGGTGTCCGCGCCGTCAACTCCAAGGATGTGTTCATCTTCGGCGCCGGCCTGTACTCGTTCTTCAACAACTACGACCAGGACTGCCTCAAGACGCAGTCGTGCCAGACCAACATGGTCTCCCTCGAGAACAGCGCGGTCAGCATCTTTGGTCTGAGCACCAAGGCTAGTTTGAACATGTTGACTATCGACGGCCAGACCATGGCGGAGGACAAGGATAACAGGAACAACTTTTGCGCGACGCTGGCGCTGTTCCAGTCTTCAATCTAGGCGGTTGGGCTGTGAGTAGTGCTATGTAACGCGCAAAGAGGTTCTTGGTCTTTGGCCACTTTTTTCTTCTTCTTGGATTTCACTTTTCATGACCAACATTTTTCGATTCTTCTGAACGGGCTGACAGCCAGGACGCCTTTTCACCTTTTGTCTTGTGTTTTTCTTTGGTTTTTTGTTGTTTCTTCGGCCTCATTTTTCTTATTTCTGCATCAGTTTGCTTTTTCTACATCATTTGGTTCGGCGTTCACCTTGAACAACAGAGGGGGGATCACAATGGAGGGTACACACAGGAAACTTTGCGGCTTCACTTTTTACATATGATACCAGTTGACCTTGGCATTGATATTCAGCACGATGGAAAAGTCGGTGTTTAGAAAGAAAAAGGAGATTCGTATATAGCAAGCACCACCCTTCATGAACATATGATGGCGTCTCGTCAACCAATGGGTGAAGACTGCCGAAAATAGATTTTCGTTTTGAAAGGACTTCTTTGTTCATTGTTTGAGTGACTGAGTGACAGCGTAGTAAAGTGTGTGCTTGGTCGGTGATGGGTGACCGTGGCGTTGATGGCGTTGATGGCAGATCGATATCTCCTGATTGTACTAGCTGCTTCTACGGGTTAGGGTTGTTGCTTGCAGATGCACTACGCACTTGCTTGCTGAGTCATCAACCTCGGTCGCAGTCAAAGCGAAGTCGCAACTTGGCAACACCGGGGCGCAAACGGGGCAGGCAAGCTCAGCTGGATAGATAGTAACGTCATAGCGGCCTTCGGTCCCTCAAACAATCTTGCATCGCGACACACTCACTCCTTGGCTCTCCGTCCCAAAAAGAGCAAGGCCGGACGACTGCAGCAAGAATATCGTCACAACTTGTTGCTGATCTCTTTTCGCCAACTTCTCGCTACTTGTCTCAGACTTTTTATTTCCTGTCATGTCGACTACGTCCTAAAACACAAACTGTCATTACTCGACTACTCACAAGCTCACGCTCTCCCTGAACTGGCAACACACCAGCATCGCGGCGTCACACTCCCTTGCGATAGCCAAACGAACAATCCTGTCGAACGACGATTAACTTACGCCGTACAAAAACCAAAAAAACAAAACCACCACCACCTAAATGGATGCGCCACCAGCCACAGCCATCCCCTCTTCCCCCGACGAACAACCCTCCGCAACCTTGACCCATCGCAAGCTCTCTTCCACCATGGCTTCCTCCCCCGAACTCTCGTCATCCAACGGGGGAAGAACCCAAACTACCAAAACTACTACCAGCCAGCGCAACAACCCACACTGGCCCACCCGCACCGAACTCGTCGCTCTCGCGCTGTACCCGACCCTCCTCCTCTTCGGCACCCTCTTCTCCCTGCTCAACCCGTCTGCCCGCTCCAGTCCTTACGACTTCGTCTCGCAATCGCACGTCCAAAGCGGCGCGGCCGTCCCCTCGTATTTTGCGCGCAAAGATAACTTGTTCAATGTCTTTTTCGTCAAGAGGGCGTGGTTCTGGATTACTGTTTCTTTCTTTGGGTTTTTGTTTAGTCATCCTGGCTACAACAGCATCAGCAGCGGGACTCGGGGAGACAATGGAAGTGGAACCGGAAGAAAAGTAAAAGCCGTGGTAAGATGGGGCCTAGTAACGCTCTGGTGGGTTTTTGTGACACAATGGTTCTTTGGTCCGGCGATTGTGGATCGCGGGTTTCGCGTGACGGGGGGTAAGTGTCAGGAGGCGCAAGGGCGGGTGAATGCGCAGGTGAAGGCGGATGCGATGCCTGGGCCTGTTGGGAGCAACGTGGATGTGGCGGGCTTGAAGGAGTTCGTCACGGCGGCGGCGTGTAAGGCGGCTGGAGGCAAGTGGCAGGGCGGCCACGATATCTCGGGTCATGTGTTCTTGTTGGTTTTGGGGAGTGCGTTTTTGGTGCAGGAGGTTGGGTGGGTGGTTGCGAGGCATTATTGGAGACGGAGTGTGAGGGATGAGAGGACGGTGGTGATGGGTGATGGGGCGGTCAAGTCGGCGGGAACGGATTTGGCTGCTGATAAGAGGTGGGATGATTATAGCCCGGAGATGGATGAGGCTAGGGAGGTGAGGGACGTGGTGACGGGAGGAGGGCTGTGGGATGCGTTGGGACATGGGGGGAAGGTGGTCTTTGTAGTGGTGGGATTGAGTGCGTGGATGTTGTTGATGACGGCGATTTACTTTCATACGTGGTTTGAGAAGGTGAGTTTCTCTTCGTCAACGGAAGTATTGAGGAAGCAGATTGCTAACAGATTCACAGCTTACTGGGCTTCTTGTCGCGCTCATGGGATTGTACTTTACGTACATTGTGCCGCGCTTCGTCCCGGCGTTGCGTGGAATTGTTGGCCTGCCTGGTGTTTAAGTTATGGATGGAGTGATGGGACGACAACCACCGAGTCCAGGAAGGATGTGAGATACCCGTAGCACTACACTGTGGCATAGCATAGACTACTCGTAATATCCATGTTGTACTCTTACTGTTTGCTTGCCCTACTTCCGTTCCATCAGCGCTCATGATGATCTGAAGCAACGTGGGGAGCAGCGCACGGGCCACCCATGACCTCATCGAAGCTATTCGCGACGGCAATTGACCCCACGTTCTCCAAACTTCCTCCTGACAACGGCCAACGCAGCAACGCACAGAACGCAACGACACAAAAGTCAATTGCGCAGCGCATCGCATTTACCTGTACATGGCAAATACAGACACAGACACAGCCCGAGACACCAACATGTCGCCAATCAAAGCCCCGCCAAACCTCCCCGAGCTCGTCCGGACGGCCTTCAACAAGGCGCGCGCATCAGGCGACGTCAACTTTTATCCGACCCAAGTCACTTTGGTGGACGTCAATTCCATTCCTGTATGTTTTCCTTCCATCCGCTAAACCTGACCTTCAAGCTTAATTCTAACCTATCCCTCAAAACCACAGTTCCAACTCCGCTTCTCCCCTTCCCTAGCCAACAAGCCCAAAGCGCCCAAACCAGTTGGGCAAATCGACCATCGCGTTCCTTCGCCGCCTTCTACGACTTCCATCGGGTCGCAGCCCACACCCAGCGAAAATGGTTTCCCCGAACCCCCGAGAAAGAAGCTCGTCTTCGACCCCTTTGATAATCCCTCCCCTGCCATGCTCATCTGCCCGCTACCTCCACATCATAACCTGGTGCTGAACAAGTTTGCGATTGTCCCGGAACATTTCATCCTGTGTACGAGGGGGTATAAAGAGCAGACGCACTTGTTGGAGCGGGAGGATTTGGAAGCTGTGAGGGGGTGTATTGAGGTTTATCACCATCGCTATGACCAAAAGTACAATGGGGAAAGAAGAAGTGACGGAAATGAAACAACAGTAGGGAAAGAGCCAAAGTTGTTTGCGTTTTTTAACTGTGGTGAGCATAGTGGAGCAAGTCAGCCGCATAGGCATTTACAGCTTTTGGTTGTGGAAAAAATGAGGGAGGGGTTGGAATGTGTTGAGACGGAGAGGGAGACGGAAACAAAAGAGGGGGAGGGAAAGAAGAAGAAGAGGTGGGAAGTGTTGGCGCAGAAACTGGTTGAGGACAACAACAACAACAACAACAACAAGGAAACGGAAAAGAAACTACTGCCGTTCAAGACCTTCGCAGAGCGGTTGACGCCAGAAATGTCAGGGGAGGAAGTGCACCAGATTTATTTGGGATTGTATAGACGCGCTAGGGAGGCTGTGCGGCTGTATCAGCTGTCTTTACAACAGTCCCGTGCATCACAGCAAGATTCGACAACAACAAAAGGGGCAGCAGAAGAGGAGGAGGAAAAGGCCGACGAGATACAAACCGGCGGCGAAGCAACCATCTCGTACAACTTGGCCATGACGCGGGACGTCATGGTTATTGTTCCTCGGCTGGCGGAAGGATCAGCGATAACGGAAAAGAATCCGGAGACGGGAGAAGAGGTGGTAGTGGGCAAGTTGGCGCTCAATGGGACTGTGTTGGCGGGCACGGCGCTGGTCAAGAGTCAGAGGGAGTGGGATGCGTTGAGGAAGAATCCGGAAAAGGTAGGGGAGTTGTTGAGGGTGATTGGGGTGCCTAATGACTGTGAGGGTGAGAGGGGAGAGGGGAGGAAAGAGGGGAGGAAGGGGATGTTGTGAGGAGGTGGTGAGGAGCTAGCGAAGACAGGAGGTGGTAAGCTGCTGGGTGGATGTCCGTTTGAACCGTCTACGTACATCCATCCGTTGGAAGAGGCGGGCGGGTGTCGGGCCTCTTGCAGCTTGTGTGCCAGGTTCCGGTTCGTTGGTGAGACATTGAACGAGCTTCTCCGGTTAACCGGACGGAGTTGGGCATCACGACACTGAACGACAACGCATCACCATCGCTCCAGCAATGAACGATACCATCAACCAAGCCCGTTTTCTCTATAACATGAAATCGATATTACGGTTCTGAACTGTGTCTATCTGTCTAACACCGCAAGTGGAAGTCTAGACCCAGTGACCACCGTTTGCATCCTATTTCCTCTCCGCCTGCCTTGTCTCCCGAACCGAGCCGAGCCCGCCATATGAACACCAGAAAAGGACGAGTAGGAAAATGACAGTAGTGACGAAGAAACCCGCTGAAATATCCGAACTCCTGATGAAGTAATAGCTAGTGTATGTATGCACCGAAACGCAACGCCAGGTCCTTTTGATACCCTCTTTTCTTTTTCCTTTTTGCATTTTCCTTCCTGGCGTGGTCCTGTCCATTAAGTCCCGTCACCTTTTCCTTTTCCTTTCCATTTCGTATTCCCATCCCTGGCGCGTATCGGTGCTATTACCTATCCTGTGTTGAGTTCCGTTTCTCTGTCTATCTAGGTCTCTTCTTCCTTCCTTATTGATCTGCCTCCACCTTCCTTTCCTCACCTCTCCATCTACCATATTATGTATCATCCACCATCACCCATCTGAGCCCTTCCAGTGTCGTCTGTTCATCAGCTTGTCGATCTCCCTGCGTGCGCGCGTGTATCTGTATGTGCTTGTAGTGGTACCGACCTACTTATAACGAGCCCCATCCTGTTTTGTATCGGTACAGAAAAGGCTGCACGGTACTAACAAAAGTACAGAAAAGGGAACTCGTAGGTATGTATACACACACACAATTTTCTCGCGTATTTGGAAAGCCATCAAGTGACGACAGGTTTGTGATTAGGGTGAATGAAGACCAGGTAGATGAAGACCGGAAGGTGAAAACGATCTGTAGGAAAAGAGAGAGAGAGGGTGGAAAGAGGATGATGTGCCGACGGCGATCACTCCTCCATGTAATCATCATCCGAATCCTCTTCTTCTTCCTCTTCTTCCGAATCAGACGCATCAGAAAGCTCATATTCTCCATCGCCATCAGTGCCGTTGCCCTTATGGTTCGTATGGTTCTCATCAGCATCATCCCCTAGAGCACTCATATCCAGCCAATCCGAGTACGCCAGATTCCCATCCTCATTGCCCTCTTCTCCTCCTCTCTCGTTTTTGATTTGAGCAGCACTAGAGTTTCTCTCTCCATGTCTCCTAGAGGTGTCCTCAGCACCAGCAGTCTTGCCCTGACCCTGACCCTGGCTTCTCTGTAGAGGTACTTGACCAGCACCCCGTTTGTTGTTGGACGCAGCAAACCCAGAAGCGGAAGCGGAAGGAGAGCCAGACTGAGACAGAGACTGAGATTGGGAAAGCAAATGGTAAGCACTCCGCTTACTCCGCTGCTCGTAAAACGGCTTTTGCAAATCCTTGCCCTTTGCAAGCTGGTCGCGCATCAGTTCCTCCCATCGCTTGCGGACCGTGGCGTTGCCGAACTTGTAGGAGCCGCCTTTGGAGAAGATGTAGTGGGAGACTTGCTTCCAGGGGATTTTGGTGGTGGTGGTTGGGATGCCTTTGGGAGTTGTTTTGGGGGCTGCTGGTGGGGTTGTAGAGGAGGAGGAGGAAGAGGGGGAGGTGGTGGAGGATGTGCTGGTGCTGGTGGTGTCTCTGGAGACGAGGGAAGTGATGCTCATGGCTTCGTCGGTGGGTGGTGTTGTAGTCGAAGGTGGGCCAGCGGAAGAGGAGGAAGAGGACGGGTTGGAGTAAGTAACGCTCAATGGCCCTTTGGCGAACTCGCGGACGGCTTTTTCTAGGAGACGTAACTGTTTTCACTTAAGTCAGCCATCATCCCTTTATTTTTTCTTCAAATTTCAGTTCAAACCGGGCATCGAGGCAATACTCACATCCTTATCGGTCCACTCCGGCCTCCTAACCCTCTGCTCCCTACTCTTTGTCAAAGTCCTATACCGTCCCCTGAGAGTCGACTCCGCCTCGGTGAACCGTCCAATCTGGCGAATCTGCTTGTACGACTTTCCTTGGTTGCGAAGCTTCACCAGCAGCGCGTCTTGTTCCGCTCTAGCGCGCTTGAGATGGTCGGTTACGTGATCTTGATGACCTTGATTGCGACGCTTGGTACTAGAGGAGGGCAGGCTATGGTAGGGGTGGACGCCGTGGTGGAAGGGTTGTTGTCTGCGGGATTGGGAGGACATGGAAGCCAGTGAGGCGTGAGGTTGCTGGTGATGGTGGGAGGGAATGGTGTTTGGCTTCATCATCAAAGGATGATGATGAGGAAGACTATGAGGATGGCCCTGTCCCTGGTGATGCGCCCAGGCAATGGAAGGAGAGTTGGGATGAGAAGGGAGCATCTCTCGGGTTGCCATGACGGCGGGGTTGTAACGGGGGCTGGATGGCCGGCCACCACCGCCCATTCCACGACGCGGGGGGCTGTGAGGGAGGGACTTGCGTTGTGCCCGGTTGCTTGCCTGCTGTTGTTGGACGTAGTGCGGGTGTAGTTGGCTGGTGTTGATATGCGGACTACTTCCAAAATGAGCGTTGCTGCTGCCAAAGTCAAGAGGCAGAGGCATCTGGTTCTGATGGAAGAAGCTGTTTGCACCAATGGGGGATGACTCAGGCGAGGGATGGGGCGTCGGTGTTTTGTGGTGAGGGTTGTTCAGCCAGAGAGAGGTAGGCGCAACAGCCAATGGCCCCTCAGCCTTTAGGGCGACATGGGTGTCATGTTGAAGGTGTGAAGAACCCGAAGGCGGGTAGTCGAATACCGTGCGGTTGGAAATGGGGCCTCGGAAGAGAACGTCACCACCGCTGGCACCGGAGGAGGAGGACGACGAGGACGGGTGATGTGAAAAGTTACTACCGCCATTGGTGTCAAACGGAAGGCCGCTGTCGTTGAGCATGACTGATGGGTACTGCTGCTGTTGGTGCTGGTGCTGAAGTGAGACACCGCCGTTGGTAGAAGAGGGTCCAACTCCGAAGCTGCTATGCGTAGGGCTGGGGAGGCCGTCATACCCCATAAGCAGTGAGTGGTGACCAGTGCCAGCGCCAATATTGTGGAATGGGTCGATGGGGCTGGGGGGCATGGTAGACATGCCTCCTTCGGACATGTTGTCGAGGGAAAGGGACGAGGACAACCGAGGTTCGTCCAACAACGGCTCACCAGAGACAGAGTACTGGTGAAGGTTGTGCCACCTTGATTGAGCTTGATGGGAGGCAACAAACGGGGACGAAGCCGAGATGACGGTTGGCTGTGATGACGACGGGGCTGAGGTCCAGACCACGCCAAAATTCGGCAGAGTTTGTTGGTTAGGAGGAGCACCACTGGCATTGTTGAAGAGAGTGTCTGTCTCAACAGTTCCTTGTAGACACGTGGACGCATCTGTAAGTCCGTGTTGTGATAGCTCTGTTGCCTGTTGCTGTTGCTGCTGCTGGTGACCGGGATAGGCAGACATGCTGCTGTTGCTGTGGGGAGATGTGATGCTAGCGCTGGTGGTAGTGGTGGTGGTGGTGGCAATGGTATCCGAAAGGTCCATGTAGCTGCCCTGGATTTGCTGTTGGAAGTAGTCTCTGATCAGTAACATGTTCTATGTTGGTTTGTTTGTATATGAAGATGAACAAAGAAGAAAGCGAAGAGATTGGGGTAGTGTATCGGGAAAAGGAATGGAGAAGAGAAACAGAAACAGAGACACAGATGGAGACAAAAGACAGGAAAACAGAAGAGAACTCCACACATACCGGAGCGGGAGACGAGCCCCAGCTTGCGTCACTCGTGGGAGAGAAAGACTGTGCGTCATTACTTGGATTGCTTCCGGTGGAAGGTCGGTTGAAGCTGCTGCTGGTGTTGTTGCTGTTACCATGTCCCTCATGTTGGCGACACGTCTCGTACTCTGGAGATGATTCGCTCCATGTGGCGCCCACCGACGGCGAACTCGCAGACATGGTGTCAAAGGACGTGTTGAAGGAAGTCATCATGTCCATGTCCATGTCCAGGTGAGAAGAAGATGGGTCAAACTGAAGATTGTGATGAATGTGGTGGAGGGAAGGAACAGTGACGCTGTCGTTGGTGTGTGCCGTTTGACAGAAGTCTTCTAGATTCACGTATTTGTTCCACTGGTTGTCAAGACCATTAAGATTGTTGTGAGAAGCAGGTGGAAAGCCGGTTGAAGCAGTAACTGCGGGTGCGGTGGCTGCTTCGAGGAGGTTATTGTGCCAAACCATCTCGTCGGCTTCCTCTTGAGAGGATCTTGGGTCACTGATAAACATCTTCTTGGTGTCTTTGCTGGACAGAAAGTCGGCGGTGAGCTCAAAGTTGCTTTGCAAGCCTGTTCCTTACGTCTGTTCTCCGCCGTCGTCCAGGTCCTTGATGGAGGCCAGGCCAGTCGGGTGTGATTCTCACCACACTGCCGTCAAAGTTCTCGATAGTATCTCTGTATACCTTCGATTATTTCCCCTCAATAATTCTTCCCGATCTTCACCGCTGCTCTGCGTCTTTGCGTGGCACTTGTCTTGCTCCAAAGGGTGTTCTGCTGCCCTCCGGGTCGGTGGAGGAGCCCCGCAACGATGGCGTGGTGTGGTGATGCGGGAGGGGAAGTGTTCAAAGAACTCCTCCTTGCTGCCTGACAACGGTCAACAAATCGTCGGGCTCGTGCGCGTGGTGCGGTCAGATCTGGTTGGGATTTCTGGTTCGTCATGCAAGAGTTAAGTAGGCAGCCGAGGACGAACTTTCCGGGATAACCTGAGAATTTTCTGGGTGGATGCCTTGACTCTAACCACCTGTTCCTTCACTGGGTTGGATATGGTTGGCTCAAGTTTCTGGCTGCGGTAGTGGGGAGATGGAAAGGCGGTGCCAGTGAGCGGGAACCTCCAAGGCTTGGTGGATAGGATCTCAGATGACAGCTGAGTGTCGGAGTTCGGCGAATGTAGGGTCGAGGTGTGCTCGGCAGATCCGAAGAGAGACGATGGGAGTGTAACAATTACAATGTGACAGAACGAGTGCAAGGCAAGGCAAAGAAAGTGGAGGTGGCTATTACTGACGGAAGTCTGAATGATGGTTCACCACGTTTCAAGTGTCTCGGACTGGAACACAGATATACAGAGTCAGTGATATCCAGAGGTCTAAGTATTATTCTGATATCTCTTGCTGACGAGTTATCTTCCCCGCAAGCTACATGGCGCCAAGGAGTGGGTATCAAGGGGGCATTGTTTTGCCTAGTGTCCATCCCATTCAGTCATCCCATCTCTTTGCACCGGGAGATTATGATGGAGCCTGATGGCAGTTCAGGCAGGTGAAGGCGGAGACCATGCTCATTGTGGACGCTGGATTTCCTAGATGGGATGACTGATCTTTCCTTTCCGTTGATGGAGCAGGTTCCAGTTTCTTATTCCGCTCGTACTTGAAATGAGCGCACGAGGAAAACATTCGGGCCGCATATCTTCTAGGCCTGCTTTTCGAGTCCGGCCAGGGCCCGGGAGGGAGCTATCATATCTCACGACTCTCGTCAAGTGACAGGAGGCTCAGCTGGGAGGAGTGGACATGACCATTGCCTTTCCTGGTCTCGGCTTCGCGGTTTGCAGCCCCATCAGCAGCCCGGTGGCGAGCAGGGACTGTAGTCCTGGCTACCCGTGCCTGCCCGCGACTTTGCCGTGACTGTACCGTGGAACGGGGGCAAGACGATTGCGGTTAGCCATGCTCAGGAAGGGCCACGATGTGGCCTCGACTTCCAGCTGCCCATTGGCGACTGGCCGGCCTGCTGTTTGAGTCTGGGCTTCTTGAGATGTCAACTCTGCAGCGGGCCCGGGGAGCAGGGCCGCAATGGCGGAGGACTTAGTCTGGGGAGATGATGGGCAGGAAATGCAAACAGTGCAGCCTCTTTCCCCCGGCAGAACGCAGGAGTGCATGATGGATATTCAGCCAACCACTCTTCACCCACCCCCACGTTAGTGCTGGGTACTGGCGAGACAGACAGGCGGGAATCGGGAACCCGAAGGATGGGGAAGATCGATGATCTACCGCGGCGTTGGGCATGGGCAGATGTTTACATCCACTAGAAGGCCTGTCGTCTGTGTCATGGTAGCATCCAAAACATGCGCAACATGCTCTTCCAGGGGGGGCATCGAGCTGTCATGCTGTCAGCAGCTGCGGTTCTGCGGCTTCTGCAGCCCTCTTCAAGGAACACACCCTCAAGAGGCCGGTGTGTAGGGCCAAGTGTTGTCCTATTGGGTGGCCGTCACTTTGTGGATGATGCCAATATGCAGCTTCCATACCAGGATACAACGCGACCATTGAGGACTAAGGGGGTTCTGTTTAGGGCAAGTAAACACCGGCGTCAGGAGAAGGAAAAAATATTTGCAGACACTATCAGGAGCTGTGCAGTAGGCTAGTCCCCAAAACTAGTAGGAACATGGGCAATATTGCCCGCTTCATAGCACTAGACAGACGGTTTTTCAGGGCAAACAAATGATATCAGATATGTCGTGAGGATCTTCTGCGACTCCCTCTTACCATTGACAGCCAAACAAGGGACGTGTCTCTTTTTTCACTTCGCGGGCGTAGCCGAGCTTCCCATGAGCCCGGCGACGACAGCTCTTCCGTTTTGGGAACGCCGTGCAGGCCTCGGCTCGGCGGGAACCATCCGCTTCAACGGCATCAAACCATGACTGGACTACAGCGCTGCCGATTCGTCGTGCCTTTGCTTGTTGGAACGTTGGGGCAAGGTTAATACCGAGTTCCTGGAATCTGGGACCTGAAATGGTTTGCACGAAGTTTCCTTGTTATCGCCACACAATTGTCCCGGTCGTTGGCAAATGAAAAAACATCAGGGGAAGCTATCTCCAATGAAGGCCAATAGCTGTGCTACCTGAAATGGAAGGAGATTAGCATACGCAGTAAATAGCGTTGAAGCAAAGTATTTGGATGAAGCATACGGGGCAAGCGAGTGTAGTGCAGCCTTGTTATCGTGCGCAGCCTTGATCATCTGGTCTGATATCTCGGCCTTGATACTACGCCGGTTTCATGCCCAAGCAATTGGGCTCCTCTTTGAGCCTCCTCACTCGTAGGCCGTGGGGGTGAATCAGGGAGGTACATCGATCCGGTTGATGCTCGTAATAATTGTCGTTTGATGTCTGTTGTTGTTGCCGTCATGGTCATCTGGACTCGAAATTTGACATGTAGCACCCAACTGTCAACCAACTGCTCAACCCCGGTGGACTCCATGATATCGCTTCTCGTAATGTTCTTCCCCTTCCACGTCTCTTCTTGCCTTTACAGCCGCAAATGCGCGACATCAATCGATCCATCACACAAACTCGGAGATTTGCTTATGGAAGCCGGGCCACTAGTTCCATCCTAAGCTTCCCATATGTTGTGGTTCCCACTGCCACGATGCTCCTGCCACCCCGCTTGTCAACAATGAACTTGATACACGCCCCCGATCGGAGAAAAATATATGATGAAGCATTGAGGATCTTCCTGTTCATCGTATCAGCAAAAGAAAAGAGACATTCATCATGGCAAGTGCTCCCAATATTAAAATGCAGGCGACAACTCACATCAACCCTGGCTACAACCTCGGGGTAGCAAAGTCACCAACAGCCTGTTAATATCCTGGGCATACGCACGTACGTTCCACGCCTGTTTGAACGCAAAGCTGGCAATATCAACGAGATAAAGCGCGCTTGTCAGGGGTACAATGTAGTTCTCGGGGGGTGGTGGTCTCGCTGCATGGCCGAGCACAGGTCAGGTCATCACTGGAACAGAACTATCCGTCGCGTCGCGTCGGGAGTTGTCCGGTCCTTGCCGTAGCTCTTCGTGGTGGCTGTGGAATCGATAATCGACAGAGGCAATTGTCAAGAGAGGCAACTGGGTAGTCCGCGTTTGTCCCGTCGGCCGGACCAGTGACGGTACTCGATAGACGGAGATTGAGGGTTCCGAGGATTAGCTTCACTTTCCCGTTCGTTTCCAAGATTACCTATTTTTTTCCAGCTTCACTCAAGTCGGCGGGTCGTACGTACCATGTTCTTGGTATTCTCAAAGTCGGTGATGCCGACAGTGTCGTATGCTGCTTGTTTCGAGCGTATTTCTTGCGCTTCGTCGAACTTCGTAGGGGCTCTATCTAGGTTGAAGGGGCGTCCGCGGAGGAACTTTCTGCATGTTTGCCAATGATGTTCATCATAGCTGCTGGAGAAGGTTCAGCAGTTCTAGACGGGATGAAAGCGGGTAAAGACCTACCGAAGGGTAGTTTCATCATTCAGATCGTCCCGGACGTCTTCGTTTGAGAGGCCTACCGGGTGTTCAAGGGATCCCCGGCTGTGACAGAGCTCCAGTAATGCGTCAAGGACGCCTGCTCTTTGCTTGGTGAGACCCAATGCAAGAGAAAACCTGGCAAGGCTCCCCACTTCCATGGTTGTAGATGGCTCTTGTGTAGAGGTGTGTTGAGGTTGGGCAAATAGCCAGATTTCGCATTAATGATCTTCTCCTTTCGACGAGAGATGCAAGTGTATACAATTCTCCAGTTACCAATATATCCGGCTGATGAAACGGCACAGTGCCTCATCCTCCATACAAGTTTCAATTCTCTTCCAGTTACGACTATAGGTATGTCCCAGCTTGACGTCAGAGACTCCCTTTGGCTGGGGGACGTGGGAGATCGAGGACATCTGGCAGCCGCCGGTTCGGCGTTATCCAAGACATAATGGAGAAGTCCGAGCCCATGGAAAGATAAGTGTGGCAATGTGCTGCGTAGCGCCTTGTGGCATTCCAGTTCATTCATCAGGTATCCGCATCCTTCATCGAGTGGTGTGAATGGGAACATTCTGGATTCCGGACCCTTCTTAGGGCGGTGATAGAATTGTTAATATCGGCGGCTTGATCCATTGTGGGTTCTTTATGCGCTTTCTTGGTTGCTCGTCGCTCTTCGAATTGCTCATCCGGTCCGGGATTCTGACTATGACACCACTACTTGGCGCGACTGTAAAGTATGAATAGCCTTGATATTTCCGCATGATTCCAAGGGATCCCCTAATGCCCAAAATAAAAAGGTTTATTGAATCATCGGTGGATAACTGAAATCAACATCATCATTAGGGTACTATCGCCATAACGAGAATTCTGCCCGGTGATAATCCAAGTTGTCCAAGCCGTGGAAAATTCGGTAGTACTGCCCTTGACCAAGCCTGGGCGCCTTCGACTGGTGACACATATCCTTGAGTATGCCTTTTCGCATGACGTGTGGTTGAAGTAGCGAAGGATGACGCATTGGCAAGCTCCATCGCCGTCTCTTATCACAGCCAGAGAGAAAGATATCGACCGTGTAACCATCTCAACAAGAAAAAAAAAAAAAAAAAAAAAAAAAAAAAAAAAAAAAAAAAAAAAAAAAAAAAAAAAGCAGTCACCTTTAGCCTCAGCAACAATGATAACATCCCACCAAACCGCCAAGCTCGGTCGAAAACAGTTCCAAGCAAGAATGATGTCCCAGCTCATGTAAACCGACCTCATCTGCGCCATTGAGGCGCGTACGTAGACATCTGGCAAAAGATGCTAGAAACCACCATCAAGGACAAATCCAATTCTCCGTTTTTCAACCTGGAAGAGAACCCTAGCTTGAGTCCGGCATTGGATTTAGCTCTTTAGAGGGTATGACATCGACTTCGCCAATGACTCTTCCTGGGACTTGCGACAAGAGCTGTTCGCTTATAAGCCTATATTCTGCCAACTCTTTTGAAACTTTCCATCCTCGATCTTTATTGATCGATAGTAAGTGATCGTGCCACTTAGTGTAAAGATTGAGCATAACACTGTCATCAGTGTCCGCAAACAGCCGCTTTCCTGTTTTCATCAGTCGCCATGCTGCTATGATTTTGACAAGATAATCCGGGGCCTCCTCGAGTGACGCGGGCGGAAGTATGGCAAACAAAGCAACCAACTCGTCTGCACATTGAAACTGATCGAGTAATGTCCGTCTTCTGCGAAAAAAGAAATCCATGAGCCTGACGAATTTGATGGTCCATCCATCAGAATCATCAAACCACTCATATACGGCCGTGGAATGACGCGTGCAATCTGGAATATCTCCCATCTTGTCAGACAAGGCCTCGGTCAGACTATCGATTGATGTCTCTAGATCAATACAATGGGTGACTTCGAACAGCAGTTCCCAAATCTTGGGTTGAGAAGTTAGGGCAGCGTAATGAAAAAGCGGTTGCAAATCTTTGACTTTCCTCTTGCCTGCACTTGGATGCTGGAGGATGTGCTTGAGTCGTTCGAAGGCGTAACCCTCGAGCACTTGGTGTCCAAAACGTAGATAACCTCCACATATCTGACAAATCTTTGGGGCGTGCCCTTCGCTTTCAAAATCGCCGAAGATATGAAAGTTCGTTTCATACCCACATAGCTGAGATGTGGATAGCAAAATATCGGCATCATGTCGTGCTAGAATTGCCCAAAACGTGTTGTCCAGCTTGGATTTTCTGATGGTGAATCCTAGAGGTGACAGTCCAGTAACAGGCGCAGGGTCTGATGGACGGTAATATTTGTTGATATCGACAGCTTTGGGCACAAGAGCTGCCGCTCTCACATCATTACCAGATCGCATTTCCCAGCACAGAATGTAGTCTGGCAGTGTCGGTATAATACGACGGAATGTAGGAAAGTCTAAATTCTCGGGCAATTTGTGGGCAGACGGGTCATAAGCCTCGTCAAAGAGTAAGAATGAGATGGTGTGGCATATAGCGCGACTTAGCGGAACGGTGTAGTCTGGGAGAAGAGTGTTGCTGGCGCGAGCGTCTGAAGCAATGCCAAGCAAGGCATATATGTTGTCCCGGTGATCGGTCGCCTCACTCGTCCCAAACTTGAGGAGGAGTGTCTCGAGAGTTTGCTTTTCATCCCACCAGCTCTCTTTCCGGCGGAACCCCGGAAGGATGTCTAGAACTGCTTCGATATGTGGGTCTGGTTCGAATCCCAGCAGAGATGGCAAAAGACCGAAGCCTTGGCTGGACATGGCTTTCGAGCCGCACAATATCGTAGCCTTATTTGCGCTGGCGACCTCTTGAAGGATCCAAACTCTCCGAAACCAAGGTCGGTCCAGTATCTCTTTCAAGGAATTGCAACGTCGAGCAGTGACTTCCTCTTTGTACAGACCGGTCTCGTCAGCAGTGAACGCGGTCCAGGAATCGATCCAGCTCTGTTTGTGTTGGGCTCCTGGTCGTTGCCGTGTTTGATAATCCCACTGTGCAGTCGTATTCATGAGGAAATCAATATCGAGGTTGCTTGGGCCAAGCCAGACCACGACTCGTTGGGCACATTGATAGATTAGTCTCATTTGCCCGACCTGGTGGCCTTTTTCCTTATCGTTACTCTGGTCTATGCAAATGGCGTCAATCCACAACACTCTGTCCTCATAGGTCTGCCGTAGAGCGAGGAGGGCCATGTGAAGGTTTTCCTTGACAGGCGACCTCCGATCATTGATGACGATTTCACACGCGACGGGCGAATCGCCCCAGGCATATGACAAGGCTTCATAAGGTACACCCTCTACCTGGTGGAGGAATGTTTCGAAGAGTTCGCAGTGAATGGGGTCTCGGTGAAATCCTTTCAGGAGACGAACCAGTCGAATGGCATCGGTAGACAGGTCGATCCGTTGGTACTTGTAGTGATAATCATAGTCCATCGCGGCCGCTCGAAAGGACGTTTTCCGACTCGAATCCGGTGTTAAGAGCGCTACTCGTGGTAGGGTCGTGGGTTGACGACGTGGTTCGCGATGGAGGGGGTTGGTATACTTTCTTGAAGAAAACAAGAGAGTGGGCGAGGATGATGGTCAGGGTAAATACGATGGGCAGCTTCCACTGCGCTGCTGAAAGCCCAATGTGGCGGGGCGGTCTAATGTACAGCCATTCATGGCTACCTCCTCACAGCCATCTTCTACCCAAGCCATGATGCTTCTCTATTTGTGTGACAACATCGAGCCTTTGATTCGCTTGGAGGAAGACTGATATTCATGGTCGCATAGCCTGCCTCAAGTAGTCATGTTAACATATTGCTGAGGTGAGAAGGAGAAGTTGGACATTTCCAAGCCTCATTCCATCGTCGAGATGTCTTCATTTATGCGTATCGGTGGTGAGTAGAGTCGGAGATTTGGAGGGATGACATGTTTTTGTGAGACTTCCGTCGAGGCACCAAGGACGGGCATGGTTTCACGCAAGTGGTTGGTTTCAGGACAGAAAATGAAGGGAGTGAATTTGCTTGGAGACAGAAGAGAAGGAGGTAGGTGATGACTGCCAAGAACTTCAGTTAACAGTGTCGCTGCTGCGGTGGAGTCAATGAAGACCGCTAGATCCACTAAACGAGCAATTCCCCGCGTCAAAGGTCCGTGCTATCGCCATGGCTAGACCACGATAAGGCAAGGTACAGCCCGATCCCTTGTAAGGAACAGTGCGATAAGCTCATCAGAGAGCGCCAGGGAAAATAAATTTAATGTTTGCCCATCACTTCGCCGGCCGCTCCACCTTTACACCATTGCTGATGCTATTCACAAGTCGCTTACTATCAAAATGGCCGCCGACGACACACCACCTGTCCCTGCGCCAGCAGCCGCTGCTGACTCTGTGGTTGAAACCACAAACGCCGACTCCAACAATGTGGCGGACAATGGCGACCGAAGCGACAGAGGCCAAAAGAGAGGACGAGGCCGGGACAACAGAAACCCAAACCGGGACAGGAACAACCCCAACAACATCAAGACGGGCGGCTTTGGGAGCAACAAGTATGAACCCCTGCCTTCTTGGCTTTGCGTTCAAATCACGGCCACAGGCACCTAATGCCGACGCTGACTAGGCTGTAGAAGAGACTTCCAGAGCAAGCGCGACCAGGTCCAAGACAACCGTGCTGCCAAGCGCCGCAAGGTGATTGACGGAGCCGCCGACGGCAACAGTTACATGAGCATCCCCTTCTCAACCGACGAAATCGCCGCCGAGGAACGTCGACCCAAGCGCAAGGTTGCCGTCTTAATTGGCTACGCTGGTACCGGTTACCACGGCATCCAGATCAACCACAAGGAAAAGACCATCGAGGGCGACCTGTTCGCCGCCTTCGTCAAGGCCGGCGCCATCTCCAAGGCCAATGCCGACGACCCCAAGAAGTCCAGTCTCGTTCGATGCGCTCGTACCGACAAGGGTGTCCACGCCGCCGCCAACGTCCTGTCACTCAAGCTTATCGTCGAGGACGAGGACATTGTCGACAAGATCAACAGCCACCTGCCCGACCAGATCAAAGTATGGGGCATCCAGCGTGTTACCAACGGTTTCAGTTGCTACCAAGCATGCGATTCCAGATGGTACGAGTACCTCATGCCCAGCTACGCTCTTCTGCCACCACAGCCCCAAAGTTTCCTCGGCAAGAAGATCATTGATGCGGCCAAGGAAAAGGGTACATACAACGAGTACATGGACCGACTGGACGATGTCAAGAACTTTTGGGAGGAGGTTGAGAAGAACGACATCCAGCCCATTCTCGAAAAGATGGATCCCGAGATCAGAGCCGAAGTCATTCGCATTCTGCACGACACCGCCGACCAAGAACTCACCGACGACGGAGAGCCCTCGAAGCCAAATACCGATGTAACCAAGGATGTCGAGATGAAGGATACCCCGGCGGAAGAGACCGCGGCCACTGAGCCCTCAAAAGACGGCGAGGTTGTTACCACCGAGGCCACCACCGAGGCCACCACCACCGAGACCCAACCCCCCGCCGCCAAAGTCGAAAGAGAGTTCACCCCCGTCGAGCTCGCCGTCCGTGAAGTCAAAGCCGCCTACGTCGCCGCCAAGCGTCGCTACCGCGTGACCGCACCGCGCCTCGAAAAGCTGCAAGAAGCGCTCAACCAATACCTCGGCACGCACAACTTCCACAACTACACCATTCTCAAGTCGCACACCGATCCCTCGGCCCGTCGTCATATCAAGTCTTTTCAAGTCAACCCGACGCCCATCCGCATCAACGACACCGAGTGGCTTTCTCTCAAGGTGCACGGCCAGAGCTTCATGATGCACCAGATTCGCAAGATGGTAGCCATGGCCGTCTTGATCGTACGGTGCGGCGCGCCCATGAGTCTCGTCAATGAGAGCTACGGGCCCCGCAGGATTTCTATTCCCAAGGCGCCTGGTCTGGGTCTCATGTTGGAGAGGCCGGTGTTTGATGTGAGCAACAAGAAGTTCAAGGAGTTGGGTAAGGAGCCGATTGATTTTGGCAAGTGGGATAAGGAGATTCAGGCGTTCAAGGATGAGCATATCTACAAGAGGATGTTTGAGTTGGAGGAGAAGGAGAATTCGTGAGTATTCCGAGTAACTTTCTTGAACATGAAAAAAGTACTAACAAGCGGTGACAGGTTCCACCTCTTTTTCAACCAGATCGATAACTTCCGCACGGATTACTTCCTCTGGGTCACCCCGGGCGGAATCGAGGCGTCGCACGAGCGGTCGGATCGCACGGCCGAAAAGATACCCAAGGCTTTGCAGGCTGAGCTTGGAGATGAGGCTGATGGTGTTGCGGAGGACGGTTCATCGAATTGATGGTCCTAACTGTGTGAGGGTGACTAGGGAGTGCGGATAACCAAAAAAAATACCATTTCGTTGCAACTAGAAGCTTGCATGGTATAGTGTACGAGTTTACCACAGGGATTCTATATGCCATCTGTTGGGTGTAGAGCGGTTGAATACATTGGAACTTCCGTTGTTCGTTTCGTTGAACCCCCAGACGGCTGGCTCTTCATCGAGCCTTATTGATTTTCCAATGGCACTTGATACGCTGTGTACACATTTTCATATTCTTTTCGCTTCAACCTGAATTCCTCTATGTATGTATGCCTAATTTCGCTAGGTTATGAGCATCAGCTCAGATACTTTTCGAATTGGGCAAGGTATGCCTCACACGTCCTAAATTCTGAGTACCTCTGTCAAAACTTGACATCCATCCTAGTCCCGTCTGTGAACACGAAGAATGAGTTATCGCTTTCGGTATCATCATCGTCGTCATCAACAAGAGTTGCACCACCACTGTCATCATCATCACCAGTGTCACCACCACTTTCTTCTTTTTCTTCTTCTTCTTCTTCTTCACCATCATCATCACCACTTTCATCACCACTTCCATCACCAGTTTCACCATCACTTTCATCATCACCATCGCCATCATCAAGGGTTTCACTACCACTTTCATCATCAACAAGCGTTTCGCTACCACTTTCATCATCAACAAGCGTTTCGCTACCACTTTCATCATCATCATTCCCACCTGAACCAATGACGCCATTTTCTTCTTCTTCTTTCTCGACCCTCACTCGTACTCGTAGTAGGAAATCCGATCCCAGCGCAGCAACAACCTTCTAAGCCACCATGCCACCACTTCCTCCCAGTCCTCCTCCCGGTCCTCCCGGTCCTCCTGCTCCTCCCCCAGCTGCCGTCAAATTCCTCACCCCCAAATTCGGCGTCGCGCTTCCCGACTGCGGCAACCCCCCACCTTGCCCACCTTGCCCAAACTGCTGCTGTTGCTGTAGTTGCACCACACCAGGCGGCGCTCCCACCTCCCCCTCCTTATACTCCCCCGTTCCCCCCTCCCCCAGCAGCATCCCCCTCTTCTGTCCCCTCCTCCACCCCCCCACATTTTCCTTTATTTCCTCCCAACACCCCCTCATCTCCCTCTCCACCTCCTCATCCCCCTCTCCCGGCTTGCGAAGCGGTCCCACCACCCATAGTTCTCGCATCTTGCGGGTAAGCGATAAAAGCTCCTCGACCGATTGCACCATGCCGTTCATGAGGATGTCGGTCGCCATGGCGTTGTAGGCGGCTTGCCCCACGGACGCAGTCCCATTAACGCTGGAGGCGCCGTGGTGGAGGAGGGATTGGAAGGTGCGGAGGAGGGAGGCGGTGAGGCGGTTTTCGAGGTCTATTTTCTGTCAGGTTTGTGTTCCCAACATTAAAGATATTAAAAAAAAAAGGGGGGGGAAAGAGGGGGAAACGGAGGGGGGAAAATTTGGGGGAAGGGGGGAAATGGGAAATGGGGAAATGGGGAAGGGAGGGGAGAGAGAGAGAGGGGAAGTGGATTGAACAGTAAAAGAAAGAAAAAGGAAAAAGAAATCGAACAAAGGGAAGCAAGTCTTTCGTACCGAAAAGATCCTCGGTCGTGTTTTGGTCGCGGTCCATGGTTATGTGGTGTGGTTGTGACTTCAAGTTGTGCAAGTTCGAGGTAAGTTGGCGGGGAGACCTAGTGAGTACCTAGGTAGGTGATGTTGATTTGTGGGTAAAGCGAGCAGCAGGGCTGTCTGTCTATTTATTGTTTGCTTGCGAGGGATATATAGTTTGACTAGGTAGGTAGTGATGTGGAATAATCTTCAATGTTCTCGTATTGTTGATATGTGGGAATGGGTTGGCGAATGCTTGATAAGAAGGTTGACGAGTTATGTCCAATTGAGGTTGAGAGGTTGAGTTTGTTATGATTCGTTATGTGGATACAATAATGGTGGAAGTTCACTGAACGCGCGCTGTGCTACGGGCGCCTTGCATCTGCAGTCCATGCGGTGCCCACTGAACCAAATACAGTGTCGATTGTAATAGTTTGTATCGCGGGTCTTGGCATTTGATATCAGTCCCCAGGCATCAATGTTGTAACCAACTACTTCCATGTTTATTTACCATCCAAACACGCTGTGACCTTTGACTTTGTGTTTCCAGCTCTCAAGTACCGCCTAGCTATTGCCCTTCCCCAACAACACCAAATTCGCTACATTCATGACAGCAATCAGCCCCCAAACCAGCCCCGCCACAATCGTAGTCAACCACGAATTCGCCATCTTGACTCCTCCCTCCTGCTCCCCCCCACCATTATTATTGTTAATATTATTATCATCACCCATTGTCCTCCCCAACCATCCCCTCTTCGCCCAAAACAACCGCCTCTCATCCCCCACTGCCTCCTCCTCCACCTGATACCTCGCTCCGCCCGGCATGACCATCATGTACCGATCCCTGCTCGTGAACCAAATCAGCGGCGCCGTCACAAACGGCAACACCACGCTCAACGCCACCTGACTCCCCTGCAACGCAGCATTCAGCCCGTCTTTCCCCACCACGGCAGCAATAAGAATAGAAGGCGTGATGCTGATGGACCGCGTAATAAGTCTGCGCAGCCAGGGCCGCATCTTCCACCGCAACGCGCCCTCGCTGACCATTTGCCCGGCAATGGTGCAGACGATACCGGCTGAGACACCCGACAGGAGCAAGGCAAGGGCGAAGATGGTTCCTGCGGCGGGCGAGATGGAGGACGAAAGCAATGAGTGGATAGCGAAGATGTCGGCGTCGAGGGCGGTGGGGTTTTGGTACAGAGAAGCGCCGGCGACGATAAGGATGGCGGAGTTGACAAAGAGGGCGAAAGTGAATAGGGAAAGAGCGAGTTCGGCGATGGAGTACTTGAGCGAGTGCTTGATGGCGGACTGCGAGGGGACATAGTGGACTTTGTCGGCGTAGTCGCTGTTGGAGTCGGATGAGTTGGCGGAAACGGGTTCGGCAGGGAGGAGACCACGTTGTTCGTCGTAGGCGCGGAGACGGGGTTGGACGATGCCGGAGCCGAGGAAGAGGCTGTGTGGCATGACGGTTGCGCCGAGGATGCCGCAGGCTTGGTAGAGGCTGGTGGTCTGTCAGTGTTGTGTCCTTCGCAAAAGACTAAGGTAACATACCCCTGCTGTTCGATCACGGCGCTGGAAGGTAGGTAACCCTTGAAGACTTGACCGACGCTGGTGTTGGAGATCATGGAGAGCTGGATGCAGAAACAGGCCACTACGCCCATGACTAGAATGCAGACAAAGAACTCAAAGATGCGCAAACCCTTCATCTGGCCATTCGGGTTGTAGAAGACGAGGATGAGCATGACATCGATAATGGAGAGGGCACATCCTGCGACAAGAGGAATCTTGGGAGACAAGAGGTTGAAGGCAATAGCGGTGCCGATTACCTGTCCATCGTCAGTGTCGTACTCTCCTTACTTGCGCACAAAAGACCTACCTCGGCAATATCGGTTGCAATAATGGCAATCTCAGCCAGTGCGTAGATAAAGTAGTTTAGCCATCGTGGGAGAAAGGCTCTGCAGGCTGAGGAAAGGTCCAAGCCGGTGACGGTGCCGAGCTTGATGGCCAGACTTTGCAGAAGAATGGCGAATAGGTTACTCAGGAGGACAATGAAAAGTAACTTGAAGCGATAAGATGCGCCAGCAGCAATGTCGGTAGCATAGTTACCCGGGTCGACTGTGTATTCTGTCAGTGAAATGAGGCTCGTGGTAGGTGAAAGGGACACTCACTGTATGCCACCGAGATCATGACCCCGGGACCCACAAACTGGCCAAAGGTAATGAGGGCATGCTTAATTCGTCCGAGACGGCTTTTTGCTTGCTTGACACTGCCAGGAGAAGGAGCTTCCACTTGATTGGTAGAGGGAGGCGGGCTTGGCTGAGGGTTGGTTGGTGACGACACGGTTGATGAGGGTGTCTTGATCATATCACCGCCAGGTGGTCGATCTCGCTCTGGCCGAGGCAACCCGCCACCATCATCGCCGACACCATCTTGGCGTAACTGGGCCGAGATTCCCGTCCCACCACTACCGCTTCGGTTTTCTCTCTGATTGACGATTCCGTCCAAGTCTTGGTTCGTCGTCAGATCGGCTGAGAGCGGGTTGGGGCTCTGGTTGAAGCCCTGGCTTTTTCGGGGCTCATCTGTACGCGAAGCACTCGCACACATTGTGTCTCTGATGGATAATGAATCCGCAACTCCGAGATGGTTATGGTGTATCCCGTGAGGTAGATAGGGTAGGCTTTAGGTATGGTAGGGACAAGAGTGAAACATGAGTGTCTGGTCAATGACGAGTACTTGAACAGAACGCCACTGTAACCGATTCTTGCCGATGTTTCGGTTGTGCTCCTGTGTCTTTGACCCTCGCTATGGTAATTCCTCTGTTAATGCAACAGGCCCTATGAGGGACGGTCCAGAGTCGTCTACTTCAATAGACCAAGTGTCAAGATGGAAGTACCCTCTTTCACCAAGTGTAACAGAAAGAACAAGTTGTTCTCCGGAGAAAACATTCCCTCCTTCTTCTCCAAGCAAACCGTTTGTCCACTACTATGTACACTCGCGTGGTGACTGACTTGGAGCAGCTGGGTCAAGCACACCGCCAACTGCCGGTACCCCTGTTATGCATTTATGCAGTAGTAGAAGGAGGACGCCATCTTGCATGGAACTAACAATGCACACGTGTACTATGTAGGTAGATATGTCCCCACTTTTCCCACGCATTTCTCCAAGCTGCAGTCCGGGCCTCCACCAACCACGAGACAGTGATCCACTACTCCAAGTATTTAGATATCCACTTTAGCACTGTGTCTGTTAGTGAGTATTCTTAAAAAAAAAAAAAAAAAAAGGGAAAAAGAATGCTTTTGCTGATTCATGCAAATCAACGTTATAACATGCAAATCAACGTTATAACATGCAAATATACCCCCTCCACCATCTTTGGACCCCTCCCAAAGATCTTTCCATGGATAGACACGACCTGACTGATCATCTCGACCGGGCATCGTTCAACACTCATCCATGCTCCACAGGGCAACCATTAAACGGAAGTCCGACTTTGCTGCAGTGAGGCATGGCTACCTAACATATCACTTATCTTCCCATGCTCGCCTTACTCGACTTGAAGGAGCAATCATCACCGGCATCATGGAATATCACCACCAGTCATTGATACCCCGCGGCAGCATGTCCGTGTTACACTGCCGCGCCCGGGGTTGAACGGCTTGTCAATCCCGATGCCTATCTTTTCACTCGCTGTCTTTGATGATCATCGTTGCCGACTGGTCACAGGCCTCACTCAGCTTTCTTTTTCTTGTGTGTATCGACTCCCTTCCACCCTTCCACTTATTCGCGTATCAGAGATGCCAACTTTTACTACACACGGCAAGAAGAGAAAAGGCTACCGCCGAGATGTAGTAACTGACATCCCACCCCCTCCTCCATTCCTCCTTCCCCCCCACTCGTCTTGATATACTTATCGCTGTTACCTCCTCAGTGACACCTCGACTACCCAGAGTCCATCCATCTGGCACCGCGGCACAAAGTCATAGCTTGTCACCCCGTCACACTCTACAACCTCGTGTTCGCACGCACTCTGTACTCCCGGGACTTGTTGGCCCTTGAGCTGAGGTCTCGCTTTGACCCATCCTCCCCGTGCCGGTCCATGCGCATTCACATATACTTTATGCTACCACCTTCCGTGTTTGTCAACAACTTACTTGAAACCGGCGTCAAGCAGGCTGCCTGGGACCCTTGTTGCTCATCTACACTAATGGCCTCAACGGCATTCACCAAATCGCACTGAACTGGCTTATAATCGGAAAAGCAGGGCCCCCTCTACTTCCATCTTCATGGCGAGTTCGACATTTGCTTTACAACATACCATACAGCAAACTACGCGGTAGACAACATCAGCGATTACAATGGGTTGCGGTTCGGGTTGTTGCGCGCCCTCCAAGCGCCCTCTTTCAACCACGCCCGAGGAGGTGCCGACATCTCCACATGGTCGTGGAGACCGAGGGTCAAACACGAATAACAGCTTAGAAGCCACGGCATCTTCGTCCGCAAATGTTGGTTATGGGGAGTATTTTGACGACAAAAGGGAGATTGGCGACAGGACTGGGGATAGAGAGTCGCATCAAGGGGAAGCCAACACAGTCGAGACTACAACGGACAGCTGCCAGGACAGGTGCTGTGGTGGACAGCAAAGCGAGAGGCATTCCAGCAGCAAGAGTGCCGATTATTCTCATCCATCACACTCGGAATCCTCCAGAGACCCGTGTTCACTATCACACGGCCACAATCACAGCCATGACCACAACCACAGCCGGTTCCCCAATCTCACCAGGACGTTCGGCGCCTTATCCCAAAACATATTCAGGAAAAGTTCCCTTTCCAACAAACATCAACCATCAGAATGTCAACACATTGAACAAATATCTGCCAGTTTTCCCACCACCGATAGCGAATCAGGAACCGCGCGGTCCAGCATAACACCAGTTCAGCCAGGGAGCGGGCAGTCAGACGGTACGGCCGATGTGGAAAAAGGTCTTTCTGGATATGAACATGTTGTCCTCATCATCGAAAAGATGTGCTGCGGCCAAGAACTCCATCAAGTGGCCGCTAACATCAAGGCCATCCGGAATCTCAAAGTCAGCGTGCCACACAAGCAGGTGGACTTTGACGTCAATCTGGGCCTCGCGTCGGCTGCCGACGTCATAGAACAAATTCAAAGGTCAACCACCTGGAAGTGTGAGCGGGTCATCGAGGAAGCATGCAGTCTCGACATTGTCACTGAAAATCCAGCCGAGTTTGCCTCGAAACCATTACCAATGGGAGTGGCCCAGGTTTCAATCATCGATAAGAAGATTGTCAGGATCTACTACGATCCCAAAGTCATTGGCGCCAGAGATTTGGTGCAGTCTGGGTTTGTGGGGCCTCCTCTGATACTCGCCAAAAGCTCGGTCGACCAAAACATGACGGCTGGCTGGAAAAACGTTTGTCATTTGTTCGTTATGACGATGCTCTCTTGGATCCTGACCATTCCTGTCCTTGTCTTGGCTTACCTTCCACAATCCGGAAAGCGGATGATTTCGTACGGGTACGCATCACTAGCGCTTGCGACACTTGTCCAAATTTTCGTCGCTGGCCCCTTTTACCGCGAGGCTTTGAGCCCGCTGATCAAGTCGGGGGCCATCAACATGGAATTCCTGGTTGTGCTCAGCACCACTACCGCATACATATTTTCTGTGGTGTCGTTTGCCCTTTTGGTATGCGGGCGTCCCCTTTCGACAGGACAGTTCTTCGAGACGAGCACTTTGCTTGTGACTCTGATCATGGTCGGCCGCTTCCTTGCCGCTTTTGCACAGCACAAGGCTGTCGCGTCCGTGTCCAAGGTCAAGTCGCTCCAGTCTCATGACGCCCTTCTTGTTGATGAGGACGGAAGCAACGAGAAGGAGATTGACGCACGCCTGCTTCAGTATGGGGATTACTTCAAGGTTGTTCCGGGTGCCAAGATCCCCACCGACGGCATTGTCGTCGAGGGTGATTCGGAAGTGGACGAGTCCATGATCACTGGCGAGTCGCGCCCAGTTGTCAAGACCGAAGGATCCGAGGTGATTGCAGGGACAGTCAACGGCTCGGGAGCTCTTCGGGTGCGGCTTACGACTGTTCCCGGCAACAACACCATCAGCGTCATCATGACCATGGTGCACAAGGCAAAGGTGGCCAAAACCAAGATCGAGGGTATTGCCGACCGCGTGGCCGGGTATCTCGTCCGCGCTGTTCTTTGTCTGACGGGCATCACCCTGATCATCTGGTGCGTTGTCGGTGTCAAGGTACACAAACTACGTGCTGCCGAGGCCATTGTTCAAGCGCTCACCTATGCCATTACTGTCCTCATTGTCTCCTGTCCTTGCGCTATCGGACTTGCAGTTCCCATGGTCAACACCATGGTGAGCGGGCTAGCAGGAGACAGAGGAATTCTCTTCAAGTCGTTAAATGCCGTGGAGATTGCCCGCACAACATCCCACGTCGTACTCGACAAGACAGGCACCCTCACCAAGGGGGAACTCGACGTCCATGATGTGCATTTCATGGGGAGCAACTCTAACACCTCCAAGTCCCTACTCCTTGGGTTGCTGCATGACATCAAACATCCCGCCGCCGCATCAGTCTCTGCCTATCTTCTCTCTATGGGAGTAACCCCTGAAGTGATCACCCACCAGAAAGCCCTTCCAGGCAGAGGCGTCGAAGGCCACTCACCATCCGACCAAGTACTCCGCGCAGGAAACTCGCGCTGGCTAGGCCTCGAGTCCGACCCAACCGTCCAGCGCATCTTATCCCAAGGCTACACCGCCTTCTGCTTCACCATCGACGGTACCCTAGCAGCCATCTTCGGGCTCCACGACACGCTCCGCCCCGAAGCACCATCCGTCATTGCCAAACTCCGCCAACGCGGCATCACTATCCACATCATCTCAGGCGACGACGACCTGGCCGTCCGCTCCGTTGCTCGCCAACTCGATATTCCCGAGCACTGCATTCGCTCCAGGTGCAAACCCGAAGAAAAAGAAGCCTACATTAATCGTCTCCTTATCCCACCGCCACCACCAGCGTCACCCCGTACCCGCTCCTTCTTTTCCTTCCTCAGCCCACCAAAGTCTAAACCCCCCACCGTTCTCTTCTGCGGCGACGGCACCAACGACGCCATTGCCCTCGCCCGCGCCACTGTCGGCGTGCACATGGCTTCTACCTCCGGATCCGGATCCAACGATAACGTAGCCGTAGCCGAAGCAGCCGCAGACGTGGTGCTTGTTCGCTCTAACCTCACTGGCATCTTGACGCTACTGGACATGAGCGAAAAGGCAATGCACAGAATCCAGTTCAATTTTGGGTGGAGTTTTGTGTATAATGTGTTTGCGATATTGTTGGCGGGAGGATTGTTTGAGGTTGTGGGAAAAGGAGGAGGAACAGGGGGGGTAAGGATACCGCCGCAGTATGCGGGGTTGGGGGAGTTGGTGAGTATCTTGCCGGTGTTGGGGGGGAGTTTGACTTTGAGGTGGGCGAGGTTTGCGGGGGATGAACATGTCAAGGGTGAGATTGTGGAAAAGGAGAATGGGGGGGAAAATGGGGGAGAAAATGGGAGTGGGAGTGGGAGGAAGAAGTGCTTTGCTGGGGTGTGGAAGCGAGGGGTGAGGTGACGCGTTGAGGTATTTCTTCTTTTTGACGGATGGTAGTTTTGGATATATACATGGAGGAGATAAAGTAAGAGAATGGTGCCCAGGTGGTGTGTGTGGTTCAGGTTGGTCGGGATGATCAAGTTGGGTACCTCTATGAACTTCGGTCTTTGGTACTGGTAACGGGCTCTTTGTCGAACAGATATATCACTAGAAGGCATGCGATAATGAACAGGTATTTATTCGGTATGCGTCCGTCCTCTTTGTTTATTGATCCCTTTTAACCGTTCGATCCTTCTAACCTTCTTCTATTATCCATTGTAGGTACATTTCACACCCTAGTGGTATTCATTTCGTGAATGGTCTGAGTCTATTCTGGATCCATCCGTCAGATCAATGTCTCTCACCCTCGGTAGAGGCGTTCTGGGCGGAACGCATCGTTAAATAGATGTTAAGTCTAGACCATGACCCATGGTAGACCTAAACCTAAACCTAGTGCCCACGTCCACGACCAAAAGAACCCCCCGGACTCCCAGGAAAACTTTCATAGCCACTATCGCGAGCATTGGTGGCGCCATACCCACCAGCACCAGCACCAGTATCAGTATCAGCATATCCCCCACCGCCAGAACCGCCACTTCCCAAAGCACTACTACCCATACCAGGATACATGTAATTGTACCCACCAGCACCAGCACCAGCACCACGACCGCCACTACCCAATCGACCAGAAGAAAAAGTTGAAGAAGAAAAAGAAGAAGAAGGAGGAGGAGGCAACCCCGGCTCGATATCCTGGATGATCCTTGCCATTCGATCACGGTACCATTTCCTTCTTTTGTGGTCGGCGCTGCTGCTGCCACCGCCTCTGTGTTCGGTGGACATGGAGTCGGAGGTGTTGTGGCTGGTGAAGTTGGGGTTGGAGTTACTGCTGTCGCCGCTGGGATCGTTCATGTTGTCAATGGTGGTCGGGTAGGAGTGGTGGTGAGTACCCGACTGGGAGTGGGAGTGGGCATGGGAAGAGTGGGAAGAGTGGGCATGGGATACAGAAGAGTGGGAGTGGGAGTGGGAAATAGAAGAAATGCGCATGAGGATGTTGTCTTGGACAAAGTAAGTGGTTGTGCGCTCTTTGGGTTCTCTGGGCGGCGGTGGTCGGGGGGTGTGGAGGGAGTGTCGCTCGCGGTGGTGGTGGTTGCGGATGGTGCCGGTATCGGTGCCGCGGTCATAGTGAGAGCGAGAGTGAGAGTTGGAGTAGGGGTGATGGCCGCTGCGGTCGCCGTGATTACGGATGGGGAGGTTAATAGCGGACGACGCGGGCGCACCGCGACTAGTACCGAGACCGGAACTACCACCACCGTGAGTGGGAAAGGGAACGTGGGTGTAGTTATCATCACCCCCGTCAACAAAAGAAAGAGCCATGCCATTATCATCATCACCACCACTTCCATCCCGAGCACGAATGCCGCCAGTCAGACCAAGGCCATGGCCATGGCCAGCAGCAGCGTGCTCCTGCAGAATGCGTCTGGCTCTGGTACTTGTTTCTGGTCGACGAGCAGAATGACTAGAGGTACCACTCAAAGAGCGGCCTAGGCTGCCGCCGACCGTGGTAGAGTCGAGGTGCTCATTGCGGTGCTGGCGGTAGAGGTCCTGGGGATTATCGAGACGGTGAGTGTCATGGACGAGTTCATGGGCGCTACGGATGGTGTTGCTTCCGGTGTTGGGACCGTCGAAGTGAGTGGTGGAACGGTCGGATCTGTAGGAGGAGGAGGTGGTGGTAGTGGTAATGGGGATGTAGCGGGGGCTGCTTGCAAGGTGAGGTGGTTAGTTACCTCTAATGTCAGTTTTTATTGGTGTTGTTGAGACCTGAGACGGGATTATGTTGAGGTTGAAGAGGAAGGGCTGGGAGAGAGGACTGGTGAGGTGATGACTTGGTTGAGAAAAGTTGAAGTGAGGTCAAGTCGAGGTTGCAGTGAAAGATGAAGTGACGTTGAAGTTGAAGTAACGTCAAAATGAAAGAAAGTTGCCAAGTGGAGCTGATGAGATGAGACAAGACAATGGGTGGCTGTACAGTGATGTGATGGGTAAGGGGGGTTGCGCCTGTCAGCCTAACATTGGGGGCCAAATCGATCGAACGGGTGTCAGACTTGATAGGTGGCCAGGACAAGGGTAATGACAAGGACAAGGTCACAAGCGAGTCTTGGGCACAAAGTGTAGAGGTGAAGGAAGTTCTGAGGTAACACCCTTTGAGACGAGCAAGACATGAAGCGTGGAAGTAGGACTTGAGGAGAGCTTGGTATTACCTTTCACTAGTCATTCTCTTCTGTTTGTGACTGTCGGTCTCGGAGAGGCACATATTGCTGGCTGTGTTGGAGATTTGGTGTTGATGTTGTCGTTGTGGACTGGTAACTGTCTGGTTGTTGCGTCGTTGGTAACGGGAAGTGTGATATTATTGTTGCTGTTGCTGTTGACAACAAAGGTGAAGAGTGAAGTCATTGAGATGGGTAGGACGAGAGCATTTATATATGTTTCCGACCAGGCAATGGAGGCCCTCAGACGACGGAAATAACCTTGAAAAAGCTTTTGATCATCATGCAAGAATTCAACAACAGCGTCATGGGTTCATGGCTGAGTTCCAGGCAAGCACCCTCGATGTCCAAAAGTCCCTATCAGTTGCCAAGGAAATATGTAGGCCTCATCGTCGAGAGTCCTAACCCCTAGATCCAGATCTTCAGTATATTGATACTGCATATAGTGTTTCTCGTGTGTATGCCTGGCGGCGGCGTTCTCGCTAGAGGTACTCTCAACTGCAAGGCTCCGTACTTACGGTGTTGGGTAAGGGACCGTGCGTGTGACTAGTGTGTGGCATTCTCAATGATCTTTGTGTTTCGAAGGAGGTCATATCCAGTTCACATCGAACCAATCCCGAAAGGGGTAGAAGGAGGCCCGAAGAGGGGCAGAAAGGAGGGCAGAAAGTTAGGAAAGAAAGTCAGATCCAGAAGAACACATGTATGAACTTGCGGAGATGCAAAGAAGTCCTCAAACGAAGACGGTGCCAGAAGAGGCGCTTGATTATCGTGTGGCTGAGTACTGTGAACCCTTGTTCTTCAACGTCCTGCTTGTGCCTCTCCATGCCTGCCACTTGAGCTTCCATGATATCTCCCGCTATATGACTTGTCAATCGCGATGCTTTTGATATCATATCGCCCGTTAGTGTGGGGTGGACGCGGCTTGAATCGAGATTTCACTTGACTTCGTTCTAGGTCTGTACCTGTATACCACCTCATTAGGTCCAGACCTTCAAGGGTGCTCGTGTACCTATGTTATAACCGGCGCTTGTTGCAACATCCTATTGGTCTGGCGTCTGAGGGATCCGGGTCACACATGACCTACCATTCAACCCTGTCCGCTTGCTTGTTGGCACGAATGTTGACTGCGGACTTCACGCTCTACTGCTAATTAGACAAAAGGGACACTGACCGAAGCAGCCAAAGCCTCTTCGTCAACGAAACTTTTTGTCTCCGACGATGGCAACACTGATTTCCTCGGGCTTTCAGAAACGTTATCCTTCGATCAGAGCAACTGGTGCTCTCCGTGTTCACACTGGGTTCCATGCGCTCGGTAACGCAAATGTAACGTGGGGGTGAAGCTCATACTCTTCACCTCGTAGCTCAACAGGGCAGTGTTCGAAGAACTTGACATTTCACTTGATATGCTCGAGGACCGGGTTGGATCGTGCAATTTCCATCACCAAGCCCCCGTATCTCCGCCCGTTGAGACGCCAAGTGTTGAGAAATTGGTTGACAGATGTTCCTGAACCCCTTGCCCCGGGTGATGAAATCCCAGATAGACACCGTCATTCGTCGAACTGGCAAGCTCGCCGGTTACAGTCCATCTCCACAACGCTCGCCAAGCGGACGAGGCGTCGATGGGTGCCTCTTTTGGGCTTTCCTGACCATCCAGGTGATCGACACTCGAAAGTGGTGCGCGGCCCTTCCAACCAAGCCCGCCGTTGTAATGTTATGGAATGACCCTTGGACCGCGCCATTCGTCACCATCCCGTCCCCGCTGTCGCCTTGATCTCATCGAAGATCAAGATGATGTTCAAGCCATCCCAGGATATCCTGGTGTCCCGCCAGCCCTGCAGATGGGTAAGGGTTTGGCCTCTGACGATGTTTTTTTTTTTTTTTTTTTTTTTTTTTTTTTTTTTTTTTTTTTTTTTTTTTTTTTTTTTTTTCCTTTTCTTCTTTTTCCTTTGAGACGGGAAGAATTGAGATTGTTTCGATCTTTCTTCCTCAGAAAAGAAGTTCTTCATTTCGTTAAATTGATCCTTCCTATCCGCGACTCAAACTCTCAGCAGGAACGTACCTACGACATCATCTGCATCAGACAGTCGTCACATACCTGTTGAGCAGCAACTGACACCGGATACTCCCTCGTGCATCCCGGGGTTACAAGCAAGAACTGCCAACTCGGTCGAGAACGCAAACCACTTCCTTTTCGGGTTCCAGACTAGGCAAACACCTGCACTCTGGACGTAGACTATATAATGCCGCAAGAAGGCGCAAGGCGTTTTACCACTCATCACTCGCATCACCCAAGCCATGCCGTTTGAACACCACTGCCGGTCAAAATATCTCCCGCGCTCACTATGTTCCCGCAAGGTGTGTATGTAACCTTTCTCATGCGAAAAGCACCAGGTTCTCGGCCAAGGCAGAATAGCCTCACCACGTACTTCCCCTGGCAGACAGGTGCTTCTCGAATGTAGCCAATCGCAACAAGGTGCCGCCGCCATGCTTTCCAATCTCAATCAATATTTCCTTTCTTTGCCTTCCCCTCTCCCATGAAAGGGTCCAGACCGTCCCACATACGAATAAGCCACTATCACAAAAGTATTTGGAATTCCTCAAGCTTGGCTTGATGCAAGTCTTCGGAGTCTCTGGAGCCAGTCAACGTTGCCCTAGCATCCCTACACCCATCCTCAAGCCATCCAACCTGCCGCATCACCATACGGCGCCAACCGCCTTCCCTCCTGCAGATTATTGAATCCAGAAAACCGGTCATTGGGCCTCGCTTCTCCAGAGTGTGCCAACAGTGCCTCTTTACACCCTCCTGCAGACGATAGAATCCAGAAAACCGGTCATTGGGCCTCGCTTCTCCAAAGTGTGCCAACAGTGCCTCTTTACTTACCCTCCTGCAGGACTACTGAATCCAGAAACCCGGTCATTGGATCCCGTTGCTCCAGACTTTTAAAGACTTTGTCGAAAGTGCCTCTGTTCTCCTACCCAAAGTTGCACCCTACGTACCTGTACCCCTCAGCCACTTCTTCTTCTCCGCTGTTGCGTACCTGGAAATATGCAGTACATCGTGATGACCAGGCCGCTACAATTCATTAACGACCACGAAGGACCGGACCATTCATCCTCCTATGGACGAAAGAAGTTATATGTACAGTGACCGTGATATCCACACCACTAACGCCCCGACGCCATCACCACTAATGGTGACTCTGAGGCATGCATAGGTTTTAAATCATTGTCCCATATCGCATTGAACGAAGGACAGTTCCTCTTTTTGAAAGACTGAAAAGAGCTCCAAGCCTCCTTCTCTTTCCAAGTCTATCAGTCAAGGTAGTGTACACACTCCGTCGTGCCTCCACCTAACAAGGCAATAACCAACCGCCAACCCCAATTACAAACGGCCATCGCCCATCCCCGACAGGGAACTCTAAAGCACGTTATTCACCCCGCCTGGCAAACGGTAGGCATCAAATTCTCAAACCGTCAGACCATCCAACAATTAGACCATCAGACTTGACTTCCTCGAAGGCACTCCTCCAAGTATGTTTCTCGCTTATTATTCTGCTCTCTACTTTCCCGTCTCTCCAACTCCTTTCTAATATAATAGTGAATATCGCAGAATGAACAACACAATCTTGCCCCTGCCAATTACCGTACCATACGATGGTAACCCTAGTGTCCAATGGTACATTTGGCTGTTAGCCAGTGTTACTTGGTGTGCACTGGGCTTCTCGTGGTTCTAGAACCGGGCGACGAACGTATAAACTTGGTACAATAGCGCCATCGACACTTTTCACAAAATGCCACCAATCACCCGACGCACCCGCATTACTACGATCTATGTGGCCTCACTTTGTATTGTCGCAGTATGGCCCTTGGAGATACTGATCTGTACCATTTGGCGGAAGATAACTCATGCTCCAAATCACCAAGGTCTTCCGATAACAGAGCCAAAGACGAGATCGGAACCCCAACAACCACCGCCGCCATACGATAGTGGCGGGGCGATGGTGGCGGTGCCCCCTGGTGCCGCATGAGTTCACTCGGCTTTACAGATTCATCTATGCGGCCAGCCAGCAAGGCCTTCCGAAAACACAACCAAGAACGACACCCGAAGAACCACAGGCACCACCACCTTATAATGCTGTAGGTGCCGCTTGAAGTCATTCGGAGAGGCGGTTGTTTGAGACTGCCCTCCAGCTCCAGGTAGGTTTCGTTCTTCGGCTATCTCTGCTCAGCTGCTAATGTCTTTTGTAAAGTGCCTATCGAGCCGACGCTGTTGACCTTGTTTGATTTGGCTTTTTCTTTGTTGGTCATTATCAGCGTTGATGTTTATACTGTATTTGTGAATCGGTGCAGACCTGCTGGGGCGGATTGATGAGCATCTGAAGACACGGTCCCGTTGATGCCACCCTTGAACGGTAGAATGCGAAGAGATGATGGCTACTTGACGGGCATCAACGATTGATACGCTGGAAAGTTCGTGGGAGATCTGTACTCGTTGGAAAGACAAAGAAAAGATGGCGACGAGGATGCGAATGGATATGATAGCTGGCTCTCCAGAGCGAAGACGGTGGCGGAGGTCGTTCGTCCTAGACAGAATTGTTGAGACCTTTGACATTCTACCTTGAGTATACTCCTACCACGCATCTAGTGTCTTTGTCGCACCTCTGATCTTGTGTTCTGGGCAATTCCTGGATAGAAATATCCAAATGGGACTCTAGCCGATGTCTTTTCGAATTGTTGTAATCCCTATCACAGTCTTGCAACGGCCTTTTTTTTTTCTTGTAATCTTGGCGAGCGGTAGCAGACTGATTCCTAACCTGTTGGTTAGTCTCATTTATTTTATCTCGGACGAGGGTCGATACAAAGGAATGAACAGGCGTATGGCCGCTGGATGCCCTGATCCAAAGTTCGTCAGACATACAATGGATAGGTAGAGGTATCCACCCCCTTGCGTCTATGAATCTCCTTCCCTATCTCTTTCCAAGTCTATAGTCAGTAGTGTACACACTCCGTACTTCACCCGTCGTCTCCCACTCGTCACCATCTCCCGTCGCCCATCATCATCATCACCTCACCACCTCATGACATCTAGGTACCCATCCATCACCCATTCACAAACTCACCTCCCCCTTTCCAACCCCCTCTGCCAACTCCTTCCCCGCGAACCCCACCCTCATCCCTCCCAAATCAAACACCACCAACTGCGCCTTGAGCAACACATCCCCAAAAATACTAAACCCAATATCCTCACTGCTCTGCATCCCGCCGTAGCACCAGGTGGCGTTCACTTCGCCGTAGTTCATGTACCGCCCGGGGACTGTGCCTTTGTAGTAAAAGGACCCTTCTTCCTGCCCTTCTTCGACTTCTGGACCGATATCAGGTTTGGGCTCGGCTTTGTTGGAATCAGACGTCGTGGTAGTGTTGGTGGTGGTGGTGGTATTGGTCTCAGATGCAGCCGAGCCGAGGAAAAAAGACCAATCGGGTAGAGAAGAAGTGTAAGCGCAGGGAAAGAGGTAGCCTGCCCATTCAGGAGAATAAAAAGCGCGCGGGATGGTGGAGTAGTAATCGGAGACGACGCGGTCGGGGAGGAGAAGGAGGGTGGTGCCCGTGTCGGCTATGGTGGTGAAGGGGTAGGAGGTTCGTTTTTGGTTGGTGGTGGAGGTTGAGTTTGTGGTTTCGAGGAGAAGGGGGGAGGATGAGGTGTCTGGCTGGGCGTTCTGGGTCGAAGAAGGTACGATGGGGTTTGAGACCGTAGGTTGGTCTGGCTGGCTGGTCGTTGACGGCTGCTCAGTGTCGGGATTTTTCGCGGGTTGAGCAGGTTCCGTCATCTCTGGCTCCTCATCTGCCTTCTTCTCCTCCTCCTCGCTCCCAATCAAATAACCCCCCACCTCAAACTCCCAAAAGATGCCATCCTCTTTGACATCCACATACCTCACCTCGCCCATATACTCCGTCTCATTGATGAACCCAAACCCATAGCTTCCCTCCGCGTTATCTCTCAGATTCGCCGTAAATAAAGGCTCCCTCAACTGTTCTCGCACGTTATCCATAAACGTCAAGATCTTCACCCCCGTTCTGGCCTCCACGTCCTTAATACTGTCACTAACCGTGTTACCAGACGACATGCCGAGCCCCATGATCCCGCTAACGTACGGGTCCGTGGTGAAGTCCCATGAGATGGAAGTGGCGGATTGCACGACTTGCGAGGGGAAGGACAGCGTGTCGTCCATGGAAACACGGTCTTGGTAAACGATGCCGTGGGCGCCGGAGCCGTCGGCGTAGGTGATGCGCCAGTTGAGGTCGGGGACCAGGACCGAGGTGTTGGAGGTGTGCGGGTCGTAGATGGCGTGGCCGCGGGTTTGGTAGCGAGGGGTGTCGGTGGAGACCACCCAGCTGTTTTGTTCTCTGTTAGCAAGACGTTTTGTTTGTGGTGACTAGAGAAAAGAAAGGAGGACTTGCAAGTCGGCAGAACCGGTGTCGATGTTCATCCATACCGTCTGTGGAGGTGTGCCGATCTCAACAGGCGAGACGTACTCGTAGTTGCCGGGAGGGGGAATGGCTGCGACTGTGGCCGTGATATCGCCTCCTGTTGACAATCTTATCAGCTCTTGCTTCTATGTTATATGGGACAGTGTAGTCATACTCTTCTCAAGCTCTTCCCGATATTCACGAAAAGCCGGGTTCAGCTTCATGGCCCTCTTGATCCTGGGCGACGGCTCAACACCATACTTGGCATAGGCGTGAAGCAAAGCTGACAAACCATTGCGCTGTGCGGTACTTCGTCTTTCGAGACGAGGGTTCTTGACTTGGCGGATGGTGAAGGTTTTGCCTTCTTCCTCTTTGCGCCCCTTGTTATCATCTTCCAGGCTTCCCCTCTTTCTCGACGACGTCTGCGCGGTGTAATCCGACCACAGTATTTCACTTGTATCAGCTGGAACTCTAATTTGGTGCTCAGCTGCGATATCCCTGACAAAGTGGTGCCTGTGGTGGTGAGTGTGTCTGGCAGGATGAGCGAGTGTCGTTGAAGTCTGGGCCAAGAGGAGGAGAGCGCCCAACGAGGCAATGTTTTGTGAGTAAAGCATTTTGTATCTCTGATGTAGCGACTCGGCGCAACAGGCTGAAAAAGAAAAACAAAGTGAGGATATACACGGGGGACCAATGGTAGAAATACCCATTCGCTCTCAGTTGGCTTTCAGTCCCACGCCATCATACTAGCTCTTCATACTCCCCACGAGCGAGGCATGGTGCAAAGGTATGCGAATTCCATCCCGTTGGTAGGTCACCGGAATGTTGCTCTCTTTTGCCATGGTTCAAGCACCCAGCTGTGATCTGAGACATTGATATACAGGAACCAAATGCCATTGTGAACGAAAGTACCGTGTTCAAGGGAGGACCAGGAAGCATGATCGTCGTCTGTTCCGCAAATTTCTTTTGGATTTAGTGTAGACGTCGTCTATGGGATGTATCGGAATGGGAAGTCCCGGGATTCATTTTCAGTCTTGATCTTCACAATGCCCCTCCCTAACATACCGCGTCCCGTGTTCGCGGGTCAACTCACGCTCGAATGGCATCGACATGACCAACAGTCCAACGTGCGGACACTGGAGCTGGAGCTGGAACAGAGGCGCAGTCGCGGAACATGTTGAACCAACAGCTTTCCAATGCCGCAAAATCGGTGTATGTTGACTGGAAAAAACCATCGTCTCTCCGAGACTCACAAAATGTTGACTTTGGTTGAAGGAGGTGTTTTGTCTTGACGATGTTGTGTTGATAGTTACCGGGCAGCTGCAATGCAAGACTCCCCACCGCGGGTCCCGACATCGGGCAGGTCACCGGAAGGCCCGCGCACAAGCCGCAGCCAAAAAAGCAAGCGGCATCCACTCTCAAACCATAACAAGCAGAACAAAAGCGGGAGAAAAAAAAGAAGGAAAAAAAGAATTGCTAGAAGGGCTCAGCCAGGGTTCGAACCTGGGACCACTTGCACCCAAAGCAAGTATGCTACCACTACACCACAGAGCCGCCCTTGAAGCTGTTGTTGTAACATTGGGCTGAAGCAAACGTTTATATCGGGACAAGCAGTTGTGGAGAAATATGAGTCATGCCGCCGACGGACCTCCCCCTCGCTGCTTCCATCAATTCCACTTCAAACTTTCCAGCATACCGTTTTCGATGCATTGTCATCAAACTGGGAAACTACACATCATGAAGATCAAGTGCTGGCCATCAAAAACTTTAATCAAGCCATGAAATTATTGTTGATGACAGTCTGCTCCTTTCCTGTCCTCCTGCTCCAACCACCCGTCACCCACGAAAACATACAACTTTTACTTCCTACCAATCCACCAAGATATTCCATTCCCTTCCATTCCTGTTCTCCTATTATTACTCTTGTCTCTATTTTAACCCAATACATCCTAACCAAGTACTTCCCCTTCTTGTTTCTATAACCCCAACGCCAACTTATACAAAGACTACCAGCAAGAATCCGTTCGTCCGCCCATAATCAGACAAATTCAAAACCACGCCCGTTTTTTTTTTTTTTTTTTTTTTTTTTTTTTTTTTTTTGTCTTCCCCACAAACTCATTAACCTTCCCTCCTCTTTCTTTCCTCTCCTCTATCGCGGTGACTGCCCATTTTTATGTCCATGTCTATACCCACTCCCACCGCTCCCACCCACTCAACAACCTACCTCTACCACCCGACAAAACCACAGACTCACGCATACCCGTAGACGAGGAAATAGACATGGAGCTCCATGCACTACTGCTGCCGCCACTACTGCTACTGCCACCACTAAAATGCCCAGGTCGATAATGCCGATAATGATACCGGTAGTGAAACTGATATGGACTTGTTGGACGGTGAGAGTCATTTTCGGAACCATTGCTCCGGTCTGATTCCGTTGTTTCCGTGTCGTCTGAGTTGCTTCCGCTTTCTTCACTACCGGAACCCATTGGACGATGATGGTGATGATCACGAGGAGATTCGTGGATGGACATGGACATGGAAATGGGAGGAAGAGTTACAGCTTCTTCTCGGGAACCTATTGACTTGGTGTCAGTTGTCGAGCAGCGGGCACGGGGAGGGAAAAATCGAGGAGGAAAAAGGAAAGGAAGAAGGAAAGAAAGAAACAGGAGGAGAAAAAGGACACATACGGATATTCCCTGCTCCTCCTCGACCAAATGATCGTCGACGATTCATGTTGTACTCGTCCTTCATAAACTCGGGGTTCATGCTGTGGGTGATGGTGGTGGTGGTGGTGGTGGTGGTGGTGGATCGGCGGGCGAGAAACTCTTTGAACTTCATTGTGGTTGTGTGTAGAGGTACGTTATGTATCTCTGGACGTGTATAGGATTTTTTGTTCACGAGTTATGAGGTCACTCCGTCCTCACAAGTGGTACCGAGGTTCAACTTGATGGTTGTTGTTGTTGTTGTTGCTTCCGATGTGATCAGGTAGAGTTGACGTATTCTCCAACTCAACGAAAAGGCAAAAGAACAAAAGATCAAAGGTTTCAAGGTCCAAATCTGGGAATCCCAAAGAGCCTCCATCAATTCAGCAAAAGATTTGCCAGTTATTTTGTCAGGGGTAGATGAAAAAATCATCAAGTAGAGTCGCAATCGGAAGAAAACCGGAGGGAATGAGTCTATCTCAAATTGTCTTGTTGATGTAATACCAAAGTGTAACACCAACCGCTTCGCACTATATCTCACTTGGACAGGTCTGAAAGGAGTCTAGGAGATTACGGATGCTCCACCTAGGATGGAGGTTGGAGGCTAAGGGAGCGAGGACGCTATTTAAGCGTCTGTATCGAGATCGATAGTTTCCTCAAGGTTGCTTACTATTGTTTGAAATTTCGACCAAATCTGCTTCATGGGCAACAAGTAGGAAAGAACATTCGCGACATGGATACAAAGCACAGCACCCAAATATCTCAATATTATCACGCCACGAAGAATAATATCATCTCCCATTTTTGTTTTATGTTCTAGCGACCAACTAAATGTCCCACGCCTCGCTTGCTCAGGCAGATCTCAAAGCCGTAAGAAAACTCCAAAATTGGAATCATAAAATGAGCACTCACCTATAGGGAAGGAACATGGTCAGAAAATTCCCATTCCCAGCACCAAAGACTCGGAAAATCGGAAAAATAAGGATGCAACGGCCCCCTCCAAGCAACCCGACTAATAATCGCCATTCCCTGTGAAACCAATTCCATCAAAATTATCATCGCCCAGCACTTCATAGTCCTCCGGATCAGGGTACTCCGATCCATCGCCCTCCAGCCTGGCCACATACTGCTTCGTAAACTTCTTATCCGGCATCAAGCCCGCATACATGAACGCGGTCATCAACGCCGGGACGCCTTCACCGGGTCTGCTCGTCATCTGCGCCTTAATGTACGCGAGCTGTCTGCCCGCCATCTGCCACACGAACTTGGGGCTCTTGTGGTAGTACAGCTTGAAAGCCGTGCTAGCCCTCAGCAATGCCCATGTATTCATTTCGCGGTCCGCGAGGAAGGAAAGCTCCAGCAACCTGATCACCTTAGAATCATAGTTGGCTCCGGATTTGTCCATGGCCTCGGGCGTGATGGCGCACCATTTTTCATAAACCTGGTTGACGCGGACAGGGTAGGGGTCCTTGCTGTCTCTCATCTCCTTGTTTTTGACCAACCTGCCATATTCTTTCTCGACTTCGCCGATACGGTTCTTCAGAGTCGTGAAAAGCTGTGCGGACGACCGCGACTTGTCGCTAATTTCCTTGAAGAATGTGTAGTAGGAAGCGAGATCCGGATCCCAAAAGTGAGCGCCGTCTTCTGTGTCCTTGGCCGCTTTCATGGCATTGTGGAAGGCTTCCAGTTCCTTGTCAATCGCAGGCCTGGCAATGGAGAATTTCAGGTAGTCAATAATGTGGGTAGGCTCTCCGCGCCCGAGCCAACTGTCGCTCTTGTACATTGGGTCAGGAAGGGACAATGCACCGCCAAGCAGTTCCCTACGCAATTGAGCCCAGCTTGCTTCATTAAAGACAATACCTTGCTTGCTCTGATCGACGAGGTTTCCCACCAGTGAACTAAGAATAATGGCCGGCTTGTTAGACACACTGTTGTTGATGTAACAGAGTCTTTCTTTGTAGTTAGTGCACATGCCCAAGAAGTTGGGCTGCAAGGCGAAATGGAAGCTCTTCTGGATCATATCGTATGTAGTCTGCTCTTTGGCCGCTGAGCCCGTGCCGTGTGAGGCCATAAGTTGTTTGAAGGTCGTTTTGTCCTTCTTTAGGTACCTAGACAGGTCGGGCTCCAGAGGCATTTCTGCATTGACGAAACCATCAACGATCTCCGGATCCCAGCAGACCCAGGCCATATCGCCGTCGTAGTCTCCACCAGACAGCTTCTTAGCAAGCGGAACATCTCCTTTAGTAGAGAAGATGATCACATCCTTGAGACTGTGAAGCTCTGGCTTGAAGACTGCTCGAACTCGTTGGATATCACTAGGGAAATGGGCTGGGGATCGCGCCACTAGGACATCACAGTCCGATAGAAGCGTGAAAGACTCCTCCTCGTCTCTGAACTTTGAGGAGAATCCGACATGAACTTCATTTTCCTCAAGCACACCCCAGAAATCGGCAATCATGTAGATGTATGCTGATCGACCGACACGGATGTTCAACTTGGACTTCAACGTGTCACACTTCCGCTTTTGAAGATCCCAGGCGATGTCTTGCAAGTACTTTTGCTTCTTGGGATCAAACCCACTGTTCATCAAGAAGTTCAGTGTCTCTTCTTGACTGTCAGGGAGCCCAGCAAGAAAAGGTACGCGGCCATGGCTGACTCGAGTTGCGCGACTGGAATAACTCTCGTAAACCCATTGGCGAAATTCCACCGGGCGATTCAAAGCATGCTTTTGCTCGGTGAACTGTCGTTGCAAATCGTTGATGAGACGGTCACCGATTGCTTGGCGCATCTTTACCTTGTCCCTGGCCCTATCTTCCAGGACAGGCAACAGCTGCAGGTTGAGACCAGCTGACTTCAATTCAGAAGCCACGCTCCGGACTTCGAGGGTACGTTGATGTTTATCAACAAAGTCGCATTCCCATTTGCGCTGGGACGGGTATGTCTCGATCCAATCCTCATCGCCCGTGTCGTCAACGTCGATAACCCACATTCCCTTGGCCGAACCGAACCGCCCTTGCACAGCAGAGGGCACATCACCCAAACCGAGAACATCGCGTATTCTCTTGGCCACGCTTCGCGACATGCGGCCCACACCGTCATTCATCACTTCGCCAGTGCCTGAAGGTGAAAGAAGATCGGACTTGTGGTGTCTGATCTGGTGAGGCTCCAATGTCATAATGGCATATGTCTTACTCAGACCGAGCTGGATACGGGAGAACAACTTGAGGTGCGGCTGCCAAGTGTTGTTGTCGAGTTGCAGTAGCCAGTCCAGCATCTGACTAACTTTGAACTCGGTCCGTTGCTGCACAGGTTCCTCTGCCGGAACGACAGATCTCGTCTTGAACACATCAGGTCGGAACGTAATGCCGGTCTCAGCAAAGAAGTGGACTCTCTCCTTGATGATGGGTTTCGGATCCTCGGCGCGGAGCTGGAACTCCCTGAGAGGTTTCCTGTATCCGGCATCTTTGGCGAAGAAAGCGCGCCACTGGCGGCCTACAAGGGAATGCGGCCCCATTGTGAGCCACTGGATGACTTCTTCGACTGCACCTGGTTGTTTGCTAACCACCGGCGGTACACTTGGGCTGGTGCTCGTAGGCGACGGTATAAGGATCTCGAAAAACCTATCAGGACCGAACCGACGGGTGAGTCGACAGCCCTGCTCGAACATGAGCGGCTTCAGCTTCACAAGGTAAAGGGGCGCAGTAGGCGAGTTGTCCGGATTGTAGTCCAGCACAGCAGAAAGAACAACGGCACTACCTTTGCTCTCAAAGTTGCCCGTCATTGCGGTAGCGAACACGTCGTTGGGCGGCTTTTCTGGGAAGGGTTTACCACGGAAAGCATCGAGCCGGTAGAGAGTTTTCCAGATATCTGTGACATCGCGCGCGGTAGACCAGGAAGGGTCGTACTTTAGGCCCAGGCTCTCGTCTTCCAGGTCTACTTTGCAGTGCATAAAGAGTCTGGTAACTTCCCATGCAACAGCGAGAGGAGCTTCGTGTAGCCATTTGGGAAATTTCGGCCAAATATTTCTCAGCCGAGCGGCAACAACCGGGGCATGAACTTGAACCTGAGATCGAGCGCTTTGTTCGCCCCGAGCCAGCCCATTTGAGCGACTCGGCTCGGGAATTGCGCCCTCGCCGCCGGAACTTGGAAACGACTCGTAGTAAGTGCTGAACGAAGTTTCACCCTGGGAGGACGATGAAAGGGGCTGGTTCTCTATGTGAGGCTTGGTTGTTCTTCCTTTGCTGGGAGACTCAATCAAGTTTCCAGCCTCAAAGACCGTGGCATCCACAGGCCGCTTCTCCCTGGGCTGTGAAGGAGGAGCCTCAAAACTACTCTGGGTAATGCTCTGATTGTGACGGCAAGCGCTGAAGACACTCGAACCATAGGAAGTGCCTTGAGATGTAGCGAAAGAATCCACCTGGTCCGCTCGTCCCTGACCTGTTGCCGTAGGGTCTCTCGTATTGGCATGTCGTCGAGTCGGTACCTTGTCCAAAGCGCTCGCAATAGGCACGGGCGGGGCGGCGGCAGCGGCAACATTATCAGACAGCTTGCCCTTAGCCCGCTTGGTGCACTGATTGAGATTCTCACTCTCGAGAGATGGTCGTTTGGAACCGGTGTTCACTGGATCGGGAAACTTTAAGGGTATCGCCGCGCCGTGAATAGGAGGACCTGTGGCAGAGCGAGCCAACGAGCGTTTGGGCGGATCAGCGAAAGTGACATTGGCAGGCTCATCGTTACGTTTGGTGTTGGTAGGGGTTGGGCGGCTCAGGCCGCTTGGGCCGCTTAGAGTTCTGCCAAACGTTCGACCTGGCGTGTTGTTGGGAGGTGGCATAAACCTATTAAGCACCTCGAGCAACACAGTCTGCAATGCCCATTGTTGGCCGGCAGTAGCGGCGCGCGGAGGTTCCTTAGACCACGGAAGTGTATCAGGATCGGCGTGAGCTTTGGGCACCCAGTTCGAGCTCGCAGCTTTGGCCTCGATGAAGAAGTTGGCTTCTGCCTGGTTCAGGGAGTCATCCTTCCGCCAGTAGAGAAAGTTCAGGGCTCTGTAGATCTTGTCATGGCGACCGAAGTCCTCGTCACTCTCGGCCAGCTCCTTCCGGCGGTGGGGGGTGAGAGTTGTGTCTGCGACACACTGGATGCCCAGGTTGTAGTCGTTATTGAGCCGGTTTATGATTTCCTCGACGGGGCTATTCCTCTTTCTAGGAGTGATAGGGTTCATTTGTGCCGTGGGAGATCGGGCCTGGAGTAGAGTATACAACCGGGTTAGCGATAAGGCATGATAAAAGCGACCACCACCGAAAAGGAAGACCAGGCGACTGTGAGATATACCTGATTTCCCGACTCGAGCTTCTACCAAGCGGGAGCGTCTTGGGCGTGAGGGTCGATAAGTGTGCGGGAGTAAACAACACCACTGTAGCTTTGTGCGGCGTTGATCTCTTGTAATTTTTGACCTCGATTAACCGATTGTTATGGAAGGGGCCTTGACCATAGTCGCCGGTCTTGTTTGCTTCACGAAGTCGGGATCGAGGGGCACAAGCAGGCGCAGCAGGGAAAGGCGACCTGGTTTGGGATGGGGGCTGATCGAGTTCAAAGACACGGTTCGCGCGAGCGGGCCAAGGTGGTTTTTGGTGGTGGTCCTGTTCGTGCAAAGTGTGTGCACACTTTTGAGCATTTCGAACGAACTTGGCGAGCTTCGTGCTGTGGCTATAATTGGCAACGCCCGGAACTGGGCACAAAGCCTCGTCTGATCTGGAGAGTAGGTAGGTTGCAGGAAACAGTGAAGGGACCGATCAATCGCGGTGGATGGCCATAGAATCGCGCCGAGCCGTCAAGTGATTCGAGAGGTAAATAGTCCCAATCCAGCTCAATACGCTCCCAGATCAGCGCAAACCGGTGGAAGAACCTGCCCACAGGATCGAAAAGCCCGCTGTCGGCGCAATTGGTCACATTCAGCCCGATGTTCGAGAGAGCGCGGCGGTAGTGGCCTGGATGGTATGGGTGATGATATCACTGGTGGTGGTGAAGGGTAGCCGCAGTGACCGTACAGGTGTCGCAGGCTCGTAGCCTTCCATTTTTTTTTTCGCATGCGACGAGACCATTTTGGAAATAGCTGTATGCCGCACCCACTGGACGGCCATCCTTCCATCGCTTTGACTTGCAGAAGCTGCAGGGGGCCCGGGGATGGCCAGCCCTACTCTAGGAGGAGTCCACAGTAAAGTGACAGGTCAGGTCGCTGCTGAATCAGGGTCGTGGGGAGGGGGGGTGGAGGATCGGACGAGAGATGGAAGTTTAAGACGTGAGGTTCGAGGGCATGAGAGACGAAAGAGCGGGCATATGATGTCCTGTTTTAACGGTTCCATTAATTCAACAACGACTTTGAAGTTTTTTTCGTCAGAGTAAACGAGGGATGATCAGAGGTTCCAGGATCCGGTTGTCTCAAATTTTCAAGTCAACTTCGTCACCTTGAGGAACAAGAACCAACCGGTCTGCTGCCTGGCGCCGGTCAAGAAGGAACGGCCCGCAAAGGTCCAGGCAGCACGGTGCCCTGTCAGCACTTGGCAAGTGCGTGGAATGGGGACACTCCAGGATCCAAAAGGCGGGGCTAATTCCCGTCTGCACTGCATGGAAAATGAGTGACTGCGGGATACATGATAGAGGTAAGGAACGTGGCATTACCTCTACATGGTCACAGGCAGCTCTCAGATATGCGGTGCATACTCTATGCATACCTACATATGACTGACATATGTCAGGAACTAATACGCTGGCGCCGGTGATGGTGTTGCTGTCGGTCATGCTCATTCTGGGCTCGCTGGGATGAATTAGAGATAAGTCATGGATATATCGGTGACTTATCCCGGACTCATCCCGGACTGATCCCAGACTATTCATGGACTACTCATGGACACATCGGTGATACATCACCCAAGGGAAAGGTCCTTTCACAGGTACAGTAATGTGCCCTGTAAATGTCAGTCCCCATAAATGCAAAGACCCATTTATTGCTAGAGATTTTTGTGCCCGAATTATTTTACTATGGTATGGCCTGCTAACTGCTAAATGCAAGGCAGCCGGCTGGCCGCCCATACAAATTTGCAGCTGACAGGGTACTTAACAGGGGGCTCTTGACCCCTGTCATCCCTATCAGACTATGAGATCCCTTTATTAGAGCTGTCACTGGCTGTCACAAGCCCCACCGTGCAGCTACCAGTAAGTGCAAGGACCTAGTAACTGCAAGGAAAATGACCTGCCCGGATTAGTTGCATTTACAGGGCACATTACTGTACGTTATTCCCCCACGGGGAAACACCCTTTTAATGGACACCAGTGTTGGCTTCCATTCGAGGACGGATGCTTCCGCTGCTACAGCCTCAAGTAGTGTACTGTGTACACATCACCCCTGGAAAGTTCGTTAGCTCGGTACTTACATGGGATTTTAACAGGGGGATAACAAGGGGGGTAGCAGGGAGTAAAACTAGTAAAATATAGAAGGTAGTAAGGGGGGCTCTAGGTGATTTAGGCGATCCTTAGCCAGTAGAGAAGGTTTGTGTGTGTGTGCTCTGTTTACTCGTTCTCACTTTGAAATCAGGCAGATTCAGCCAATCAGAGCTCGTAGATAGACGTATCCTGCCTTGCAACCCCCCCTGTGAAAGTATGTGGGGCAGGAACCACGCTAACAAACTTTTAAGGGTCAATATGTACATTAACTCTGACCCACTCGCCGCTCATACCTTCCATACCATTGGACAGTCTCGGGTCGCCGACACATATGTATCGATGTGCGTGCCAACCAACACATTGCAATGCGTGCCAATGGATAAACGGATGTACAGCATATTCAGAAAATCTCGGAATGACCTCTAATTCTCCCACCGCTCTCTACACAGCATGTATGGTTGTATGGACCATCAGACGAATGGTCTCAAGATGATGTCACACAACGAAGCTTGGTCGTTTCTGTTCCCGAGAGACTGTACCCTGTCTCCCTGTTAAACTAACCCCCTAAAGGGGACAGCGTACGAACCTATTCGGACCTACTACACTACGGGCTAGTGTACCTAGCATGGGACGGACTTGAAACTTTTTAGAAATCGATTTCGGTGGGAAGTGAGCTTTTCCAGAGTCTAATATTTGTTGGGAAAGGTGTCGCAAGAATCATATCACTATTGAGACTAGGCGTGTCCCGTCAACGGTAGAAGCCGGCTAGCCATCCAATGAATCGTCCAGCAGAGTCCGCCACTGAACACTCGACGTTCCAATCCATTCCACACTGGACCCCGGGCCTCCCTCAAGAGATCCCGCCAATTCCGAACCGGGACCCCTCCTCGTTCTACTCTGCTACAAAAAAGCTTTCTCGGCTTCTTTTATCCCTCGGAGTGCCCTCCCTTCGGATTTGCATCGGTATTCCCCCCCATATTAACCATACTTACACACTATTCTCTCACCCACCCCTTTCCCGACGGAATCCAGGGCCCGTGTCCGTCCATCAGTCAATCCCTTCCCTTTCCCTCCCGGTCCCCCCTCGAATAGCCGCGGATCCACCAGACCCCGAACCCTTGGCGCTGCCGAGTTGCTGCTCGCTGTTGCAGTGTGCATAGGTTCAGACCAACGGAGGCTACTAGACACTACCTTCGTCGCCGTCCGAGCCGTCCACATTCCGAAAGAGTGACGAGAGAGAGGACGACTCGGAAAGTCAGGAGAACAAGTGGTCGGCTGGTGGTCTGGCGGACCCCGTTGGTTTCCGGCCTTCATCCTGTCCAAAGCTGACCACATCCCGCCGCCGTCTCCGCCCAGCCCCGACTCGTGTAGCCCTCATATACATACCTACCTTAGTCATCTTGAAACAGCAGAGGCCATGTCCATGTCCGACTCTCATGAGAGCCCCAACCTCGAGGATCTTACTCCTGAGGAGGCCAACCGCATTATCCATTCCCACCGCAAAGTTCGATATGGTAAGTGGGTCTTTCTCAGTTGTTCATCTCATCATCAGGTATTTTCCCTTCATGATTATGCATTGTCTGTCCACTTTCCGGATAACATGTAACCTCTTGTCACTCTCCCTTTGAGGCTGTGTGATTGCCCCCAACCTTCCCCACGCTTCCCACCCGTTTTGGGCCCCCCCCGTCTTGCCGGGTCCGGTCCCAGCAATCCGGTTCAAAAGTCCCCTTGATGCACCTCAACTCTGGTTCTAGACACTCATATACACTACGGGTGCTTTCCCTGACCCACCCACAACTTATGCTTAGTACCTTATCTTGATTGAAATTCTTACTCACGTTACTAACCCCCTCCACAGGTACCGCCTGCTGGCCCTGCAGACAGAGAAAAGTAAAGTGTGACAACAAAAGTCCATGTGAAAACTGCGTCAAGCGGGAACACCCACAGCTCTGTTCCTACAAACCCAACAAGTCAGCATCCGGCAAACCGTCATCTGTTTCCACCGATCTCTCTCACTCCAAGAAGAGGCCGCACTCGCCAGATGCTCAAGAAGGCCGGAGCTTGAGCCATGAGGCCCGCGAATCAATAAGAACATACGGTGTGTCACACAGCTCCCCAATTCCATACACATGTCCCCAAGGTTGGTGGTCACATCTAACCATTCTGTTAGAGCCCGAAGCCGTGGAGATCACGCGTTATGTTGGCCAGAATAGCATCCCAGCGCTTCTAAGGGAACAAACCGCAGCCGATGAACCACAGGACGTGAGCTTTATACGCCAAGACATGCGTTCCCTACTGGGGCTCGATAACTCGGCCCCCTTTCCGCTCATGTCCTCCCGCCACTTGGACAGACTAACGTCCGATATATCTCATGAACTGCCTTCCGACCGGGAGGTCATGAAGTGCGCATTCTCACCCTCCCTCGCCTTACCATCTGGAGAGAGACATAGACTCACACCCCTGTAGACTTTTCCGAACCTACAAGGAAATTCCGCAACCCTTCTGGGGCTTCGTTATCGACATTGATGACCTCGAGTCTCGGTTGATGATCTATCTCGAAGACAGAGCAAAGAACGCCAGAGCCGCTACAAAGACAACAAAACCAGTCTCTGCATCATGGCTCGCCATTCTCTTCGCCGTCCTTGCGGTTGGCTCACAGTACCACGAGACCCCATACCATATCCGAACGAGAGATGCGCAAAAGTATATCCAAATCTCTTTTCACTTTCTCAGGCTGGGTAACTTTCTGTTAAGGTATGTTGGACATTTGTTCCATCAATGTCAGTCACTCGGCTGCTAACTCTGTCTAGGCCGAACCTGGACTCAATACAAGCTATGTTGATGACGAGCTTTGTATTACTCAATGACATGAAAGCGGAAGCTTCCTGGGCTTTGCTAGGACTTACATGTCGATTGGCACAGTCGCTTGGCCTTCACCGTCCACAGGTTCTTGACGGCCGTCAGTCGCCCGAAGTTGTGAAGAGGGAAATGTCTAGGAGGAGACTTTGGTACGATCAACCATGTTCAAAACTCCTATCCCTGACTAACTATTTTCCCGCCAGGTGGACTTGCCTCTGGCACGATACGCTCACTTCGTTATCGTTTGACCGATCACCAATGACCAACATCGCTTGTTGTCCTATCCCCCTTTCACCGACTGCCGAGACAGACGGGTGGTCTTATCTCGAAGCAATGTACCATCTAAATCAAATCATATCGCAACGCCTAAACCCTGATGCAACTGCCACCGCTTCCTACAACCAAATCCTGACCAACTGCGCGGACGTGGAAAGCATACGAGATAAACTCTTTGTACAACTCCGGACCAAAGACGCCTGCAAATCCGCCATGGACCGCCTGCAGCACTACGCCATCAGACTACACACCTCCTTCATCGTCTCCGTCTGCTGCCGGCCCGCCCTCCAGCGCGAAAACAACCAGCTCGAAAAGTCCCAGAAGAAGTACCTGGCCGACAAATGCAAGGAGAACCTGACGGAAACAGTCCGCATGTTTCTCGCCATGCACCAGCTCTCGGTGATCCCCACGCGCTCCTGGGCTTTTACGTATCACGGCCTGTCATCGGCCGTTCTGCTGGGGATCCTCGGCGAGACCAAAGCTGACCCGGAAGTGCGCCAGCTCCAAGGCGATTTGATTTCGGCCCTGTCCGCCACAGCGGCTAAAGAACAAACGTCGCCGCAGCCGCACATCCCGAGGTCGGATCACGACATTGAGCTCTCGGGCCCGCTGTCGCGCGCGTTGACGGCGCTCAAGAATATCTACGACCATGGATCGGTCGTGGGTCCGGCGGGGATTAAGCGCGAGGCAAGCATTTCCGGCCCGGCGTCGGGATTGAGGACGCCGTTGCAGATCAGCCAGCTTGCGGGGCTCCCCCCTAATGGCTATCCGTTATATGGTCTTGGGCAAGAACAGCAGGGAAGAGGAGGAGGAGGAGGAGGAGGAGCAGGAGGAGGGGGGGTTCAGCAGCAGCTGGGAGCGACGGGACCGTTGGATCCGCATCAGAGTGCGGCGTTGGCGATGGCGGAGATGCAGCAGCAGAATGGGGGGCAGCCTCAGTTGGGGGCCGGGGCGGAGTATCAGGGAGGGTATGTCTTTCCTTGTATCGCGGATCTGACTGGGGTTGTGGAAGTGATGCTAACAAGGTGATTACCTAGGGTACCTTACAACATGCCACCACTCCAACAACCGGGTGCCGCTGCCGGCGCCGGTTCGGGCCCGGGTGGAGGTGTGATGCCGCAGGATATGTCGCAGTTTGATCCGGCTACTTATATGTCGCCGATGGATCTTTACGACTCCATCTTTTGGGGTTAGTTCTTTTTCTTTTCTCTGCCCTTCCCTCACCTTTCCTGCCTGGGTTTCGCAGGCTGACATAAAGTGATGCTATATTAGAATCCCCCGACCCCTTCAACACCGGCGTAGACACGATGAATTTCGACTTTCTAGCCCACCCACCACCTGGTCAGCCACCTCAGCAGCAGTTTTACTTTTGAATCGAGGGTTTCGGTTTCCTCCGGTTAGGCGTCAGCTTGGGTTCCATTTCTGTCACTGTGGTGGAGAAATTTCAACAGGATAGCAAAAAAATGAAAAGGGGGAAATCTGTCCCCTACCGTTACCATAGTGTTGTAATCTACCCAGGAATTCGTCGTCATATCAAAATTTATGGACTGTCTCTGCAGGAACTTGCAACGTCTCAACACACCGAAGGACGTGACTCGGAGATGGAACGGGATCGGAGCGAGGAACGTCGAACGGCTGCTTGGCAAAGCTTGAATGTTTGAAATGGGTGGGTGGAGTCAAGCGTAGTGGAGCTACCGGTCTTCTAGATTTCAACGTTCTGTTCTCGATGTCCTACTCAGTTCGGGTGTATGGTATGCAGCTAATTACCGCTTGATTTCGAGGTCGGGGAGGGAGGTATGGCCCTCCATTGTCATGTCCGCGGGCTGTTTGGGTGAGCTCAACTAATAGATAGAATGTTTACCATGCTCCCGATGTCGAATTCGAGGGTTCATTATCGTGTGTTTGGTGTTTTGCAAGGGTTAGGGTTTTCACTTGGCTGGCTAAAAAGACCGGACTCGCCCGCCTCCCGCTCACCGAGCGATTATGTACTGCTGTAGGACCCCACTCTGTACTCACCTCGTCCAACAAACCGCTGAAACACCATCACCATCACCAACACCAACACCAACACCAACAGCAGCTTTTTCGTCGTGTACACTAACCATGTTGACAACCTTCTTCTCAAACGGCGAACCTCAAGATATTATATTGTTTGTTGTGCGACTTCTATCTGCCCGTGTGACATTTGGACGAGCGCTTCATTCTTCCTGCCCATATGCGCCTTCTACTCCGCCTCTGCTACTATGTCGCCATAGCTTCTCTCCTCAATTCCATGGAAGTCCAGGCCCATTCAACATTACGATACCTACCTCTAAGGTATCTACATACCGCGGCATCACACGTTCTTCACGATATGTAATTGTCAAGATGTCACATGTGACACGGGACAAGAACCTTGGTTCAATCAGGGGATGAAGGTATAGCTACTGGCTGCCAGATCAGGAAGCTGAGATTCTGGCATTGGACCAGTCTCAATCACGACAATGGATTGATCTACATGTGTTGCGCGCAACCACATGGGGAAGATGTCGCCTTTTTTTTTTTTTTTTTTTTTTTTTTTTTTTTTTTTTTTTTTTCCATGAGAGCTTTGTGCACTTTCCTGGGGCCGACCGTGACCCCTGCCGGATGGTTGTCGAACTGGCGATAGACTCATGCGATGCTCGTTGCAACCTTCTCGATCTTGCCAAGCAATACCACGTCAATCCAAGCTTGTCTGTGATCTTTGACTGCCGCTTGAACTTGGGCTGGTAGACAACACCAAGAAAAAACATGAGATGGTATAATGCAGTTGGCCAAGAGCATAAATGGGATCAACAACCTTCCGGATTAGGTTATGCCGCGATGCAAGACGGAGGGACCTGATGCAACCAACGTGCCGATCGCAAGGTCCCAATCCAAGCAGTCGTCCCCGACTTGCCCTTCCCGGTTGACGGGTGCCAGACACCGCTCATATATCGAAGCTTGAAATCATCAAGGGTATCCGAGGGACAACCGACAAACCAACACTGGTTGTCTCGCGGTCGATAGTATGAGACGAACCGCGATACGGAACCGCTACCGAGTTCCCATGCAAATCACCCTTCGAAAATGCGTCTATCCAGATGCCGAACATGGATGGAGGCCGGCTACTTGGCCCATCAAAACACCTTCCCCTTCGAGCTTGACCTCGATATCGACTACTACCTACCCCAAATATCCACCATGTCACCTACTCTACCTAGGTAGCTCAACCTCACGATGCTGATGCTGATCCAGACCTTCCACCGACCGGCGCCCCAGCTTTACACGCACAACGGGCAACTAGTATAAGATGGCCCATGACCCATCGGCCACCATCATGATTCTGAGGGAGAAGGCAGTGACGGGGAAAATAGCATCTCGAAGCTCACCACCACCACCATGAAGTATCTTTCCATCCTTACCGCCCTCTTGGGCCTTGCCTCCGCCACCGCCATCCGCTCCGAAGCCCGGCCCAAGCGGACTGCGTACGATGGCTACAAGGTCCTCCGTGTCGCCGCCGGTGATGACGCCGACAAGCTGAACAAGATCATCGCCGACCTCGAGCTCGAGACCTGGAAGGGTGTGGCCAAGGTTGGCGGTCACGCCGACGTGGTCGTCCCGCCCTCCAAGCTCGCCGCCTTCAACGCCCAGGCCGAGGGTTTCGAGACCCTCACCATGCACGAGGACCTCGGCGTCTCCATCGCCAACGAGTCCGGCTTCCAGGCCTACGCCGGCACGGCTGATCAGACCTGGTTCAACACGTACCACGCCTATGCCGACCACTTGACCTTCCTCAGGGATCTCGTGGCTGCCCACCCCAACCAGTCCGAGATCGTCACCTCTGGCACTTCAGTCAACGGCAACGCCATCACTGGTATCCGTTTCTGGGGTAGCGCCGGCAAGGGCGTCAAGCCCGCCATTGTGTTCCACGGCACCGTGCATGCGCGCGAGTGGATCACCACCATGGTATGTCAGATGTTTCCAGTGATTTCTTCACAAGAGAAAATCAACTGACGAATTCTCCAGGTCGCCGAGTACCAAGCCTACTACCTCCTGACCAACTATGGCTCCGACGCCACCGTCAAGTCCTTCGTCGACAAGTACGAGTTCTACATCTTCCCCGTCGTCAACCCGGACGGCTTCATCTACACCCAGACCAGCAACCGTCTCTGGCGCAAGAACCGCCAAACCAACTCGGGCTCCTCGTGCGTCGGCCGCGACATCAACCGCAACTGGCCCGCCCACTGGTCCACCTCGGGCGGCGCCTCCACCAACCCGTGCGACGAGGCCTACAAGGGCGCGAGACAGGGCGACGCGCCCGAGACGACGGCGCTCGCTGCGTTCTTGGACAAGGTCAAGGCCGCGCAAGGTCTGAAGTTGTATATCGACTGGCACTCGTACTCGCAGCTTTTCATGTCTCGTATGTCCCTTCCCCTCCTCCCCTCCCCCTTTTCCTCTTTCCTCTTTCCTCTTTCCTCTTTCCTCTTTCCTCTTTCCTCTTTCCTCTGTCCTCTTTCCTCTTTCCCGCCCTTCTTGATTTTTCTATTTTTTTTTATCTTTTTTGTTCACTAATACTAACACACCGCACAGCCTACGGCTACACCTGCTCCTCCGTCCCCGCCAAAAACTCCGAGTACCAATCCCTCGCCCGCGGCGCCGTGGCCGCCATCAAGTCCGTCTACGGCACCACCTTCAACTACGGACCCATCTGCACCACCGTCTACAAAGCCACGGGCAACTCGGTCGACTATGCGTTCGATGTCAGCGGTGCCGAGTACGCGTTTACTTTGGAATTGCGAGACACCGGTGCCAATGGATTCATCCTGCCTGCGTCGCAGATTTTGCCGAGTGGCGTGGAGGCGTGGGCGGGAGTCAAGTATTTGTTGGCTAATATGAAGTGAGCGGACCAAAGAGGGAAAGGGAGAGGAAAGAGGTGGTGAGAGAGAGTGGGGGTCTAAGGGATGGATTGGGATCGGTGTAGATACATCCTCTACTGGCACTGGATATGTACCTACCTACCGTACTCTCTGCAAATACACATAGGCACGCCGCACTTCTGAGGGTTTCTCTCACCTATCTCACTTACCCTTGAAACTAGTAGACAATGCCATCTTGCAACATTGCTGAATGTTTTGTGTTCCTTAGGTTTACGGTTCTGATTGTGATACTACATGTTACTTGTAGGCTACAGCGATATCTTTGTACTGTACGTCTGTCGTGGTGTGATAAATCACGAATTCATGAAGTCGATAGTTTAGGTAAGAATGTGCTCTAACAGGTTGGGAGATTCTTTACTATGAATATGTACGCAGTGCATAGTTACTAAATTCAACTCGACTCAACTCAATGCCAAGAACACTAGACGTTAGACATTGATGGATCAATCAGGCACACACATCTTCCGCAGAGTGATCACTTTTCTCTTTTTCGTTTACCAAAGGCATCGACGGGACTTCTACGATCTAGAGTGACTGCTTCTAACAGTGAATTTCTTTTCTGGCGGCCCGCTGAGTATATTGTTGAGGTATCATGGTAACTTCTTCCAATTGAGATAGGATTGATGATGACAACGGACTGAATGATTCATACGCCGCAACCTCCATGGCATCCTTGTTCACAACAAAAAAAGGGAAACAGAGGCGCTAGAAGTTTTATGTTCAGCGTTCATCTAGATAGGTACAGTGGGGCGCTAAAAATAAAACACGTTCCAAATTTCCCGAATTTCATAACAACGACCACCTTTCTTCCATTGTACCTTATAACTGCAGACCCTTATAAAAAGCTTAGAAAATAGTTTGACAGGTACTTCAGAACCAGGCGGATAAAACGTATTATTCAATATTTCGTATACCAGCCTTTTGCATCTACTACAGCCTACACTCTTCAAGGTATACTATTAACTAGGTTATTAACTATATCAATTTCAAAGTCCAACTATTCCTTTTTAACTACCTCTAATAGTAATTTTAATGCTTAGAAATTCTTTAGTATTTCTAAGAACTTAGGATATCTTTCTACGATCCTAGTTTTGAGTAAATACTATAGATTTTCAATAGGGTTAAGATCGGGAGAGTACGGCGGCTACGCTAGTACTTTAAAGTATATTTCCTTGAACTAATCCTTTACAATCTTTGCTGTATGAATAGGCGTATTATTTTATATAAAGGTAATATAAGGCTCTATAAGTTTAGGAAGCTCTTCTTCAAGGATTTCCTTATAAATTCGAACTGTAATATTTCCTCTTTTTATATTAGAATCGCCGGGGTAAGGAACGAGCTTACTCTTTATACTATAGTAAATTATACCCTAAAACATTTATAAAAGACGAGATCTTTTATACTAGGCTTGAATGTACTTAGGATTAATAGCTAATAAACTTAAAACGAGATAATTTAATTAATTTTTAGATAAAAAAGAAGAAAAAGGCTATTAGAATCTTTTTTTACTTTTAAAGCGAAAAATCCAATATCTCCTTCTACTAATTCCTTTTTCTATTATTAATTTATTTATAAATAAAACCATCCTTTAAAAGGATAAAGGCTTATTACTATACTCGAAAGACTAAGTATATTTAGTATTAGCCGTTTTGATATGGACTGCTTCTGCCTCAAAGAACAACCCTGCAATTGATGTGCAAAAGCAATAGTATTCCTGTGTAAAGCGTGATGCAGAAGGAAGAATCAGGAAGAGTGGAAGCCGCTCGCAGATGGATTGATGAAATCCATTTGGGCGGACCTACCTCCTTATCTTATCGTCTAAACCTACCCTACAGCCCGGCAGGCGGGCTGGGTAGGGTAGTTAAGCGACCTGCATGCACTGTTAATTACTGAGCTAATCTATATATATAAAATGATCCGTATTAAGTCCCGGCTCGCTGGACGAAAAAGTAGTTGTCCTTAGTTGTCCTTTAAGATTAGGCCCTTTTCTTTTTTTTTGATCCTTTAGGCCGTCCTTTACTACATTTCTAGCCGGGTTTTCCTCCTCGACAATCCTAATATTCTATTAATAACTCTTAGTAATTCTCTAGACTTTTCTTTATTATTTAGTAGTTGTATTAGTATCCCTAACCCTTCTATTTAATAAGGAATTTTAATTTTTTCTGTACCTCTTTGTACTTTAAGATTGTTTTTATTTTATATTTATTATTGTACTATAAATCTTTAATTAGGCTAGGAGGTGGCAAATTTCGTTTAAAGATATCCTTTCCGTCGGGTGCTAATAATAAATATATAATAGATATTATAGAATGAATCTTTATACTTTGAAGTAATTTAAATTGGTATATAAAGTTTCTAATCTTTTTTAGTACGGTGTACGGTTCCGAGCGTTATTGCGAGAGTTTATACGAAGGGTTACTAGAGTAATAATATCCGTAGTGAAGTCGTAGAAATACTTTATTTCCCTTCTGGAATTGAATATTGTAGTAGTAATCGTTGTATCTTCTTTTTATATTAGTTGTTATAAAGTTTATAATAAGTATAGTGTCCTATTGTAAGTATTTTTTAATAATGGGGGTTTTAGGGTCGTGTTCGGTAGGTAATAAGGTATTTAGCGGTCTTAGTAGTTTGAACCTATAGAATTGTTTGTATAGCGATATATTGGCTGGTTGGGTAAGCGTATTGTTGAGGTTCTATTATAGTATTGGGAGTATTTTATATTAATTTGAATTGGGGTATATAAAATAATAGAACCGGATTACTATTTCTATTATTTAATTCTTATATTCTAATAAGCCGTTTGCTTATAGGTAATAAGCTGTTATTATTAATAATTTGGTACCTTAGGCTTTCTATAAGCCTATTTATAATTCGGATGTGAATTTACGATTTTAATTTGAAATAATGCCTTTGGGTATTTTCTAATCGAATAGGACGAGTTGTTTTACGAATACTATACTCTATTCTTTAGCGTTATATATAAAATATTTAGGAATAAGGAGCGTTCGTTTTATTACTTTATCTATAATTATTATAAGGGTATTAAAGACGTTGTGGCCTTTGAGTTTTTATAGCGAATTCTTTGCGGAGACTTCTAGTAGGCCGACGATGAAATTGATAGTAATAATACTTATAGGTAATAAATATACGTTTTTAGGACGAATAATTTAATAATTTCTATTTAGGGGGTTTCTACTAGTTTAGTTCAATTAATATTCTAGGTAGTACTTAAGATATTTTTTAACGAAGCTTATTTTATAGGGAATGGTTAAATCTTTTAAATCGTATATTATTCGCTATTTTCCAAAGTAGTACTTCTCGTCGTATATAGTACTAAACACTTTTTTAATATAATTAAAAGGGATATTTAATGTTTGAGATTTATTTAATCGATTATAGTAAATGAATTGGTTATTAATAACGAAGGGGTAATTAGTATACGAAATTACTCTTCCGTCTTTAGTAGAATCCTTAAGATTTTTTAGGACCTTTATAAATTTCTTATTTTCCTTATAACCCTTTATTAACTATTCGCGGAAATCGTCGGATATCTTTACCTCCGCTATAAATAAAGTTTATTCTTCGATTGCTAGGTATATTTTATTGTCCTTTTATAAATTATTTAGAGTTAGCTCCCCGTCTGGATTTTTATTGTCGTTAATTATGTGTAAGCGGCTGAGGGTATTTAGTACGAAGTTAAGTTTGTTAGGGATGTGGAAGATTTGGAGGTCGTATTGCGATAAGTATATGGATATATTAATAAGGCATCTATTAATTTGGTTTGTCGATATAGTTTAAAGGTTGGTTTACTCTACGATTTCTTTAATTGCGGAATAGTCGGTTAGGATGATTATTAGTTGGTTAGCGGAGTAGATTATAATTTTAAGCTTCTATACGGTTTATATAAGGTAGACGATTTCCAATTCTAATAGGCCGTATTGTATCTCTACTTTTATTAGACATTTATTTAGGAATATAATAGGTAGTATTTAATTAGCTAGTATTTACGTACTTGGGTGCTAATCGTAGCCGTCTTTTAAATAAAAGGCTATTACGTTAAATCTTCGCTCGAGTGAATTATTTACTTATATAAATAGTTATTTATTTAGGTTATAATAGTAAAGTATATTTGGTTTTTTTCCGTTATTTGTATTGTAAAGTACTTTTTATAAGGCTTGGAATAACTTTAATTCTATTGTGGTTGGGTTGAATTTGGTTGATATATAATAGTGGGCCTTCTTGCTTATATTTCCGATTATTATTTTCCTTAATTTTCGTTCTTTAATTAATAAATTAATTTTTTATATTTAGAGAAGTTTAGATAATTAGGCGTAATATGGTACGAAATGTTGTAGAAAGCCTAAATTATTGATGTAATGTTCTAGGGCTTTAAGTTGGTTGGGGAAGGTTAGGTTCCTTAGAGCCGTAATGCGTTCCGCGGTTGTAGTTAATTCTAATATATCGATTTTAAAACTTAATAATTCGATGTTTAGGTAGCTTAGGTAGGATTTTTTAGGGGAAATGGAGATTCCTTTTTTTATAAATAGGTTGAAAATACTCCTAAGGTGCTGAAAATGCTCTTCTAAGGTATTAGAGGTAATGATAATATTATTAATAAAAGTTTGGTAATAAACTTTATAGGGCGTTAGTAAATGGTCTATAAAGCGTTGGATATATATTAGGGAATTTTAGAAGCCTATAAGCGTAATAGTTAGTATTTTTAAGCTTCGGTGATTAATAAGGGTAAGTCTATTGTAATAGGGGGGTTAAATATTAAATTAGTAAAAGAAGGACACTACATTAATGACTGTAATAAACTTCTTCCCCTTTAGACGAGCGATAATTTCCGATTATAATAGTAAGGAGTAATTATCTAGAATTGTAATCCGGTTTAGTACCCTAAGGTTAATTACCGGCTGGCTTTTTACTTTATTTTTAATTGTCTTTTAAACTACGAAAATTAG